GTACCTGCTCCGACTGCCTCAGGATTTAGTGCGAGGGGATCAGGATCTTGAGAGACAGCCGGAGGCCCAGGGCTACTATCATATAACCCCGCAGTACAGAGCTCCTAATAACTCTAATTGTTTCAGAAGTTCCGACTAAATAAACATTTATATATTTTTAATTGAGTTTTTAATTTTTTTTATTCTACAGCAACACTACATATATATTTTAAAAGAATTTTTTTTAAAAAAAAATTAAAATATTGTGATTGTTGCAAACGTGGGGTTCCGAGCGAGATCTCCCAAGGTTTCCCAGGCGCGGGGGCCGTAACGCCTTCTTATACCCGTCGCTCGCGGTCTATCTAGCGCTATACCACTACGGAGTGGATCGGCATAGTGCGTCGATTGCATTCGACGAAGCACCTCGCACTATCAGCGATCCGGGTCAGAAATCACAATGTCAATCTACTTAAATATTATTTTTTTATATATGTTTAGAATTTTTATATCTATATTTTACTAAGTTTAAAATTTTTCTAAAAAATCACGTGTATAAGATCTGACTGATTCGGGATTTTAAAGATTATATAAGTTGCCCTGAGGCCCTGAGAGAGTCAGAGCTGCGTGACTCACCCCACCTCTTCACCCCAAGGACGAAGGAATGGGGGCCCGGAGTAGGCTGACTAAGAGAGAATTGGCAGACCCCGAACGCCCTGACCAGCAATGCACGCTTCATGCCGCTCTTTTCACCAATTACCGAGGATGGTCCTAACTCGATGTCTGAGTCGCTGAAACCTTATTTTGCCGGCAGCGCGCACGCGTAAAGGATGCTATCGCCTTCCAATAACAGTGTTAAAGCTAAATTCTGAGCGGCCGAAGCTTAAAGTAGGTATCCAATCTCTGTGCCTTACTAGCCGCGCGCACTCCTCCGAAGTCGAATGTCTTGTCCTTTCTACCGTCTACATGAAGCACCATTAGCTCTTCGCTTTCATGGAACTAACGCCGCCCACAGATTCCGATCTTTTCTTCTCAAATCCCATACATAGGGTAGATTCACTATGGCGGAAGCAATCGGTGCTGCCTCTGGAATCACCACCTTTGTAGGCCTGGCTCTTCAATCCTCCTTCATCCTTTATCAAACTGTCCGAGGACTTCATTCACGAGACAGGATGATTCGTGAACTTCGAACGGAGTTGCAAGATCTCCTGGAAGTACTTGAAACGCTGAAAGAGTCCATTGGCAATCTTGACGTGGATCTTACAGCACTGCAAGAACCTCTTACGAGATGTAGCAATGCGTGCGGGGAATTCGATATGCTCATTAAAGAATGTATTCAACATTCCACCGAAGGTCGGGCCAGTCGAAGAGATTGGTTGAGATTGAAATATATGGGGCAAGATATCTCTGGGTTCAAAGACATGTTGGCGGGTTACAAATCAACAATTATAATTGCTCTTGCACACGCGAATTTGTGAGTTCCTGTCCAACTCAGCTGCTTTTCTTCCAGAATATTCTAACTTTCCTCCACGAAGGCGCACGACAGAGGCAACAAAGGGTGTCCTTCAAGAGTACAAAGAACTCATCGAGAATACAAAATATGACCTGGAGAATCATCTGCAAGACATCCAGGCAATGCTACTGTCTAGCTCTGAGACCTCCGTGGCATCTGTAATGGATGCAGTCGAGCTTCAGCGGATGGAAGAGGAGAGGAACAGCACACAAAAGAGCCTTGATATATGTCACCAGTTCCTAGCTTTCATAACTCAAACTCGGGCGAATCTTTTAGGAGAGTCGGGGCTTACCTTGAATGATTCTCATCAACCCTACTCATCCGCGACACCCAATCTGTCCTGGCTGATCAACGCAGAAGGACTTAATTCAACATACAAAGAAGTTACCAGTTGGAGATTGCGGTTGCTTCAGCATCTATATGGATTCAGCAAGAATGTTCAGGCTGCGCCGCTTGGTCTCTTACAGCCAAATAACGGACAGTCATCCAAGCAGCAGAGCTTTCAAGAGGAATACAAGAATACTGAAGCTCTTTTGGCATTCTGTCAGCAAGCAGAAGAGGCTGCCAATGGGCCGCGTACCCATCACTTTGAGGATATCACTACAGGCGACCATAGTCGACAAGTCATCGTAACCACTCTCAACGATCTCATCTCTGCCAAACGCATTAAATCAGGCCATCAATCGTATCAGGCAGTTGGTCAGATGTCGAACGAGAGTATCCAAGCCGTATTCCTCCGCCCAAAGACCTCGGAACAGCACGAGGGAGAAGACAACTCAGAAGCTTTCCAGCCACCGGCGCAAGCCCGTCGAGGTACAGGGAAAGAGTTTAAAGAGGGACAACAGGATTATTTCCATGATAGGTCCGGTTCTGAGTATAATTTTCACTTTGCCAACCGCGAGAAATCAGCAAGTCCTCCCAGCGGCACTCATTGAGTTGAACTATATGAATGGTGGCTTCGGTGCCCGTCCAAGAATGTTGATTGCGACAATAGAAGGGCTTTATGATTCTTCATGGGTATAACATGTTCTTCTAGGTTTTCTTTTTCATATTCCTGAGAAATTTGAAATCGGTTAAAGTCATCCCCCTGAAATTTCCTTGTACATTTGAATGGAATACTTTTTGCTACCAACAGAGACTCATAACCAGCGTTCCTGCCTTCCGTCAGCCACCCCCACTTCTGCCTCGTGGGTATCTATCATGTATTAAATCAATAGCTGATGGCAGCGTACTTGGTTTAATGTCCAGTGCATTGTGAATAGTTGTGTTCGGAACACTTGTGATTAACAAATATGTCTATTTACCGCTCAACGTACAGCGCTCAATCCGCGGTCCAAAGTAGCTTATAAAACATCCTCCTGGCCTGAAGTTTGGTGCTAAATGTGTCATGTGTAATTTTAGTAAGAAGCGTGATGACCCCTTTGCACTTCATGCCAGCGATTCATGTGTTTTGGGGCCTTTAGACTTTCAGAGGGGAAAGTGTAGCATCTGGTCAAATAAATCTGATGGCAGCTTTGTAGCCAATTATAAACGGCCCCGTAACTACAAATCGGCTAGCATTAGCTCAGAAATATAGGAGAGCGCCAAGGTAGGCCTCTTTAAGTGTTGGTGAACGCCATAAAGAAACCGCAAATCTATGGGATCCCATTTGCCGCGGCGCTTCCATTCCTTGGAGTGATCTATCGAGGGATGCACCAGCAGGAGGCGGGGATATAGCAATGCAAGACGTGAGAGTTAACCACCATGTTTCAGCCAAGGATTTAGCATTTGAATCTGGTCTCGCCTGCACTAGCTAGAGGTAACAGAAAGCAGAGTATGGCTTTTCTTTCATATTGTGCGATCTAAATCACAATACGCTCTCAAGAATGACGGCCAGAATCATGGGACAATTTTTGTCAATAATTTATTTAGCGTAGTTGGTCGTTTGAAATTCAGCACCGACCAGTAACTACGTTTTTGAAACCAATGACGGGAGCATATAAAGATAGGGCCCTGAAATTTAACCAAGGGCTCAGTCCATGATGGCCTAGGAGCGAAATTCAACGTTTCCTTCTCCAATTTAAGGCAATCAGCCGTGGTAAGTCATGGCGGTTGATTGCGCGACTAATCTATCGTCTTAATTGCCAGAGTTGCTTTTAACGCTGGCGCTGGACTGATCGGCGTTCCGACGCATCGACTAGGCGCCGACATCGTCAAAACGAAACCAGCATCACCTGCACTTAGCGAGTGACCAGATCTATCGTCCTCAAAGCTAATCAGCCCGGACAAGTTTATTAATCGTGATCTTAAAATAAACTCGGCTTACTTTTCATGTCGATGCTCAACCCATGCCGCTATTAATAACCGAGAAAGCGTGATAGCCAATCGACTCACATAATATTGTGCATCGGTTTTTCTAGCGCCAATTACTGTCACCGAAGAAAGGACTTTTTGGGATATTGAAGTGGCCTCAGGGGAAATGATGTGTGAGGCCAACTATTTCAGCCATTTTTGATTCGTGGGGCTGTATTGGTAGTGAAGAGAGATTATGTATTGAGGACAGGATGGCATTTTCTACGACGTCGAAGAAGCCTTAAACAGTTCTTGGTATCACACTACGTCCACATCTTGAGAGGCAAGCGCCTCACATTGATTACATTTCTCTCGCAAAGCTCCAAGTCACTTTATGAGACAGTGCAGAGCTTTACGTCCCTCTTAAAACGCGTCCAAAACTTGCTAGAAGAGCTGGAGGCGTTGTATATTGAGTTAGGTTCACTTACTCATACAGTGCGTACAGAAGTAAGGATTGACCTTTTAGTGTTTGAGGTACCTTTGCAACGATGCGGTAGTGCTTGTAGGGAGTTCAAGCAGATACTTCTGCGATGCTCTTCGCAGTCGGGAATTAACCATACTAGCTTTTGTGGTTGGGCGAAGCTGACCTATATGGGCGACGATATTGATGGTTTTAGGCAGCTCTTGTCAAGTTATAAGTCTACTATCGACATTGCTCTTACAGACGTGGATATGTTATTATAATCAACATTTACTCTTCTATTGTCCTGGTACCCCATTTCCCCTTTCACTGACAGTGTACTTAGTTGGAGATCGGCCGTGATAACAGAAGAACTTGATGCTTTCAAAGAGCTTATTAAAGGTGCTAAAGATGGCCTAAAGGGTTTTATTGGAGAAAATTGATGGACAGTTGGAGTATATTCTGGGACAGAGTATATCCGTGTCTGCCACGGATGCGTCCGAAATAAATCTGACCAAGGCAGGGCGCTCCAGTACCGAAGAATGCCTGCAAATCTGCTCCCAGTTATCTGAACATATACTCCGGATTCAGCCCACCATCGAACCTGATGCTCAATCTCCCTGATTTGGTGATCCCAAACAGGCCAAGGTATGTGGCGTCATTGCGGCGCTGACCGAAATTAGTCAAGCCTTAATTAACGAACTAAATCTATTGCGAAAGTTAAAAAACCACGATGTTCATTCTAATCGTTTCAACCTCCCAGATTCCACCATTTCCGTCATGCTGCTGCGATTCTACCAAAAACTACGAGGTCGAGATGATTCCGATCCCTGTCTTTATATTTTTCCCTTTTCTCTCCATTCGATTATGGTTCAGTTTACAATTGCATTGGCACTGCGAAACAAATCCCAATCATCTCGAGAATTAGGTAGAATTAAATATCGCCTAGTAAACCTTCATCGGAATGAAAATTTAAGCGAGGACTATCTTGTGCACGTAAATCCAAGAGGGAAGGTAAGGTCGAAGGGAATAGATACAGTTCTCCTTATAGAACAGGCAGGAGTCGATCTGGCTATGAGGGCATTGTACTGATTTATTTACACTGCAGGTGCCAGCCTTAACCGCCAAGTCAATTCCGGCGCCTCTGACAGATAGCTTATCCATCTCATATTGGGTCTGCGAGCAACATCCAAGCTTGATCCCGGAAACCCATCGAACAACCATACAACGCCTACTGTCCCAGCTTCACCGCATTCAAGCAGACAATAACCCAAATCCGGCAGTAGATGACATTCTGGCTCGTACTGATATCTCCCTTGAGCATCGCCGCGCTCTAGAGCATAAACGATACTGGTAAGCTTGGCCCGATTGTTCTGCACTTTCACATTCCATGGTAACAGGGTTGGTTATTCAGCGACAGAAAGCAAATAGAGCCCGACTTTGATAATGCACACGAAGAGGGTATGACGGACCAAGCGAGACACCTATTTTGTGAGGTTGTAGTTGAATTCCAAAAAGTCAATCACAGCGGGGTGTGGATATTTGGGGATGAAACGGGCCCGACGGTGCTGGATGCGCATATTGTGGCATTTATAGCGAGGCTTATTGACATCCACCTTGAAGATTTGGTCCCTCCCCAGTTGCATACCTATGCAAAAGCGATCATGGAATTACCGGAATGGGAGGCGGTCATGCAAGGGATGCCAACAGTCTGGAATCCTTCTCTGGGCCCGATAAATCAGCTTTAAACAGGATAGTTCGCAATACACTCCTCATAGATGCGCTCAATTGCCGCATTGCTCCATTTGCTCGAATTAAAACAGCAAAAGCGGGAAAAACTCCGATGAAGCCGAAGTTCCCGGGCGGCATTTCCCCAGGGCCGGAAAATCTAGGGCACTTGGTCTCGACGATAATTAAGCCAAGGGTATTCCTTCCAGATTTTGATAATAACGTCCATCTAAGCCGGCTTGCGCCCTGGCTTCCGCGTTGAAAGGCTCCTTGATGTAACCCCGGAAGTACTTGCGTACGTTACTGCGGAAAACGTGGACTGGATCGGTACCCTCCTCTTGACAGATCCAGGTCAACCATCTGTGGCCAGTCGTAACGTGAGTGATTTCGTCGTTATGAATAATCTCTAAGCTCTGAACACTCTCAGTATCACCCGCCTTGCGGAACTTGTCAATAGTCATTGGATTGACATCAAGACCTCGGGCTTCGTGTACAAGTGCAATAATACTGATACGTGCCCTGAGATCATGAGCTGTGATAGTAGCTGATTCCCAGAGGCCGTGATGAACAGGGAGTGCGCCAAAGTAAGAACCCATTTCTTCTATCCGCGCTCGCAGTAGCGAGAAGTGTTTGGCTTCGTCGTTAGCCACCTTGAGCCAGTCATGAAAGAACGCACGAGGCAGTTCCCGCGAGCCGCCCGGTGATGTTGAGTCCGTCTGGAATGTCGCAAACCGTATGCATATGTCAACGGCAAGATCGATGGCCCACAGCTCAATATTGGCCAGCGCATGCAGCATGGCAATTCGGCTTTTCAATGTACCGCCTTTTCCGGCCCTTGGTATTGCCCAGGGTTGGACCTCAGATAATCCTTCCCGTGGAGGTTGAGCGGGAGGTGACACAGTTCCTCTTCCGAGAGGCATGGGAGATGACGACGCTTCCTTCTCAGTGAGCATAGAGAACAAATGATGAGTCAATTCAATCTTATGTTCCGGGTGAGCCGTATTGAGGATATGAGCACACCAGTCACACACTGTGGCATTTTCATCAAGATATTTAGTGGGACCCGACTCAATCTGCTGAACTGGCGAAACTTCTGGTTGCGGGGCGGTCTTATTCTTAGACCCCCGACCTTCCTTCAACTTGAACTTTTCGCTGACAGGTTCGAGCTTAACCAGCGAGACCTCAGAACCGTCCTCTGTATTGTACAACAAGGTCACGTATTCGCCACGGACATTGACCGGGAATGTGCAAGCCTTAATGCCAACACTCGATTCGCCGGTCTCTACGTTAAAATCATACGCATGCCATGGGCACGAGGCCACGTATGCTGAGTCTTCGATATCGATCTGAGAGTCCTGCATAGGGCCACCTGCATGCGGGCATTCCGCCTCCATGGCGTAATAAGTCCAACCATCGTCGGTTTCATTGGCCGCACGATCTACCTTCTTCGACGGATCAATTACGGGGAGGCGGAACAACACCAAGCGCTTTTTGTCGGAGAGATAGATGACATATCGCGCCTGGGTAAAGTCAGACAGCTGACCAAGTCGAACTACCACCATGTTGCATGTGCAGAGCAGGAAAGACGCCAGAATAGAGAGTGTATACAAGATGGTTGGTGGTGTGATTCAATTGTTGCCCAATGTGGGGTCACGTGGGGCTGTGTAGATTTTTGTCAAGCCATCCCGTATCAGGCAAAAATCTCTCTCATAATTTATTTTAATGGATTTGCTTGCTGTTATATGCAAAGTGTTGAGCACATTACCACAACATCCGATGTGGTGTAATGGCTAACATCGCTGTCTCTCACACAGCAGCTCGGGGTTCGATTCCCCGCATCGGAATTACTTTTTTTGATTTTTCCAAAATCGCTCCACAAATTTTTGCTGTGGAAGTATCTGTGATAATAAAATACATACTGTCTAAATTAACTCTAAATATACTATTTCTGGGTTCAATACTTAATATACTCCCGGGTGAACTCAAGGAACGATGTTGAAAGTGCTTACTAGCTAGAAGCCCCAGCTGTTCAAGTTGACATTTGTGGGTATGTATAATCATTTACCATATTGCGTACCATCTTCTCTAGGTGTACTTTTAGAAGCTCCATTTAACACAATAACACATTCTTATCTTATAACCTAGTGGCTATATAACGTAAGTATTAACTAGGGGCTATGTAACTATCTAGCTGGATACATGGCTACTTTATTATTGCAGCAGATCGAAGCAAGCACTGTATATATATTGACGGTATACAGCCGTTGCACTACTCCGATTCCAAGTTTTTTCTAGTAAAGTTGTAGCATTCTTCTGCATCGGCCAGAAACTCGCTGTTCTCAGGCACACCTCTCCCAGCACCTTGAAACACTCAAGATCCATCTGAATTAATCCCCTGCGACCGTTACCCTCTTCGCCTTCAGTAGACGTTGCGAGCCGGGAGCAGCGCTAAGGTTCACTCGCCTACCATGCAGGTGGTATATGGTGTATGGTGAAACCATTGGACTAGTAATGCGAGAAGTTATATTTTGTGTCCATACAGATCATGAGGGCTGTACAGTATGGTCATTTACAAGATCTAATGTTGGCGTCGCTCTCCGGCGTAGCTCGCCACAGGCCCTTGGAAAGAATTGCACCCCTATCGACAAGCAAGAATGGCAACATCAAGACGTTTCAAGTTAAGCAAACAATATTCGGAGTGTCGAAGAGCGATACAAGATTTAATCCAGCCCCCAAGTGACCGCTGAGAGTAGGCTGACTGGATCAACATGGGTACTAGTAGGCACCGGACTGTATACGTAATAGCGGTAATTCTGCGGTTGAGAATAAGTTAGTGAACCACGTATAAACCTCATCTGCCTCGCACCCGCTCTATCCTCATCTCTCCCCACTCCCAACATCCACATCCACTTTTATGCCAGTGCCAGTACATTTTAAGAAACTCCCAACTACCGTCCAACGTGATGCGCACTGTGGGCCAAAAGATATTTGGAAGATTCCGATTGGACTCTGCGCCTAAACGACGAGCTCAACGGCAGCTTTCAACGACTGGCAGACCCGCTAAACAGCCACGGAAGCAACATACCAAATCTCGCAATGGGTGCTCGACATGCAAAAGGGACCGGGTCAAGTGCGATGAAGCTCGACCGTTCTGCGGTAGATGTTCCAAACGCCGAGACATATGTGTATATGAGGAGAGACCCTCCGCTGAAGTCAGGGACGATGATGGTCTGCAAGGAATAGTCCTTTGTGACCAGTCTTTAGACAACCGGGCAGAACTCCACCGTGTACAATGGCGCATTGAGTCTGGCCTTACATACTCACTTGTCAACAATCTTCTGAATCATGGTTCACCACAGCCATTCCCAAGTAAAACAGATACCCCTGCCGCGGCCTTAACACCAAATACGCACCTGGCACAACACTTGGCCCGGTGCATCGACACGTCATTTCAGTCTTACCCAGGGTGCCAATTGTTCCATCGATTTGTTTTGCCCAACTGTGCCGCTACTCCGGCGCTCATGCATAGTCTCCTTGCGCTATCTGCCCGGCAGCTGCAATACTTTCAGCCTTCGTGCCGGCCCCATGAAAGAGCCTACCTTTTCCACACACAGGTCGCTACAAAACTACTAAATGAAGAACTCTCACAAGCTACTATAGCAGCTCAGAAGTTGGATTTTATATTTGCGACATGCTTGGTGATAAATATGATATCTTTCGCGACAAATGAAACTATTACTTCAAACTCCTGGTTGTTCATGTCCGATAGCGCGTCCATCGACAACGCCCTAAACTGGTTTATGGTACAGCAGGGAATGGGCTGCTTGTTCAAATTTCTCAATCGCAATCCTAATGGTAGCGTTTGGAACACAGAGCTCGACGCCGACACATCGTGCAACCCACTCTTCGCCATCAGCGATGACCTTCTGTCATATTCAGACTTGGACCTAATACCCCAAACACTAGCCGAAATCTGTTGCATCACTGCAGATAGCACCCCGGACAATAACCCGTACTATATGCCTCTTGTGTTACTTTCCCGAGCCTTCCGAATCAAGAGCTTGGGGTTCGGCAACCTCAACAGCTATTTATCATTCGGCCCATATGTACCGCAGTCGTATCGCTTGGTGCTTCGTCAGAAGGATGAGAGGGCACTGCTGCTTTTCATGCTGTGGTTGATGTTATTCCAGGGAGAAACATGTTGGTGGATTAGCAGGCGCACGAGGAATGAGTACGCAGCCGTATTGTGGTTGCTCCGCCGGAGTGAAGACGGGAGGATAAGAGAGGTCGCTCGGGATCCAACGATTTTTGTCCGATCTAATCCTTCTGTATAGCTCCCTGTGTATGTCATAGCGTTTCGGTTTACATTGTCAGTCAATTAACCTTTTCGTCATGAGTAGGCAGACCATGCTGCGTAACCCTTGCTCGGATGGGCCATGAGGCATTTCTCGTTTCACCAATGATTTTTAACAAAAGAACCACCAGCAATCATGGAAACTTCGAGGGAGCCCATCCGTGGCCAAGTTGAATTGCCAGACAAGAGGCCATGTCCCAAATAGGAAATTTTCGTATCAAGATGTGGGGCGCTGAGGATCCCACGGTCGAAATGCTCAATCTTATTGGAGAGGCAACCATCCCACCTCATATACTCCTGGCTGCACCGAACAATGTCCTGCGAAAAGGGTATGGGGACATGCATGGCGAATAAGACAGGGAAAGTTATATAAAGGCCGACATTTCCACTGCTGAGTATGCATCCTAGTAACCCACTTTCTCTGAATGTCCTATTTGCTCTACGCGTTCGACAGTAAACCAATCCACAACATGGTCAACGTTGCGATTGCTGGTGGTACCGGTGATGTAGGAAGAACCATTTTGGAGGTATTGCAAGCATCTACCAAACATGAGGCATTTGTTCTATCCCGAAAGGTATGAGCCCTCCGTGCTGACAATCGATCAAGAAACTGACACAAGACAGTCATCGACCGTAGTCCCAAATACTCTCGTGGCTGACTACAACGATATCGATCAACTCGTCTCCCTGCTTGAAGATAACAAGATCCATACAGTCATATGCGCTCTATCCGTTGAGGGGAGCTCACTTGAAACGGCTCAGCTGAACCTGATCAAGGCAGCCGCACGGTCGCAGGCCACGAAACGCTTCGTCGCAAATGGATTTGCTATCCCTTATCCCCAGGAGTTAGTTATCTGACCCATTCTCTCATATCACAATACTAACTTGTATAAGAGCCCTGGAGGTTTTGCCTCAGCTCAAGGTCTATTTCGACGGATTAGAAGCGCTTCGCCACTCAGGACTCGAATGGACTGTATTCCATATCGGGATGTTCATGGACTACTTCGCAACCCCGGCCCTGAAGTCGTATCTGAAACCACATGTGGCCGCATTCGATCTCGAAAACAAGGTGGCCGCTATTCCAGGAGATGGTAATGTCCCTGTCACTTTGACCTATTCATTTGATATGGCCAGATTCGTGGTTGCATCGCTGGACTTGGAGCACTGGGAGGAGGAGAGCCGTGTCGTCGGGGATGAAATCACTTGGAATGAGTTTCTTGCTCTAGCCGAGGACGCTCGTGGTGAGTCTCCATACCATACACGAACTTGCTATCTATAGGCAGAACTTGCTAATTGAGAAGTAGGGTCTAAGTTCGAGGTCCATTACGATGATATCGAGAAGCTGAAGAGGTTCGAGATCACTGAGCTGCCAGCTCACAAGGCCTTATACGATCGCTTCCCAAAGGAGGCCTTCCAGTGGTTTACTTCAATCTTTGAACGGTTTACTGCTGAAGGCCAGTCTCACCTTCCCAAGGTCGGTAGCTTGAACGAACGGTTTCCCGATATCAAGCCTCTTTCGGTTCAGGAGATGCTCAATACATACTGGAAAAGTAGATGAGGTAGCCATTCACCTTCCTTGAGGCCATTGGGGGATACAATATTATGCGTGCTATTCGGATAGGTAGCTAGCTCAAGGTATTCCATACACTGATTCCGCGTTAATTGTGGAGTTCAACGACGGTCCTTAGCCGTAGCTTGAACACTAAATGCTACAAGTTAATGAGAAACGGGGTACGGCGTACATTGTAATACGACCAAGGATACACTCCTTACATGCAATACATACGCATTTGCACATTATTTGGCTTCAAAACGCGGGCTATTTGGCGTGGATATGTATAAATAGATTGTGGAGAGGTCATCGCAACCGCTGTTACTTATAAGAGAGATTGAGCGGAAGAATAAATGCCTTAAAAATAACACAGGACTCTATCTACAACAAGATCATATGTAGTTGCAAAGTCCAATCTCTCCGAACTTCCCCACCAAGATATATCCACTAGTTTCAGGACCAATCCGAAGCCAAGCAGTATGGCACCTTATTATCAGTACCCCAGTGGTCAGATTAACTGTCGTATGTCACGGTGAACGTTCCGTCCGCAGCATGGACTACACTAGCACGGTGTTTACCCAACCCCTCGCCGCTGCTAAAATCAATGGTAGCACCTCGACTCGAAACAGCGCTATAGTCAACTATTTCGCCTGCTACATGTTGGGTTTCCGCGATGAAAAACTTCAGTTTTGGAGAAATCTGAACCTTCGTATTCTTTCCTGGAGCCACCTGATAGTATAATATCATTAGTGCAGGGAGGTTTAATGGAGAGTGACAGCCATACCGACGCAACTGGGACGACTTGTCCTCGGTGGTTTGGTTTGGCAAGCCCAACCAGATACTTATTGTTAGGTTCATCGAAGTCTGTGCCACATTTGATTTCATATGCACCAGAAGGAGCGTTCCGGGCGACCTCGGCGAGAATTGGAAATGATTGTTCAACCTGGAGATCAAAAGTGCCTGTGCTCAGAGGGGACTACTAGTTAGCATGGAATTAATATAGTATTGTAGTATACCAAGCTCAGGCCCATACTTCCAGGCGTAGTCGAGGTGCCAAGTCCAGCCATCAAAACCATGCCACCCGACACGATGATACCGGGCGCAGGTGCGCTGTTCACACTTCCAGCCCCTAGACGGCCACTCCTTAGTCTCCACTATAAACGAACCCTCTATAATAAAGGACTGGAACCCACAAGCATAAAAGTCTACACCTGTTTGGATAGTGATATCTCCACCGGATGGAACAAATGTTGTATACCAGACATTCATCCAAGGTTTCTGATCAACACTGAACTGAGGAGGTTCCATGAAGACTCCATAATTAGAGTGGGAGCCATGCTGATTTTTCAAAGCGATGGTATATTGAAAGGCCATTCTGCTATAGTGGGTTGTGTTCTCCAATAGACGACTGCACTGTTATGTATATCTTGGGTCAGGGAAATAGGATGTGTGGATGCAATGCGACAGGCAGGTGGTGGTGCATAACGGGTATTTAAGCAAAATGTCAATATCTACCCAGCTCTTGCATGATATGATCAGGTAGGTGTGCAGCTACCATTAGATAGACAGGTCATTTTCTGATTTCCCCAGTTATTCTAGTCGTTAAACGGGCTCCCACAGCTAAAGCGGCCTCGATGCAGGCCTCAGCCAGCCATAAAGAACTATTGCACCTATTAGACCATCTTCGCAGGTCCAAATAATTCTTGCATGGAAGATTCCATATTTTACGCTGATACAAGCGTGCCACGTATCATTCTGTCGTTTCATGGTAGTATGCTGTCTGATACTCCGGGGGAGTGTCAACGGTGGCATCGTGGACACCTTACGCTCGGACCATCGTCCTGCAGTTGCATGCATCAATATGAAGCAGAAGGAAACCCGTTCTAGCAATCGATCAATGAGAGGCCAGCTATGACGTGGCCGAAAATCTAATTTACTTCCTTGTTGGTCTGCAGGAGCGCGTGAAAGATAAAGAGCAATCACAGGAGGAAGAAATAACTGTTCACTGCGATCACAAAAATCAAGTGACGGAAGGCCTTTACCATGAATACTTCGATATTCCCACCCAGATTTGGATCATCAAAGCTTTGGGTTGCGCAACCATGTTACTTAACTCCGTAGTCCAGGGTTAATATTACCTGCCCCGCTAGGAGCATTGGCCGTAAACTAGGGACCAGCGGCCCTTGGTGAAGTGAAGCAAAGGATACTTGAACCAAGCGCTAATTGTGGGTTCTGGGTGTGATATACCACTAATGCGAGAAAGCTTTACGGGTCTGATCGAATGAACGCCAATTAGCAGGCCTTTTGGGTCCAGAATTTCTGCAGCCATGGCCACGTCAGCCCAATTCACCCGCATGTGTCCCAACTCGGCTCTTGAACCAATAAATTCGGCTACAACACGCATATTCAGACTAGACTACTTTAGATGTTGCTAGTAAGAGTCTAGAGGGCATCACAAAAACATATGATGTCATGACAGAAGGCAAATCCAGGTAACGATGCAGAATATTAGAAGATCTTACTGCCATGAGTCCATAACCCTCTTCAGGATCTGTGACTCAGGCCCTTCTTTACGTATATTTATTTAACTATACCTAGTGATGTTGATACTATGTACAATATTCCCAGTTAAGAAATCTTTACGCTATCTAATATGCCACAGACGATGAGAGGAAGGGAAAAGCTAAATGAGCATACGAGAGCGTGCGCAAAACAGAGTTCGGCATTGATGCACGATTGAGATTCCTTGCTACCTTTCGACTAGTGACATCTCTAAGTCAAAAGGAAAGAAACAATGTCTGCCAGGATTTGAATGTATTGGCGCAGAACATGGAATCGACAGAGTGGCTGGCTTTACATTCTCCCATGGTCTGGTCAGGTCATCCATACTTTACGAGGAAGAAATCTTCAATGACTGACTTTGTGACGTTGGATACACGGATCATGGAGGTAATCATACCCAATGAGGTTGACGCCCGTTGGACAACTGAGCAGGGAATTCTGCATTGTGATGGTAATTGAACGCCAATCAAGGCCTAGACATCTCTGACGAGCACAACATACACCTCTTCCTTAGCCTTAACAATTGCATCTACAGCACTATATCCTTGCTTCAACACGGCATGTTTTCTAAAATGGAGAAGGTTTTGGCCGAAAACCATACGTTGGCTCCCTCAACCGCTCTAATCGCGCGTCGTGCGCGGCTCGCAAAACGCCGCCAAAACCGAAGGCTTTTTCACACACTAAATGCGTGGTTAGCAAGCCTTTCGCGGAGTAACTTGACGATTGCCTTTCGACCATTTTCATTTGCCATTGCCATTGGTGTATGACCATTCCAATTACTAATATTCGCCTGCGCACCGTATTGAAGAAGCACCTGGACAATGGTGATATGTCCTTCCTGAGCAGCTAATACCAGCGCGTCAGATCGCTATCCCGAGCTTCGATATTGGCTCCGCTTTCAAGAAGCATCTTCACAAAACTTCCATTTGACTTCGAGGAAGCATCATGTAGAAGGGGACTGAGGCCTCTTGGATTACGTGCCTCGATAACCGCACCGTTCTGTAGAAGCACTTTGCCAACAGCCTCATGTCCACCAGAAGCAGTACACAGCAGTGGCGTCCGACCCGGCACCCTTCTCGAGCAGCACCCTGACTGTTTCATCATGCCCGTTCCAGGTGGCAAGTAATAATGGCGTCCGACCTTGCGGATCCTGCGTCTTAATGGCGGCACCTTTGTCAAGCAACGCCTTCACTGTTCCTTTATGTCCTTTACCAGATGCTATCATAAATGGCGTCAGTCTATTCCTATTCTTGGCATCTATAGCAACGTCTTTCTCAACCAACGCTTTGACGATGGCCTCATGCCCAGCCTGCGCTGCCCACCGCAATGACGTTCGCCCTTCATCATCTTTTGGGTCTGCAATCACATCCCGTCGAGCAGCCAGAATCTTGACAACGGCCTCATGGCCGTGCCTGGCTGCACGTCAATGGGCTCAGTTGGCGACAGTGTAAACGTGGGCTTTCTAGGGCTAGTAACTTCGGTCTCGCTGATGAAGCTGCTGCAAAACCTATACGAGTTTCAGAGGAACAAGGTGACATGTATGAATATGGTATAACTGCGGTCGAGTTCATGTTGGAAATGTGGCAGACTGGAATTAGCCGCATTACTTACACTTACGCACAGTGATCGACATCTTGGCAACGCAAGCTCGTGAACTTCTATCGTGAATTTAACCAATAGGTCTCCCATCATTCTGCTCAGCCTTAGACCCTGCCACTCCCCGCGGGGCTGCCAGTTGAGATTATGTGCGATCTAATACATAGTGGGATGGATGAGAGGCGTGCCACTTAGCACATTTTCACAGATCCTGTTCGAGCATGGTGTAGCAACATATTTATGCTTGTGCTGCCAAACCTGTGAACTACAACTTCTATTGTCCGCTATGGTCAAGACGTCGAAAGAACAATTTGCGAATTATACACTGATGAGGCCTATTGAAAGAGAGGTAACCTCTGAGAAAAAAGCTTATGATATTTTGAACTAGTACAGGTTTGGTTAGCAGCGACGCTAAACCAGCCACCGATTTATGCAGACGATTCAGGAGCACTGTCTGTAGACGGTTTCATTTGATCTGTCCTCACAGTTGGTCGCACTGGCCCAATGGTTGATAGCCACCTCAAACTTGGCAAATGTCATATGGCGAGCGTATAGATATCGCCCACAGCTATGTTCCAGTTCCACAAAGATGAGATCGCGAGAAGCATCGAGTGGGACCCTAAAGGTTTTCAATTTATCGAGGCCTGGAGTTTCCCGAATGTTCGCTAAACACCATCCGTTCTCTGTTGTAGATTGCGCGACTAATCAAACTCACTAGGTAAATGAGGTAACATCCTGGAACTTTCGCCACGGATGTCTGGAAAACTCACAACTCAAAGAATGGTTGCAACAAACGGGGAGCTTCTCAATCCCTAGCTACCCCCTTTCTGAACAGCCAACTGGGGGTATTAGATTACTGATATGCAATTACACTTTGTTCGAGCGCGCCTCGCTCGGGATGTCCCGGGAGGACTACAATTTAGTGGAATCAATGCTTGCCCTTCATCCCGCCACCCTTTCAGCGCTTGAGGTAAATGGTGGGATGTTCTCGCGTTACTCTAGGACTGGGCAGCAGGGAGATCGCACATGTACGTCGGGCTGTCCTTCTCTGTATGTCTTGAAAGGGTACCACGAACATGGCTAATATAACGAAGCTATTATCCTCAAAGCGCCTCAGAAGTACGAGATCGCTAATTACATGCTTTCTCTCACACATGATACTTCATCACAATGGACCACAGCTCTCCTCGCGGGCGAGGATATCATCGATCTGTTCCCATCAATGGAAGACTATCGCTCCGAACGACCATTCAGATTCCAAGTCCCCGGAAGAACCATCCGGACTAGTCTTGCCGAGTCTCCTGAGTTATGGAACAATCCTCTCACATTGCCATGTATCCTTATCACCGATCACCTGAAGCGAGTACAACAATTTTGTGCAGGGTCTCTGACCCAACAGGTCATGGTGATCGAAGAACATCTTGGGGTGACCATGGTTGGCCGGAGGAACCAACCACGTTTTCGGGCGCCGACAACTAGGAATCTCTCCAAAGATGCGGATATGCTGAACCTTGGAATACCTGTTGATAGATCTCAGACGCACTTTCTCACCGTTTCCATTAACTCGAAGCTAACTAGTATACTGTTCACGAGACGCTCCCCAAAGTGGAATTACGAGGCGTCACAGTTTCTATTAAACATTATAAATGAATCTTCTGGAGAATGGCACGGCCAGCATTCGTGCTATAACGAAATCAATGAACTAATTGAGCACAATGTGTATCTGGCCAAATCTATCCAGGATCATGTGCTGTGCCTTCAGGCTCGTATGGAGCTTCAGCTCGATGTGGTAGGATTGAGCCCCGTTTTTGACATTCAAAAAACCTTCGTTGTTGACTCTTCGCCAGTTGTACAGCTTCGTGGCCCAGTCGGACAATCGACTCAACGCACGCCTCGCCGCATCAACTGGGAGGGATAGTACCTCCATGAAGATCTTAGCATTCATCACAACCATATTTCTTCCGGGGACATTTATTGCGGTATGTCTCCATTGCCTATAGTACAGCAAAGGATTGAAGAATAATGTGTCTTATACAAAATATAGACCTTGTTTTCCATGGACATGTTTGACTGGAAAAGTGCCCCTTCCGATGGCAGCCCGGCGGTGTCATCTCAATTTTGGATTTATTGGGCAACGGCAGTCCCACTCACTGCAATCACTCTCGGGGGCTGGGCGCTCTGGTGGAATTTCGAGAAGCACAGGTACGATGTACATATGAGGGAGGCAGTGCACAGAGTAGACAAGCCGTACAGGACGTGGTGGCGGAAGAAGTGAACGACTCAGCATATATAAAATGATAACGCGAACTGTATATAGTCTTCTTTTGTTCTTTGAAAATTCAGGCAACTACATGCGATCGAAGTAGATCCCCGTCACCCACCATGATCAGAGAAATTCAGCTCGCGTTGATCATGAAGCTAATCCCATACCATGCTACAGCACTAATGTAGGGGCGATAGTTCTATATTCGTTGCCTGTTTCAGCGGAACGTCAGTCTTGTCTAGTCCATTCTATTATTAAACAGATCGCCTGATTCATAGATTTTGGTTACTTCGATCAAGCTCAAGATCGAGTGACAAATATGTCAGAAGGTTGTCATCTAAGTCCAATGTTCCCAAAGCGTAAGCGATTGGAGAAGGATAGTAGAAATTGAGCAGCGTGGTTAATGTTTGAAAGGTGAGAATTAGGAGTTAGGGCTTACTATATCATACGTCCAGAGGGGTGGCATCCCGCTGTTCTCAGAAGGGAGTGCTGACCATTGCACCTGAATTTCTCCAAGCAGCTGACATGGCCTCGGCACATCGAACGCCCAAGGAGACTAATGCAAGGGCAAAAGGATCTGGAAAAACCCCCATGTATTAAGGAAATTCGTGCTGATCAGTTTCATCTGACAAAATTCTTTCGTGTACGCGAAACCTGGTGCTTCTACTCGGAATCCCTTCGACAGTGGCCCAAAATCATACAGTCCTTCATTCAGCAAGGCGTCGTGCTCTTGAGTTCCGACGGCGTCCGACCAGGGTAGTGACTATTGTTCCGCAGTAATCCGGGGTGATGAAATTGTGGGCCATATCTGTGATCCTGCCCTGTTAGCCCTGAAATTGAGTTTGGAACTCAATCTCAGGTTGGCTGGAGAATCCTGCATGTCTTACAGTTACATCAGTGGTGAAGCCCAACACATGCGGACTCTTGAACTGGTCACCCATATTAATCTCTGAATGCCTCGGGATGCCGGTGGTGACATGTGCTTTTATACGACACGGACTCCGTTGATTCGTGGTGAACCCTGGCCGCGATTCCGCGCTAATCATGCATTTTGCGGGGTACAATTAATTGGGTGCCATCAATTACTACATTTGGAACTCCCCAGGATCTAGCCAGCAAGCCTCGATGAGAGATTAAGATTAAACAGGAACGTGGGTCTTTCAGGCTAAAGGCTCGCAGAACCCCCGGGATTTGAGTTGTTTGAGCATATAATGTGACAGTTCTCCACGGGGGTCCTGTGTCTTCCACAGTGAATCAGGATTCAAAGCTTGTGTTGAACCATACCTTGGCGTATCTTCTCCTGGTCTCCTTTCTCACCTTAGCTCCATTGTCGCTTCCCACTCTAACCTAAACCGATCCTATTACTGGTCAATATGCACTTCCACCGTCTCCTTGTCTTGGCCGCCGGGCTCCTGACCACGGCAACATCGGCACCCACCGAACTCTTCAAGCGCGATGCCGCAGGCGTAGTAGATGCAGTGGCAGAGATCGCAGACAAAATGACGACCCTGAATACCACTGTGACTGGTTATAAAGGCGGAGTGCTCGGAACCGGAACAGCCCTAAAGATCGAGTTCCAGTCCGTGCAACTCAGCCACGCCCTCAAAGATGCCATCTCGACCACCGAGGATTCCCAGAACTTCACCGGCGATGAGTCCAACAAGGTGGCCGCCGCCTTTATCGATCTGCAACCGAAGATCTCTTCGACCCTCGACAACATTGTCTCCAAGAAACCCCAGTTCGACACCGGATTGCTCGGCATCGGGTCTGTCGCATTCCTAGTGAAGTGGAACTTGCAGCAGGAGAAGGACTTGTCGGCGGAGTTGGGCAAGGCTGTTGTTGCTAAGTTGGCGGAGCCGTATGCTTCTGTTGCGCCATTACTGAATGATCAGATCGCTGCTGCTTTTGAGAAGGCCCTTGCTGCTTATAATTAGGTGCTAGGGAGGAGCATGGCAGGGATGTTTTCTTTCTGGCATATTCTGTTAGAATCTATGATTTGGAAACTAGTTAATCGTGGAATTAGGCTCAGTCTAAGCATTCATTTCAGACAATAAGACTCTTGTCCCAATTCGGGCTCTAGCAAACTTACCAGTGAACTGTTATATCTGGTCAGCTGAGTAACATATTCCGTTAACAGAACATGATTCAAGGGGACAGGGGAACAAACGTGGTTATCACCGTTTGGTAATTCGGATCATGAACTAATTTAATTGTTCTCGTGGCAAGGAGCGTACAGCACCGTACACGAGAACGACGTAAAGTTTATCCTTGGATGTTTACCAAACCCACCCTACACATCGACGATCTGAAGTTTGTCATCCAGCAGTTTCCAATAGCCTAGCGTAAGGCCATTGGATAGTGGTAGCAGGTCAGGGATCAGAAACGGTTACGTGTTGCGAGGAGGGCACTGTCTGTCCTTCAATCATTCAGGTCAAGTTGCATATACACGGCATTGAGCAACTGCCGGCTGTCTTCGTCATCCTCTTGCCTGAAGAAATTATTCTTTGTAGGATGATTGGCTTCTCCTCCGAGTCCTCCCTCACAGCCTCATGCCAAGTCCGTCGCTGCCAACTGTTTTCGAATATCATTACCATTCCAGGAAGAGACAACCCGATACGTTTTTCTTCATGCAAATGACTCGCACAACTGCCCCTGCATCCTGAGACGAGCCTCGAGCGAGTCATGGTCTAAGGGCTTTTTCCACGATTATCCGATAATGGCTATGCAGGTGCATGGCCACTTCGGCCGGCAACGATGGGGCATTGACTACTTCCGACCGAACCAACCATAGCTCAAACCAAACTGATCTGCAACCAGTTTGCCTGATGCAAAATGGCGGAGTGGAGTCTTGGCATTATATCAGTGACATGAGAGTTCCTGTCCTTGGCTTTGATCGGGCGCCTAATTGTCAAGCGCAATCGACACGAAGTGATCGCCATGGCTGAGAGCCGCGACGCGCGTAGTGCAATTGTTCCAATCTGAACTAGCTAGATCACTACCATTGGGTACGGAAACGCGAATATGAACCAGGAGCTATGCCTATTCCTAAGCTGGACGTCGTCTAATGTCCTGGTTATCGCTGAACACTCATGATTTTGTGGCCAAATTGAAAATCAACGCAAGCGGTTTATCCTATTGCTACATACTATAGCATCTGGCAACCATACTACTTGCCAAGACAGCACGGTGTGCTCACTTTACTGCATATACGTATAGGATGCATTAGATCTCTCACACAGCGCTGAATATCACCTTTTCTCAGATATGATCGTCATGCCGCGAGCTGGGCATTGTATGTACATACAACAGGTCGGGGCTATACTGTCTATCAGGCGCACCATTTGATCAAATACGACAGTCGATCAACATCCTCTCTGTAAGTCTGTTCAAGCTGTACTAATAATATACATCTGTTATGAGACATTCGCGTCTCCCCAAATATATATAAGGGAGGTCTTCTCCCCTGAGCACGACATTCATCTCATCTATAGCAACATCAGCAAAGCACAGCTCTCAATCATTCAATCATCCAACATTCTTTGAGCATATCTATATACTACCAATTCTTCCCTCAAAATGAAGTTCATCTACACCGTCCTCCTTGCCGCCGTGACCGCCACGGCCACCGCTCTCCCTGAACGCCTGGAGACCCGTGTCTGCGGTAGCCCCATGTGCAGCAACTATGTTGCGCTGGGTGCTGCCAATTGCCCACTCGATTGCATGTGGGGAGACTGCACCAAGTACCACTGCGAGCAGGAGGGCTATGATGTAAGTGTCTAGAGTGGTATAAAGGACCTGAGTTGTACATTGCTGACGTGAGTCTAGGTTATCTGTGGAAAGAACGGAGACAGCTGTGTTAAGGTCTGATGGGATGGAGGGTGGAACGACTTGAAGGGAGGAGGGTTGGGTACACCGTGATGCGAGACGGAGGTTGTTATGTTTGGGGTGATTTGTTGTTTAAAACGATGTTACTTCCTGCTGTCCTTACTTAGAAGAATGATGAGTCTTTGGATATATCATATAACCTGTTATCTACTGCAGGGCCTACATCGAGCTAGCTGGAGCAATCTCCCAGTAAAGCAGTCTATTCACTGTACAATCAGGCTTCGGTCGAGGAGCTGGTGAGTCTAAGAATAGGTATCATAGCTCAACATTTAGTCTTGACAACGAAGGTGCATAATCGGGGTAGTTTCCCTTGGATCCAGATCAAGAGTAGTCTAAGTGTTCAATAAAATAAGGCCATTGTTCTAAATACTAGTCCCGTTCTCTCACTAGCTGAGATGCACCATTCTCTAGTGATTAACTCCACAGCCACCACCTCACAAACGACTGTCGTTCGATCGCATCACCTTTTCCAGCTTCAAGGCGCTGTAGGACTCCGTCTACCGTGTCATATTTGCTTCCCCTCTTCTTGAACGTATTAATGGTCTATACGTTCTTTGACTTGCGGGTAAATTGGCGATAAAGGGCTGATCCATGTTCCTGAGGTTTGCTTGCCAACCTTGACAATCAAGAGTAACTTTAGCTCAGGATACCCAAGATGATGAAATATTTTGAAACTATGTCCGTTAGACCACTTTAAAATCCTCCGTCAATTTTATTCTATGTCAGCTTTTCTATTTTTCAATATTTTTGCCCCCAGTGATTGTTGATCGGATTCCCTATGTGTCCCTGGTTTTATTCAGCAGAAGCATTATCTTTTTCGAACGTAGCTCTAACTTATAGCAAAGTGGAGTCGTACTAAATAAATTATTTTAGAATACAATAAAACTTAGTTAGGATCTGGATCACTCGAAATACAAACCTAATTGCTGATTCCTGGTTCGACTGAGACACTCAGCAACCACGGAATAAATAGCTTAATTATACAACACAAAGGTAGTTGGATCACTGAATGAAGCGTTGCTCTACCAACTGCAATAGCCAGCTTGAGCTTCTGTTATGGAATTCTTCTTGCCTTGTGAACAAAAGTCCAATACAGAAAGAAGATCTGCAACTTTATCTTGCCATTTGATGTTCGTGTGATGGGTCCAGGGAACGGGTACTAGGGCTCGTATTCCACGTAATTCCTCTCCTAACATCCGCGGAACTCCCGTATTGGGAGATTCAGATCGACGTGTTCTATTGGTAGCGCACTGATCTGTACGAGGTGATCGCCGTTGCGGAAAGTCTCGATGCATTCATGTGGTCCCTGTTTCTTGCTACTTAAGACACGCTTCTTGAAGCTTTATTCGTTCCTCCTTCTGTCTTTTTCTCTCTTTTCCGTCCTCTTTCTTTTAGTCTTTGCTAAATTCGCACAATCACGGCATATATCGACTTTTGCCAGAAAACATCTCTGTACTGCCGGGAAAGATATCAACATAGCAAGTCGGAGAGTATAGGTTTCCAACTACCGGACTCGCATTCTCATTCTTGTTGCCCAAGGTAGCCCTCACTGGTCTCTGTCCAACGGGACCATCATTTCCAATACTCATCTCAAGGTCGCATAATGACTTGTTGGTGCAGAAGATCAAAACCAAGTAAAGTGTCAGACACCATGTCTCCCCCGAGTGAAATGGAGAATACCAGGTCGATGCTGCAGAGCCTATTAGCGGAATGCGACGAACTAGTAGAAGAGAACAGATGGGCCGAAGCGCGAGAGAAACTGGACCAGGCCATCCAGCTATCAGCGCAGCAGCTGGGGCCCGACCATGAGGACACGCTAGACACAAAGGCGATTCTTGCCTACCACCTCCGAAGGCACGGTGGGTGTCAGGAGGCCGAGCAGATAGATCGCGAAGTGCATGCTGCTCGTGTGAGGGTCTGTGGACCGGACCATACTGAGACGGCTAAAGCATTGAATAATATTGCGCTGGATCTTAAGGGCCTTGCTAGGTTTGATGAGGCGTTTGATCTCGAGGAGCAAGCGTTGGACATATTTATGAAAGTGGAAGGGGAGAATTCCCGAGCGACGCAGACGAGCATGAATAACTTGGCGAATAGCTATCACCAGCAGGGGCGTTTTGACGACGCCGCCAGGTTGCATGAGAAGACACTGGAGCTTCGCATAAAGACACTGGGTCGAGACCACTTTGAAACAATCATGGCTATGGATCTGCTTGGTGTTGACTGTCGAGAGCTAGGTCAGGTGCAGAAAGCTGCAAGGTACCAGGAGGAAGCGCTCGAGATTGCAACAAACAGTCTGGGGGAAGCAAATGAGACTACGATTCGCTGTTCGATGAACCTAGCATCAACGTACCAGAAATTTGGGACGGCCGATGGACAGCAGAAGGCATTAACCTTGCTGGAGCGGGCTCTGGAGTCATCCCGCAGGGCCCTTGGTGAAGAAAGTCCAGAGACGGTGGGCACCATGAACAATCTCGCTGTGGCGTATGTTAGAGCGGACAGACTAGACGACGCTTACCCCCTGCTGAAGGAAGCCTATGATATTAACCGAAAGACTCTGGGTCCAGATCATCCGAAAACCCGAGCTGCGGAGGGTAACTATAACTATGTTATGGAGAAGCTGGGGTTAACTCAGGCTAGCATATTTGCAGTCTGAGTATGGGTTATTTTCTTTCAGTGCAAGATAGATCGAATAGGGGATATTGGCAGCCCTATTTGGATGAAGGGACCAGAACTTGTCACTGTTATAAGAGCACAGTATATTCAATGGTCGAGAATAATTAACCTAGGAGCTTCCTTGGGGTTATGACAAGGTAGAGGAGACGTAACGCAGATAATGTGTGGATTGCAAACAAATAGATTACAGCTTGGGCACATGAGAAAATAAAAGGTGCTTCTATATGAGGCAATATCTCAATCTACTAAACGCCATAAGGGGATTGTGTCACGGCGTCTCCAACGAGTGCCAGGTCCTGGATAGCAGCCAACCCATACTGGGCAACAGCATTTGTCGATATCCATGTAGCTTCATCCACTGGAATGAGCACAGCGCTTCCATTGACACGCTCTGAAACCCAGGGCTCATCAGCAGTAAAACCATCAGTATTGTTGTAGAACTCCTTCCAAGCTCGCTCAGCCACAGTCACATTGTTGCTGTGCTTCGCATAGTACGCCGTCAAGCGCGAGTGGCCCTGGATCAGACTGATACCGCTGAACGATTCCCCATAGCGCGCCTGCTGCTCCGCCTTCGTTGCGCCATAGTAGTAGCAGTAATCAAGCCAGGCACTCTCCAGACCTTCCGGTGCCTCATCGCCCCAATACTCGAGCAACTCGGAAACAACCTCTGGCATGCCAAACACAGCGTTCAAGTGGGAGATAGACACAACACCCTGATTGTTCGGATCGGTCGGGGGTGGGAGCAGCGTGCCGTTGCTGATCGCGTACAAGCCCTCTCCCGTGACGAAGCCGTTCTTGAAACTGGCGATTCCTTTCGCCGTACCCGTCAGCTTCTTCTTGGCCTCTTGCCAGCGAGGCCCACGTCGCTCCCATTCAATCAGCCAGCCAGCAGCGAGGCCAGCCCAATCTGTTCCAAGAGAGAATGCAACAGGCTTGCCTGGCTCAGGTGTCCAGCCATCCGTTCTCACCTTCCTCTGCGGGTCCAATATTCCGTACGTCTTGTCGGCGTCGATTGCTTCTTCCAACAGCTCACCCACTCGCTCATCGCCACCAGACAAGTAATAAAAGTACTTCCTGTACTGAGGCTGGGCGATACGCACTTGCTTGGCGCTATCGGCGAAGTGCTGAACGCCATGTCTAGTGCCGAGACCTTTCCAGTTGCCGATATGATACACATCTACCTCACCAGTGTGACGAGTCAATGCCTCTGCAAACCGGTAAATATCTGCCCGTCCGGTCCGCAGGAAGTACTGCCAGAAGAACAAGTCAGGGGATAGCTCGGAGTTGTCCCACGCGTAGCCACCAACATCATAGCGCCAAGTATGCCTGTCTTCATCGTAGGTGTGCATGATATCACCATAGTCTAAGAAACCATACCAACGACGGGCCTCAACCTGACCCTGGTAGAACTTCGCAAGGAAATCTAAGTGGTTTTCGATCGTCGAAGCCTTGTCATTTGATGTGTCTGGCAGTGCCCAGTAGGACCCAGCTGCCTTGGTTTCCTTGATATACTCGGGCTCCGGTACTAGAACTGGAGGCTCATTGATATAGCTACCCAAAAGCGCCAAGTTGTCACTCTCTGGGGTGGCATCAAACGCGTGGAGGAAGATTTCACTGGTTCGGGCAATCCCATAAGGTGTGTTGAATCCGGGCTCATAGTCTTCGTAAGTGATTTCGAGCGCATCGGTTTGCTTTTCATAAGTGTCCTGTCCCAGTCCATCATGGAATGGTCTCAGATCTAACGGTGCTGCTTCAGGGCTATAGAGCCACAAAGTGATCTGACCCTTGTTGGCACCAGCATTCGTGATATCCAAGCCTGCAGGATACCTCTTCCAGAAATCGCGCAGGCCAATCGCAAGTCCACCTTGCGTGGCACCACCAAGATAAGCAAGTCCGGAAGATCGCGTGCCGCCCGGGATGTTGATCCAAGCCTGGCCAGGCTTGGTTCTTTTCTTGAGGGTAAACCCATCCGGTGACAACTGGCTCAGCTTGTAATCGTTCCAGACCGGAATCCACTGCATGCGAGACGAGACTCTTTCATCCCACGTGCTGATATTGGGTGTTACTTTGCCTTCATATTGCGCGGAGCGGACTTCCTCACCGGGGTCACGGCGCAAGCCAGTGATTCCTTGAACGGCTTCATTGAGATAACCGCCATCCACACCGGGTAGTCGGATGTGGCGGTTATACAGCTCCTCGCCTTCAAGGGGAACCTCGAACTGGATTCCAAGGCCAGTGATAAAGTCTTCCTCTGGCTTTCCATCGAAGACAATACTGTGAACCACCCTTATAGAGTCCGAATTTGCATAGAAATAAAAGCGTAAAGAGAACGGAAGCCAGTCATCGTGAGCGCCACTACCAGATGTTTGGTGTTTTCCCTTCACCGTGACCAAGGTACGAACGGCGTTGTCCTTGCTGACAGTCACGTTCTCGATATTGCTTTGGAAGTTGAAATAGTTGATAGAGGCGTTCGCCCGCGCTGAAACATCCTCCGCTACTCCGGACTGGGTATGGAGCACGAGCTTTCCGTTCTCACCAACTACCTTGCCACTAGATGTCGTGATAGAACCCACAATGATATTTCCTTGTTTCGGGAAAGAGGCCGTCAATTTACCCGTATCAACCGTGATCCCGTCGGCTTTATTGGTCACCTTCACTCCCGATGATGCGCTGGAATGGTTCGAAGCCGGGTGTCGCGGAGATGTCGAGGCGCTGACGCGATATTCGCCGTCAATGGTGTCAAGCGGTGGAATAGCGTGCCCAGTCCACTTGATTGAGCCATCACGCCAGTAGCCCGTTACCCACGATTGAAGCGGAATTTGCTCATTTGATTGCCCGGAAAGACTAAATTGCGTGTCGTTGGATCGGTACTTGCCCTGGGGCCACGGAAGGCCGAACGTTGTCCCAGCATGATACTCCGGAGCATCGCCGACCCAGTGAACCTTGACGGTATCGGCTGACCTACTTTCCGAGGGTCGTGAAAGTGCTTCACTGGCTAGCGCTCCGAGAGCGAGCCAGAGAGATGGCCGTCGCATTGTGGAAACGATATCGAGAGTACACCACCAACACCGAGAAGGGTTCGACTCGTAGTCGGTTATATGAAGCACCGGGTAGAATTCATCATCTTATATACCCGGCATGGAGCTCCAATGCGGAGCTAGAAAGAGGCCAAGAACCTAGTACAAATTCGCATCTCGGTAGCGCAATGAGAGGAGCGTTGCAACCATGCATTAACAAGTTAAAACATGACATGGACAATAACCAGCAAGCTCGGACTAGTTTCAGGTCAAAAGAAATAGCGAGATCCGCTCGAAGGAAGCGAGCGAACAAGAGTTCATACCACGACGTGTAAAGTAACATCATTGGTGGCCGTTATGTGGTTTAATTTTCCGTAGTGAAATTGCATTATTTCCCTGCGGTCTAGCGACAGCTTCAGGATGCCCGGCGGGCAGTGCTTGCAAGGGGAACTAAGCATCACTCTCTCCTGCCAAGCATTCCCCCCGCATAATTCGGTCCAAGATCACCCGAACGTTCTCTCTGGTTTGCCAATAAGCATTTCCTATGAGGATCTCGTAAGTGGCTTGCTGTTTGGAGAAAAGGTGTTTCCTGAACCCGAGTCAGGTCAGTGCGGTTGGTAGTCTACCATCCCTAGTCATCAGGAACACGCGTGGGCATGGGGCACTAGGAAACTATTGTACACGTTTAACAAATTCTCGTTAGTAAAGCTTTTCTAGCCATAGACAAATCTTACAATACGATTATCGCCCTACAGGGTTGCGAAGAATATTGAGAGCCGTCACCCTGAGCCTGTCCATGCGATTGCAAGCTGGAGGGCAATACATGAAGCACCGACATTTGGAAGTAGTACAATGTACTTGAAGGCACTCTCGCTGGCCAAGCGGATATTAAAATCTTTCTCGGGAATTTCGGATCAGCTTTGGGAGGGGAGGATGGCATTCGCCATGGGGAGTAGAGTATGAGAACGGACACGAAGCGGCTATTTATTCCTGCCATATTTGCCTTTGTCTATTTGGCTTCTCCAAGTGAACCTTCACATTTTGATGGGAAATTAGAAGGCTTGTGCCTTCAACAAAACATCGTGGCACCTTGGTATATCAAATATTTAGTAGAGGCCCACGGCTCGATCAGTTCAACTCCCATCCTTTCACCTCCTTCATCCGTGTAAACCAATCCCTAACATGAGGGAGTCCAACGTGGGGCCCGTATGGATCCAACTCCCACTGTGGGCTTGGGGCAGGGAGCCCTGTCTCTCTCAGGCACGATTCCCTGAGTTCCTCCATGGAGCCGCCTCGGTCGTATTCTGGGACAGGTCCTAGCGCATCCCGAGCATCCTTCATATTCTTCCTCAAAGCCACAGTTTCCTCTTCACATACAGTAAAGTCCTGAGGGTTGATCACGACTCCATAGTTATTCCGGGCCCCGTCGATAGTCACCAGTCTCCGGCGAATCTCTAACGCGACTTTCTCTGCAGGTCGGGTCAGTGGATCTCCCAGTCCGCCACCACCCCATGTCACCCATTCAAGCAGGTCATCGGGATCCACTCGAACATGGTCGCATTTTGATGGAAGTATCTCAACGGGGGGATTTTCTCGAGACTTCGAGAATCGGTACAAGATCTTCCGTGAACGGGAGCCCGGTTTACCACCTCGAATTCCCCATGGCTTTGTAAACCAGCGGTCATCGTGCAGACTGAACTCTCCGCGACATAGGAACCGATAGAGTGTGCGTTGCGCGTTGCCACCACGGTAGTAGCCGGGGCCTCCGCTGTCTGGGACGCTCTCGTTGGCTTCGATGCGCAGTGGATAATTCAGTTCAATGCTTTCTGTAGGGATCGACTTGATAGCCGGGAAGAGGCAGTGACAGTCGAGTCCATCGCCTGCATTACGAGCTGGTACACCACCGAATCCAATTTGATATAACTGATACCACTCCCCGTCGGGCTTGTATCCAGAGTAGAAGAAATGCGGCGAGTCACTGAAGCCAGCCGCCGCCGCGTATAGTTGATTCTTCTTTCCGATGAGTGCCTGCATCACATCCATTGTCCTGCCCAGAAGATGTGTACGGCAAGAAATAGCTGCTGGTCTAACGGGCTTCAGCACAGTGCCCTCGGGGATATAGATGTCAATGAGGTCATGGAAGCCATCATTAATCACGGTACCAGGTGCTGCTGCCGCAATCATGTAGTACCCGATGAACATCTTGAACATGGTCTCTGACAAGTAGAAGTTTATACTGTGCTCGCTCTGAGGCGATGTTCCGCTCCAGTCGAACAGCAGCCGATTTCCTTCGGTCTTCTTCATCGTGCAGGTAAGAGCCCAGGGGCCAACACCATGGCCGTCATCGTCCACGAAGTCGGTAAATGTGCATGGCGTATCATCAAAGTCCGTTTCAATTATTGTAGCCATTCCTGTGCGATTACGAAGAAGTAGCTCTGAGCATGCAGCCAGGTAGATTTGAGATCCAAATCGCATAGCTAGCTCACAAACCCGACTGGCGGCAGTACGACAGGCGGCAATGATTGCCATCAGGTCTGACCGGTACCAGTCTGGCTGACGTGAGTTACGACAGAGTAGGTCAACCAGGTCGGTGTTCATAACCCCCTTGGCGTAGAGTTTGACGATGGGTATCTGGACTCCGTCGTCGAAGATGGATGTGGCGTTGATAAACATGCTGCCTGGGACCATACCCCCTACATCAGTGAGATGCCCGAACTGCGACGCCCATCCAATCAAGCTACCCTCGAAGAATATGGGCAAGAGGACAATAACATCGTTCAAGTGCGTCACTGCTCCTTCAATCATGTAAGTGTCGTTCGTGATGAAAACATCGCCTTCATGTATGGGTCCTTTCCAAGCCTGGAGGAATTGGGTGATAAAGCTGCCGAACTGGCCGACAAGCATCTTGCCATCTGCCGTGGTTATTACGTTGAATTCATCCTGTTGCTCGCGGATTGCTGGTGACATGCTACAACGGAGCATGAGTGTGTCCATCTCACTTCGGATCGAGGCCAGGGCAGATGCTACCAGCGTGGGGATCAACGGGGTAGATCGAACTGTTTCCTCGGCCTCTTCGGCCGTTTGGTCCTTTGGTCGCTCTTGCTGCAACTCTCCATCTGGGCGTATCAGAATGTTGCCTATAGCATCTATCTCTCCATAGCACCCGGGCAGGATCAGAGTATTGCTGTCCATTTCGGTGATGATGCAAGGGCCCTGGACACGTACGCCCTGGTAGCTAATCTTTTCACGATCCCAGAGTGTAGCCTGCAGAGTCTTGCCCTCAATAACGATGTCTTTCTTGGCCACCATGGCGTCAGCCGGTGGCGTATTACTTGTAGCGCTGTTAAACCGAGGAAGTTCAATGCTTGGGGAGGCGTCAACAGCAACCACCTCAAGCCGCATAAGTTCCAGTTCAAAACTTGGAAGACAGTACTTGAATTGCTGCTCATGCAGCTGGTCGAACCTTTCCTGTAATAGTTCTTTCCAAGGCTCATCATCAAGGGATAGGTCGTCGCGCTGTAAGTCCACGGTCAAGTTCAATGCCTGGCCCTTATACCTGAGGTCGACGTGGTAGCTGATGTTAAGCTCCATAGAGTGGCCCCCGTTAGAGCTTTCCATAGTTGCCCTACATGCTGTTTCTAGCTCATCAAACCGGGCCTTCACCTCCCAGGGCAGTGTCACGGAGAGCAAACGGATGTATGACGATGACTGGGAATGGCTCAGCCGGGTGGTAGCATCCCCAAGCGCACATAGGGTGCCCGGCGACGGAGGGACGATGACTGGCCACGCTCCAAGAAGCTTTCCTACTGCGTTGGCATGCAGTGGCCCGGCACCACCAAATGCAACGAGGGCAAAGTCCTTGGGGTCATAACCCTGTTCAACAGACACCAAGCGCAATGCCCCGTACATGGTTTCGTTAACGAGGTTTATAATATCTTCAGCCGTCTGGGTGACGGTGAGCTTCATTTGAGAAGCAATGGTCTCAACAGCGGCGACTGCAGCCTCAACATCGAGCGTGAATTCACCTCCCAGCAGCTTTTCAGGTAGGTATCCCAGGACTAAATTCGCGTCTGTCACAGTGGCTTCGACTCCTCCTTTGCGATAACAAGCCGGTCCCGGACTTGCGCCTGCACTCTCTGGCCCGACTCTCATTGTTTCCGTAATGTTCATATACTTGGCAATAGAGCCTCCTCCGGCCCCGACCGTTCGAATATCTACAGCGGGCGAGCGAACAGTCAAGTCTCCCACCACTGTCTCCCGACGGAGGCGAGGCTTTCCCTGATATATCAACGCGCAGTCCGTTGACGTTCCACCCATATCGAACGTGATAAGATTTTTATACGGCGTATTGCGCGTCACAACGTCCGCCACACCCTGAACTCCTCCTGCTGGGCCAGACATCAGGATATTGACAGGAAGCTCGCCGGCCAGGTCCAAACTGGTCAGACCGCCGTCTGACTTGAGGATACGGATCGTATCCCCATCATCTGCCAGCAGATCCCGCAGGTTGCCCAGGTAGCTTTGTACAACCGGCTTGACGAGAGCATTGGTACAAGTCGTCACTGTCCGCTCGTACTCCCCAACCTCTCGAAGGACATCACCAGAGCAGATGATCGGAATATCAGAACCAAGCTCCTCACGCACGATGTCCGCTACCAACAATTCATGCGCATTGCTACAGTGAGAGTTGAGTAGCGAAATCGCCACAGCCTCTGGTCGGTCTTCCCTCCATACCCTCAACTCCGCACGCAGCGCGGCTTTATTCACGGTAAGAACTGACTCGCCATTCACAGACATGCGCTCTTGACATTGAATCACACGCTCTAGGGGCACGATCGGCTCCGGCGGAGTGTAATGTAACCAGGCACCCAGACCTCCGGGAATTTGGGAGCGACGAACAGCCAAGATATCTTTATGACCTGCAGTGACGATCAGGCCGGTCCGTGCGCCTTTGCCTTCTAGAACAGCGTTTGTGGCGCTGGTTGTGCCATGGTGGATGAATTGGAATTTCCCGTCCCAGGAGTAGCGATCTTTCAGTTGCTGTCGAACTTTCTGGATGCCATTCTTGATCCCGATGCTTTGGTCCTCAACCGTCGTTGGTACCTTGGCTCTTGCGATCTGTCCGTCGGGCGTAAATGCGCATATGTCAGTAAATGTGCCTCCTACGTCCGCTCCTAGTCGATATTCGCCATGCTCGGTGGCAGAGGACATTGTGAAAGCTCAAAGTAACGTCTCTACACAAACGGAATAAAATGCCTCAGCGACCCTGCAAGGTAACCGTATTTCGGCGGATACGTCAGGGTTCGTTCGGACGCAGAACATAAGCCCACGAGGCAAATCGTTAAAAATAGCACAACGGAGGCCTCGCACGGCAAAATATAATAAGACACCCCTGGGTTTATGTTGAGGGAAAAAATTCCTCATGGTTGAGGTCCCTGGCGTATTCATGTCTCAGGGCGCCTTATAATCTCTGAGTTATAGTGTGAATGCTAAGAAGTTAGTTCAAAGTTCCCCTCCAATACCGCTGCTGCATACTACCCTCCTTCACAGGATGATGCTACTCTGGACCCGCTCTTGCTTGGTAGGGACACCAAGTTCTGACATGGTCAATCCTGGTTGAGTAAATCCGGTGTCAGCCAAACCCACTCACGGCGGGGACGCGACAATCTTAACTTATCCTGACCTCAACTGCACAATCTATCGGCCTTTCGAGGAGCTGACCCACAAACTGGGTTTAGGCATTTTTTCTGGGGTGAAACTGTTCTGCGGCATTACCATATGGGCATCTTAGTAATTCTAACGTACCTGAGCTTTCTATACGAAAGGATACAGCCTGTCATATCCACCGTCAGAGTTGTATCTAAGGTGGGGCGAGAGAGGATAAGCGCAATCCATCGTGTCACCCACTTTCGGAAATCCAGAAATCCATCGACTTGTTAGGCCTTCCATCTCAGTATTTATAAAGTAATAGTGCTTCTCTTGGACTGGCCAAGTACAGTGATGTGCGGTCTTCGAATTTGTTTTCTGTCTGGTGTGAATATCTAGGGCAAAGCTGAACCCAAATATAAGTTCACTACGTCATCGCTCTAACATAAAACAACATATAGATCTACAGACCATACAGTGCACGTAATTTATCAATTTGCCTATTTTTTTAAAAATAGGCTCTGTCATTTTCAAGTTTTTTTGCTCTTTTCTGTTTTGTCTAGAAAATTAAAGAGACATTCAACTCGAATTTCGTGGTTCTCATGTAGAGCCCGGAGAAGCAATCAACCCAACAACTCATTGACCCAAACTCCGATAGTACCAGACTATCACATTCTATGGACATAGTTCTGGTCACATTCATTGTGGCTTGTTTTCATTCATCAAAAAATAGTCCTTCGTAGAAGGGCGAGGGCGTTCTTCAGAATCTGTACCCTTCACCTGACGCTCCTCATCCGCAATCATTCCAACTACCATAGACATCACAGCGTTATAACAATCCACAAAGTGTCGATTATACCAAATCCCTCCGCGTTGCATATGTTCGTTATCTCCGTGCTGAGGATATGGTGACATATAAAGTGGTCTCTCTTTGTCCCAGTCAGACCGAACGTCTTTCTTGACACATATCCTAAGATTCGCAAACATGAACTGCGGTTTTCCTTTCTCGCGCATCTCCTCTATCTGTTCGAGGGACTTGTATTTGCCCTTCGCACGCTCGTCTTCGTCCACTTAAGCCCCTTTGACCTCACAAGCCAGAAAGATAAAATCATAGCTACCAGGATTGTCAGGAGAAGTTCGCTGAATATTGGCTCTCCACGTCCTGAGATATTCTCGTATCCTGGTGAGGTACTCGAGGCCCCTTTTACTTTCTGTAAAAACTGGAATAATAATTTCCAGGAATTTGTATCCGTCTGGTGCCTCAGGACTAGATGGCTCTGCCATGATTGCAAGAACGTGGAATGTTGAGAAGTGAAGAAGGGTGAGTTTAGATGATGATCGGGTGTTGTAGAGCTCAGAGAGCAACTTACCCATGGTATATAGGCCTTCCTGGCGGTATCTAGCAAGCACAGTTACGTGCGCCTCTCTCCTTGTCACCATCCTAAGCACAGAAGTTTTCATTGATATCCGATGCACTCTGAGAAAGACCTTTAAGTATGGTCATCAGGAGGCGGACTCAAAACACTCCTGGTATAGCTCATTGCACGATGAGACGGCCCTGTCGATGTACAGTTCTGTCTGATAATCGATATCCTTTGTGCAGTGACAGGCCTGATACCAATTCGCCATTCAACAGGCAAAGATTCCTTCTCGCAAAGGAAAGCGCAGCTTGAGACCAGGGTACTCTATTCATTATGTATAGGTACCTCTCAAAGATCAAATCCTTAGAACCGCGCGTCGCCTTTACCAGTGTATAGCAGGTCGAACGTTTTCACCACAAGTACAGGAGGAAGCTTTGCTATTTTCGGCATCTAGAACAGTCGATAGGTGCAATGAAATGTCAAATCCATTCAGTAGAAACCGTTAGACGTGGAAAGGGTGCCTTTGTTCCTCTGCCAGGGGTTGGCTCCCTTGGTATTGGCACTCATTCAAATGGTCCAGATTGTAGTTCTCAAAGGTCATCTGTGTGAGGTGCGCGTCGGCGATGGGCTTTCCTTTATTGAGAATAATAAGATCAGACTCTTCATCAGACAGGGTGGTATAAGGAGGTAGCCACCTTTATGGTCGATTGTGTGATTGCCAGCACGGTCAAAGTAATCGTATCTCAACCCTGGTTAGCACACGTTTATCCTTGAGGTAGTCGTCCACTGCCATGATGTGGTTCGAGGCTATGCATCTTCATCATCGAACTAATTGAAACCGACATGTTGAACTGCGTCGTTTCCCTCGCTACTCTGTGTAAAGAATCAAAAATATCGCAAAGCTTCAAAAAAGTCAGGTGTCCTGAAAGGATACACTTTTTGTCAGACAGCCGGATTATCTCCGGCAGCAGAAGGCTATAAATAAACCATAAGATCGATACAAAAGGTACTTATGAGTACAGCGTCGGAGTTAAGAGTATGTCACAGGCGCTGTGAGCTCGTGGTTCTATTTCTCAATCTTTAACCTCTCCAGGAGGTGCGAAAGCTAAGTCCAGTATGATTTGAGCTGTACAAAACAGATAAACCCAGTCGCTACGAGGCCTTTGACAACCATCCAGATACATTTCCCCTGAAAAACTCATTGTTGGCTTGTCGCACAGATATGTATCAGCTTCCAAATTCTTCAGGACGTAGGGTAAGATCAGATCACGGGATGGTCTAGCCCCAATGTCGCTGAAAGGCATGGATACACAGGGACGTAAAACATCAGCTACACTGACCGCAAACCATCGCACCGGTCAGGTTAGACCGTTACCACCCAAGGTCGTGTACGTCCCTGGCCCACTGCCCCCATTCCTCAAACAGCTAGAGTTGCAGCTCTGCCGTCTCCCTGAATCCCATACCCTCATGCAACAGCGTTGAGCGGTTATTGGTCCAACGGATCTATGTAGAGCGATCACTGCGGATATGCGATATTTTTGTACGGTGTATTCCAGACAGTGTCTCAGATGCTATCTTCGAGCGACACGGTCAAGATCATATGAGCCAGTTATGTTGTCCCGAGAGAAACACGAGCGGTGAAAGTGTCATACTAATGTCTCACAGCGTCGCTGGATTCCTCTGCCAAGATTGTTGGATGCATAGGACAAGCAACACACTGGTGACTTGGCATCAGGTAATACGGTAGCCACCTTGCGTGGGCCTACAGAGACTAGCAGCTTAAAGTTGTACCGACCGGGTATATCGCAGCGCATGGTTGCATATCCGCCCTGAGAGCAACAAAGACATGGGCACCGAGGATTGCTCTACAAATACACATTCCACGACATCTGGATGCCTAAGCCGCGATCCTGGAGACAAGCCTACATGCTGTAGGGCACTAAATACAGAAATGCAACCCATGGGAGTAGCAAACTGGAGCCTAAAGTTTCTTCTGATGCGGTTGTTGCGGCGAGAGTTATTGGATCACGTTGAAACCCAATCTATCCGATGCACTGCTGTGTAACTGAACCACAGAGGCCTGCTACAATGGGCCGCGCGGAGTAGCAGTTCTAAGAAGCAGTTCTACGGTTCATGTCAAACAAGACACGCACGTCATTGGCTTTCCGAATGTTCTAGCTTTCTGGGCTCGGCGAATCCTTGTAGGGCAGGTTGTTGGAGAACCAGTGGAATTCCACCGAAAGGCAAAAGCCATTGAGGCAGTGGTCATATTTTTGGTAATTTTATACATTGGTCGAAGCGGATAAAGCCGATAAAATCTGACATAATCTGCACCGCCATTCCTGCACAATGGTCAAGGGCACCGCCACGCCGCCACCATAACCGAGGGAAAAACTCCCAAGACCAAAGTCCCGACACGGCTCATCCCAACAAACCTTCCCAGGCGCAGGAATCCCGTCAAAATAACCTAATTAGCTCGTTAGGCGAGATGAGACCAACAGAGCCAAGACCACCAACGTCATCCTTTACAGCAATCAGGACTGGATCGCATTACCCACCGCGCAGACTGGACAAATGCCAAGTCCACAAAAACCGGGACTGGCGGACGATCGTCCTTTCATTCGGTGGCAGCCTGGAGCAGTGGTCCTGGGGCGAGACTGGTTTTTGAGCACAAATAGGGGCTATTCATAGAAATATGACAAAGTGTGCTGTGGGTCAGGACAGGGGATTTGTGGCCTTGACAACGCAACTCGCGGCCTCGGGGCTCGACGAAGGACAGGGTACTCGCCGTGCTAAAGTGTGCTAGAGCGTCCTAGACAGCTCGTCGTCCTGGATAGTAGTCTTAAGTGACGTCTGTCATGACCTCATAGTACAATTTGGCGAGAGTGAAGGTCAAGAGACACTACACCTTCTGACCGGAACATCACCAGATGGAGGGAACGATGCCTCTTTTCCATCCCACATGGAAGCCTCCGGAAAACGGGTGTGGAGCCGTGGACCCAAGCACACTTTACCATGAAACGTAAGTCGGGCGACGAAGCCTGCGGTGATTCGTGGCTGTGGTCTCCATCACAATGCATTGCCACTGCGACTGCTATGCCGATCTATTTCTATCATCAACACAGGGCAGAGAAGCGAATATTTAAGGAGCCCGGTACTCTCCAGATCTACGGATGATTTATCTCGATCATCAACCAACAATTAACAATCTAATCTGTGGATTATCACTCCCATACTTCTTCTTCCACTAAAACTATCCACATCTCTATACACACATAAACATCCTTCAAAATGCAGTTGACTCTTCTCACCACCCTGCTCGCTGCCACCTCCGCCCTGGCTGCTCCCCAGATCGACAACATCATCTCCGATGTTGCTGGAGCCGCCCAGACCGCTGTGAACGGCGGCCAGAGCATCGCCTCTGACATCGCCAGTGCCGCAACCTCCTTCGCTTCCGCCGTTGAGACCGGTGTTCCCGGCGCCGCCTCTTCCATCACCTCGGCCGCGGGCGCCGCTGCCTCCAGCGCGGAAAGCTGGGGTTCCTCCATCGCCTCCAATGCCGAGAGCAGGGGTTCCTCTATCGCGTCCGAGGCCAGCTCCAGGCTGAGCGAACTGACCACCCTGACCGGCACCAACGGACAGCCCACTTCCACCGCGACCGTCTCTACCACCTCCGCCAGCGGAAGCGAGACCACCACCTCTACAGGCTCCTCCACCACCGGTACTTCTTCCTCTTCCTCTTCCTCTTCCTCCTCGGCCGGCAGTGCCTCCTCCACCAGCAGCGATGGCGCCGGTGCCATGCCCACTCCCTTCAACTTCGGTGCCGGTATTGCCGGTGTCGCCGGTGTCTTGGGTGTCATGGCTGCTCTGTAAACGAACAACGAAAAATCTCATAAACCATCGCTGCTTTCGGTACGAAATACTATGTGACACTATACCATGATTTAAGCGGGAAATAATATCCTTCGGTTACGACAAGTTAATGGGAATCATGGCGTTTTGACTGCGTCTTCATGTACATGGATATACATTTTGAGTTCTGACATACATATACTGTTATGATATGGTTATATTCCTAGTAATGAACTTCTACTAGTAAAGTTTTTTCTTTGTCGCTGTCGTAGCTTGCCGTAGTCGTAGTTGGATATAACATCTGAAACACTCAATAGGAGAAGCGATTGGTGAAAATTATCAAACAGATTAGAGCTAATGCCAAAAGAAGGAAGTAAAGAAATTTTGCTTGTCTAGCAGAATTGTCCTTCGTTCATGTTGCTTTGTTGGAATCTCAAATCTTCGATCAGGTGGTGTAACGGCGGTAGACTATATCGGTGTGATCCAGGGTATTGTGAACCGTACATTCAGAATTATCTGACCTTTTGGCGCTAGTTGGGAGCGGGTTTGTTTGCCTGGGTCGCACGCCCTCACAGGTGGCTGAATATTAACCGTAATTCAACCAATTCCTTGTGCATTTTTTTTTCTGATTTGAAATCTCGAATTAGTGGCTACAACTGAACATAGAGGTTCGGAAGGATTACAATTATTAAGACTTGGCTCTCTTTGTAAAGTAGACAGTGTAGTTATCTCCAGGATTTATGCTTTATTCTCCGAGGCGATTCGAGAACTTAAATCTACTAAAAAAGTTGCGCAAGTTAGAAATATTCAAAATAAAGTCATTTGGGATTTTCACTCTAGAGATGTTTTTGCCACTATTAGAAAAAAGCATCAATAATTGAAGACAATCTTGTACACTCTCAGCTGTGCGATGAATTTCTTAACTCCAACATTTGTTGTTATTATCCTTCGTTGCACAGATATATATATATCTAAACAGTAGGACGGAGAGCCAGGGAAACCGAGTCAAAGAATAAAAAAAAAAAAAAATAGAACTTTGGACGGAATCCGAGTCACTGGAATCCGCAGCAATTAAGCGGACCGAAATTTCTGAAAAAAAAGGCATCACAGTTACCCGCAAATATAGGACTTTGATAGAATGTAGAAGGAGTTCCTGTCAATCCTGAGGTTCAGATGATGGAGTTCCCAAGTGCCCTACCCGTGTAGATCGGCGAACACCCACCTTTCCACGGTACAACCTCTGCGAGCTCCACTTTATTGTAGATGGCATGAGAAATTGTCGGAACATTTTCGCATCTTGTTACAAATTGTATATCTTGATAGTATGTATGGTAATTCGGACCACCTCATGACTATTAAGACAGTACCCCTTAGTTTATAGAAACAGTAAAAATAGATGTGGAATTGATATGAAATTGGATTATGCTATATCGTAACTCGTAACGGCAGGAGAGGAGAATCTAAACTATAGACAGGTAGTCTAGGTATGGTCTATATCTGGAAAACAGAAAAGAAATCAATCTAAACAGGCACACCGCCGGTACCGAAGAGCTCCAGCTTGATGCGATCCTCGCTGACACCCGCAGCGGCCAGCGCAGCACGCGTGGAGGTCATGAAACGGTCCGGACCGCAGACATAGTATTCCGTCTTGGGGTCATCGAGGAACAGATCCTTGGACTTGTCCAGCTTGGAAAGGTCAACACGGCCCTGGTGGTCGTAGTCCTCGCCCTGCTTCTCCTCGGCACCGGGGTGGGTTTCGAAGAATGTAGCGTGCAGGTCCTGGTACTTCTCCGCCAGGGAGTCAATGTCCTTCTTAAAGGCACGAGCAGCGGCCGAACGAGCACCGTGGATGAAGTGAATCTTGCGCTGGGGGGCATCTGGGGGGTTCGAGGTGAGGGTCTTCAGAATGGAGGTGAGCGGGGTGAGACCCACACCGGCGGCGATGAGAACAATGGGGTTGGGGCTCTCGGCGTCCGAAAGATAGAAGTCACCGAAGGGATGGGAGACCTTGACGACATCGCCTTCGTTGATCTTGGCATGGAGGATGTTGGACACGTATCCGGGGTTGGAGGGAGCATTGGCGTCGGCGGTGTTGAGCCTGCCTCCCTCTTGACACTGATCCGGTAGTAGTCCTCCCGTGGAGCGTCACTCAGGGAGTATTGACGGCATTGGGGGAACTTGAGCGAGTCCACGAAAACCTGCACGGAGATATACTGGCCGGGGCGGAACTTGGGGAGGGGCTTGCCATCGACGGGCTCGAGGTAGAACGAGGTGATCTCCGAGGACTCAGGGACCTTCTTTGCGATACGGAAGTCGCGGAATTCGGTCCAGCCGTCGGCCTGCTTGTACAATTCGGCCTCGCGACCGATCATCAGGTCGGCGAGTTGCCAATATGCGGTCGCCCAGGCATCGAGGATCTCGGGGGTCAGCGCATCGCCGAGGACCTGGCCCATGGCCTCCAACAGAAACTTGCCCACGATTTGGTATTGATCGGGTTGGATATACAGCGATGCGTGCTTGTTGCAGATCAATTCAACGGCGGGACCCAGGGCTCCTAGGTCATCGATATGCGACGCGTAGGCAAAGAGGGCTCCGGCCAGGGCACGGGGCTGATGACCGTTCGTCTTGTTGGCGTTGTTGAAGACGGCGTTCAACTCGGGGTGAGCCGTCAGCATGTTGTCGTAGAACACGGTAGTAATGTTGGTGCCATGTTGCTGGAGGACGGGCACGGTAGCTTGATGAGCTGGATTTGTTCGGGGGAGAGCGGCATGGTGAAGGGATTGGTCTGCAGGACTGATTAAACAGATGAGGGGTGAGATGTGACGTTCAGTAACTTAGGGCTACCCCTCCTGCGAACGTCAGTCTCGGCCATGGTATTTATACCACAGATGAGCGCATGCCCCTGGACAACGTGTTGCCATTTTTCGTTCTTCTTTTTAGGTTAACTCTTTTGGTTCCTGGTCACCGGCCGAAGATGAACACCGGGACTGTGGATATTTGGTAAAAATTTCTCTGAGAGGCCGATAATTGGGCTCTATCTCCGCGGTCCATCACATCTCCGCGGGGTATGGAAGACTGCAACATGTCTGGAAAAAAGGCCAGAAGAAATGTTTGCTTGAGGGCAATCAGGGCCAAGATAATGATAAGCCACTAAGCCTGATTGGTCAATGCGTTCTCCCATTATCAAGTTTCTCAACCCTTATGACCAGCAGGGAAGATGCTGCAGGTTGAACAATCTGGAGCATACCCCGTACATGGTCTTCCTTGTTCTCCGCACTGATTGCTGTTGGAACTACTGACTCTCTTGCGGTGTGTACGCGAACTGAGGCCAAGACTTTCGTAATACTATCAGCCCATTCGTCGGAAATTCTCGGGACACTCGTCCGTGTTCGCTAAATTCTCGGGGTTTGGGAGAGTGGGAAGACTTTTCGACAGTGGCACCATCCAGCTACGACGGGGCAAGCAGTGGCTGAGCCGGAGCAAAAAGGGAGGAGAGTAAGACAAATGGATCATGCTTATCATACATATGTATCACAGTACGACCATACTCAGAGTAGACGTCGGAGAAGAGAACAAGTGGAAGTCATGAGATCATAGGGCTTCGGGTGCGCAAGCCCCAATCTATTTTTTGGATGTTCTCCAGTGGGACCCTTCACAACGACAGCTTGGCATGGCATTGATCTACTCCTAGTTCTTGATCATAGAACTACGCTTTGATGTATATGGGAAAACTTGAACTAAGGTGAAAAATACTGAGAGTTCTCTCTTGTATCTAGTGAAGCATTAATCATTGATAGCAACTTCATCTGCTTGGTCTGCATTCGAAGTTCCATCTCTACACTACGCCCTCACCGCCGAGAGGTCTAGACTTCGGCCACTCCGGCGAGAGCCCTCGGTCAGTGGGCGCAGGAAGGACTTTCTGCCACCAAACTCTTGATGAGGCAGGATCTCTGGACTATAACCATGGAAATGTCTCTTGCGGCCGGTCTTTCATCACTTCCATGATTCCACCACTGAGGAACCTGGCCAGATGCGGTCGTTTTTGGACGGACAGAGTTCAACTGCAGCAAAGAATCAACTGAAGTCATGACGTTCGACCTCGTAATCCGATATGAGTATAAAAACCAGCGATCTTAGCAGAAGCGGTGGGTGAAGCGTCAAGAAAGAATTTACGAAGGGTTTTGGAGGGAGCTGGTCAATCACAAGAATCGTGCTGTCTTCCGTCTCCAAGTAGTAAATTCGAGACCATCCACATAGCAAGATGAAGTTTCTGAAACGGGGAGCTCGCGCTGATAGTGATGAGCACCCTAGCTCAGCCCCAGTGTACCGCTCCACTCAGAAGCAACTCCCCATGTTGCATCTGAAAGATACCGTGCGGAACAATGTCATTGCCGTCGTGGGAGAATTTGTGGGAACCTTCCTGTTCTTGTTCTTTTCATTCGCTGGCACTCAGGTGGCCAACACGCCCGCACCAGTGCCCGGTGCTCCGCCGAATACCTCGAACTTGCTCTATTCTTCCCTGTCGTTCGGATTTTCCTTGATGGTTAACGTCTGGGCCTTTTACCGGGTGACCGGCGGTCTCTTCAATCCAGCGGTAATGTTGCCCGTGTGACGTCTGCGGTATCAAGGCTAACCACAACAGGTCACCCTGGCCCTATGCCTCGTGGGCGGCTTGTCGCCTATCCGTGGGGTCCTAGTCTTCGCGGCTCAGATTGTGGGTGGCATTGCGTCGGCCGGTGTGGTCAGCGCCCTGTTTCCAGGGCCTTTGAATGTTTCAACCCGTCTAGGAGGAGGCGCCTCTATCTCGCAGGGGCTGTTTATTGAGATGTTCCTCACCGCGCAACTGGTCTTTGTGATCATCATGTTGGCGGTGGTGAAACACAAGTCAACCTTTCTGGCACCGGTCGGAATTGGTCTAGTCTTCTTCGTCACGGAGATGATTGGTGAGCCCGTCCTTTGCAGCTGTCATGTACCGTTTGTCTCATACCTATCAATGTAGGCGACTACTATACTGGCGGCTCCCTTAATCCCGCGCGTTCCCTCGGCCCGGATGTTATCAACCGCAGCTTCCCAGGTTACCATTGGATCTACTGGGTCGGTCCATTGCTGGGTTCCTTACTGGCATGCGGTTTCTTCGGTCTCTTGAGGATGATGGAATACCAGACCGCCAATCCGGGACAGGATTATAACGAGTGGGAAGCGAAGAACGGCCCCGGATCCTTGGACATGGCGACGACCCGACCGTCGGTCCAGTTCTCCGACACGTCCACCCTAAACCACGGGCATTCGCCGACGAATGGCCAGGGCGTGCAATCGCAACCGGTCAACGGTGCAGAGCAGGTTTAATCGCTGTCTACCGGCCTCGCTGGAATCAGACACGCCACGGATCCTGTCATTGGACTGTTGGACGCTTTTAATGCTGATAATTTTCGATAGTCGACCTAGCTGTGTCCAATTCGGGACAGTAAGGACGACATATGAACCTGTAGTCAATTATAATTGTTAATAAGTGTAGTTACATCGCCAGCAAGGATTAATACTTGTTGGTGGGGGGAGTCTTGGGTGGAAGGTTACATATTAGTTACTAGTACTTGGTGGTTGGGAAGGTATGTGCGCATCACGTTGGTGGCTTAACCCTTTTGGTCGATAGTGTGTTGCGTTAGGCCCAAATCAGATCAACTCCGTTCTCGCAGCTTCAAAGGAAATCAATTCCAGTGTTTGATTTCAGCCCTGGCTGAATGCCCCATAGCGACTTCTCTCTTAAGTTGTAGTTGACATTGACAGCATGAGAGATTTTATTACTCAACATGGCATGACACGAAGAGAATAATGTATGTGTCTGCCCTTTTATTCGCTTAACCCATGTCCGAAACCATGCAGGTATCCTTGTTCGTTAAACAGTCGACGTAAGGAGTGTTTAGTCGCGTCACAAAGGCATTGTGGGTAGGATCAGTGCGAAATTGCGATCAGAATGATCAATGGTGTTAGGTTAATTACAGGTGCAGTGGCTGAACTCAGCTGTGGACTAAAAGGGGAAAACTGGAGCCCTAACTCCCCTCTGCCATTGCGAAGGATCGTAACATGAGTTTTCTTCAGGGGACGTCTGCACTATCAATGCATGAAATTTTCCTCAAATAAAGATCGCTATAATGGATGAACGCCGGCGCTGGAGGAATTAAGGTCATCATCTTAAATATTCCTGAGTCTGCCTGCGTTGAATCGAGACTCATGGGATCGACAGACCCACGTCTGAGTGCCAGGTGGAGCATCACCGAACTCATTGGCCACCCGTCGCAACGCCATATGTTCTTTTGCTGCAAGGTTTGGCTGCCTGTCCGTCATGGAAAAAAATCGAGACAATTTGAGTTCCATGGCCATCACAGCGTTGAATCAGGGGCGTGTTTCCCAAGCCAACAGGATGTCCCAGAGGTGTTCATCCCTACCCCATTGGGGATATCCGTCGCTTTCTCCACTGTGTTGCAACATTCCCGGCGCCGATAGGGGAATAGCTCCCAGAACTGGTGCATCTTAAACTTTGGGCTATCCACGAATCCACTCCGATAGTCTACGATCCGTTTCCTTGGTTCCCTCAAGCCTATTCCTTAAGACTCCACGCCTTCCGCAGGTGGGTGTTCGACTCATTCAACACGCCAACGGCGATATCAGTATCCAGAACCCTCCCTGTTGGACACCGCACACACGGTCAAGGGAGCATGGCCAAGATGGAATCACAAGCAGCCGTCCAGGCTCATCCCCGCGCCGATGAGGCCGGCCTGGCGGAGCCTGGTGATATGGAGTTACTGGGTAGGTTCGTCCTGATGGGTGAGCGGCGTCAAAAATGACTCGGTATCGTTAACGTGCGCAGCGAAAATGGGTTACAAGCAGGAGCTGCGCCGACAGTATTCGACCGTCCAGATCTTCGCCGTCGCCTTTAGTATCATGGGTCTGGTGCCGTCAATCGCCTCGACCCTCGCGTTTTCGTTGCCCGCCGGGCCGGCGGGTATGGTTTGGGTGTGTATTTCTTTGATTTGCATTATTGTCGCATGCCGGTCAGATGCTAATCGTATAGGGTTGGTTTATCGCGAGTATTTTCATTTTCACCGTCGGTCTTGCCATGGTAATCGCTACCCCGGATGCGACACTCCGATCGCGACAGAAACTAACGGTCGCAGGCCGATATGGCGTCCGCGATGCCCACTGCCGGCGGTCTCTATTGGTGGACGCACTACTTCGCCGGTGATAAGTACAAGAAGGTGTTGAGCTTCTTGGTTGGATACAGCAATACAATGGGGTTGATTGGAGGAATGTGCTCGGTGGATTGTAAGGGGACTTTTTCCCACAGTTGTGCAAGGCGCATGCTAATGAACAGACACGCTCTCTCTGATGCTGCTGGCCTGTGTCTCTATCACTCGCGATGGAAACTGGTCGGCCTCGAACGGCACGATCTACGGCGTCTATGTCGGACTCATCATTATCCATGCCCTCTGCGGTATTTATACGGGGAAAATCATGCCCAAGATCCAAACCTTCTGTATCTTTATCAACGTCGCCATCATCGTCGCGACCGTTATCGCTCTCCCTGTTGGAAAGGTCACTCGTGGCGAAAAGCTCAATTCGGGATCATTTGTCTATGGGCACGTCGATAATCTTACCACCTGGCCGACCGGGTGGGCCTTTGTCCTGGCCTTTTTGGCTCCGATCTGGTCCATTGGCTTCTTCGATTCTTGCGTGCATATGAGCGAGGAGGCGCTCCACGCTGCGAAGGCCGTGCCGCTGGGAATCATTTGGTCGGCTGGATGTGCATGTGTGTTGGGTTTCCTCGTCCTGTCGATCATCGCCGCCTGCATGAACCCAGACGTGAGCGCGACTCTGAACTCGGTGTACGGCCAACCTATGGCGCAGGTAGGACTTCTTCCTATCATCCCCATCTGACACCCGGTAACCATGTGCTAAACGCGACCAACAGGTCTACTTCGATGCGCTGGGCAAGCGAGGAGCGCTCGGCTTCATGGGTGTGTTGATCGTCATCCAATTCCTGATCGGCCTCAGTCTGGTATGCCCCCTCAATACCCAACGTCTACATCGATCATGAAACTAATCGGTAAACACAGATCGTCGCCGCGTCTCGGCAAGTCTGGGCCTTCTCCCGTGACGGCGCTCTGCCCTTCTCTGGCTACTTCCGCCATGTCAGCAAGCGCGTCCGCTACCAACCTGTCCGTGCCATCTGCGGCCTGGTCATCGTCTGCATCATCTTCGGCCTGCTGTGCCTGATCAACTCCGTCGCCGCGAATGCGCTGTTTTCCCTGTTCGTTGCCTCCAATTACGTCGCATGGGGCACGCCCATTCTCTGCCGCTTGATCTGGGGCCAGACGCGCTTCCGACCGGGCGAATTTTACACTGGAATCCTGAGTCGTCCACTGGCAACGATTGCCGTCGTGTGGCTGCTGTTCGGCTTGATCCTGTCCATGTTCCCTAGCATGGGGCCGAATCCTACTGGTATGCTTCCCTCTTTCTCCCCTCGTCCATATTTTGTGTCTTCTTCCTTAATGCTGACGGGATATTTAGCCCAGGATATGAACTACACAATCGTCATCAATGGCTTTGTGTGGATCGCCGCGATGACTTACTACGTTCTGTTCGCGAGAAAATGGTACACCGGCCCGAAGATGACTATCGATGCGCCGGCGAGTGCAACAGACTCCGCGTCGGGGGATGAAGCAAGACAGCAGGAAAAGTCGGCTTAGAGTTGGAGTACTTGTTTAATTCTTATATCCCTTACAGTTAGAGTTCCTATAGCGAGACTTGGCTTTTGTACACTTCATTTCGAATCTTATATTATACATGTTTTTTTCTCCGTCAGTCATGGACATTATATGCGATAATCATACCCTCTGCATGTCTGGTCAGCTGTGCATATATTCATGTCACAAAATGTATTAACATCATTTCATTCATAATAGATAACATTGGGACCATCCGTGTCAGCTGTCCAAGAGCCTCGTTGATCGTTGGTGTAATCAGCAACACCTTATAACCGTCCATTCCATTTTAATTCAATGAATAAGACCACTACTATAGAGATTAAGATGAACGCAACTCCGAAAATAACCGGTCATGAAATCTATATATAATCGTCTATCCATCTAGCATCATAAGTCTAGTAGTCATTAGCCGTCGAGCCATAGAGATGTTCCCCACGCTCAAGGACCTCAATCTCATCACCAACAGCGACATATAACCCCTTCTCTAGCTCCTCAGCCACCTGCAAGGCCCGATCCTCAGGCACACAGTGCATACCTATATACCCAAGAGCTGACTTATTCCCGTCTTCAACCGTACGGTACTTAATCAACGTGGCACTCGGCTGCGGTTTACCCCTTTTCTTCTCTGCAGGCGGGTTATCCGCGCTGGGCACTCCAGTCTCCGGATTCACATTAGGCATCGTACACCGCGACGTCCGACAAACAACCGACACGGTCAGTGCTACATCAGCCCGTGGCTCTGCGTCACTGCCCTTCGGCAAAATGCGGTACCGCTTCCAGCTCTCCTCGTCGAAGGCTGGGGCACCCGTGATCCAGATATTGGCGCGGAAGCGAAAGGCATTGAGGGGTTGGTTTTCCGTTGGCAGCAGTGCGGACACAGCGTGGACGGACGACAGGCTGTTTATATTGATGGGCTGCTGGTCCGTATAGCCGTGGACAGAGGGTGTGCCGATGTGTTCGAGTGGTGCCAGGTTTTTATCTGTACGGACAAGGGTATCGGATGTACATCTTAGCAGGGTAAGATTCTGATCATTTGCGATGCGCAAGTATTTTTTCAATTTCGGTAATGCTTCTGCGACGGAGGGAATTGCACCCATGTCCAGACCCTTTGCGTCACGGGAGTGAATGCCGAATGTTTTGTATTGGATTCCGTATTCGTTTATCATGGCGGGCGTGGGCTGGAGAGGTACGATGAACTGCACTTCCGGCTTTGCGAAGCGCTTCCCTGTCTGAAAGAGCTTCTTCAGAGAATCGAACCGGCCAGGCCCATCGGGGTCAGGGAATGACACCACGACACATCCACCGGCTTGGACAAGCGGGTCATGCTGATTGCTCTCCTTGTGTGGCAGCCATAACTCCGTCTTGATCTGAGACATGGTCGGCTTTGTGCGCTGGCAGATAAATCGCCATTTCGATTCCATGGCGGGATTGTTCTTGCCCAGCTCCGTGGCCAAAGCGAAGCATCTGTCGTACATGAGCCCGGTCTTGGTCAGTAAAGCCCGGTTCAGCTCGATCCGGCCGCATGACTTGATCGGGTGAACGCAGATCGCCTTGATGCGTATCGGTCCCTCGGGCGTGGTTCCTTCTGGTGCGTCGTATTTGGATTCATACTGATCTGCCATGTTGCTAGTCGATAGGCCGATTCTTCGCAAATGTCTGAGCTTCTTCCGGTTTGTACATGTGTTTCCATTTTGGACGGCGAGGATGAAGACCAGGCCTAGCAGGAGTATGACATTTATGACGCCATAGGTGACTGTGGAGGTCTTCAGTACGTCCTGAAGACCTTGTAGAATATCTCGGACCATTTTGCCAGGGTTGTGGATGGTGTAGCGAATCGCTCGTTTGGTGAGAAGCAACGGAAGATATCTAGATTTCTAACATATCCACCACATCTCAAGTTCCGTTGGATGTTATAAAGCCCGTTTACCCCGTATTAAGAACCGAGAATTTTTTTTTCCTGGGAATCCGAGGTTATTAATACTGTTGCACTGCAGATAAGGCGCCAAACATGAGTTCCATTTGAGGAAGTTTGACGGAGTGGATCCACCAGATCCACTGGAACGCAGAATCATCGACCCTGACTGGATGGATCTAAGGCGCAAGGAAGATTTGAATTGGGTTACTCTGCTGCACCTGGGGTCGGGGATTCAGATCCTACATTACGAATCAGAGAGAGTCTAGAAACTGTGGGATGGAGTCTTCCCCGTGGTAATAACCGCCTGTATCTTCCGATTGATAATAATGTACTATATGCTTTAAAAATCACCAGGGTTTATCATTCAATGCGAGCAATGTGTTCCATAACTTTTCCGGCAGTCATTCCCTACATATTCCACCATCTCGTATTCAATCCAGATGTGACTCATTGTGAGACAAAGGAGGATTCCTACATAGAATATTCACGGGTTCCCGGCACGATTCTGTATTAACTTCCAGTAGCGGATATTTATACCCCGTACTCCACATGCCGATGTTCCTCCATGATTCAAGTTCATCCTCATCTCGTCGGGTTTCCTATTCCAGTATAGATCGAGATGTCCACCGCTATCCCGAATATCTACGAGCTTCCGTCTATCCTATAGAACGCGATATTGTTCTGCGACCCAATTTGGCAGTTAATTCGACCAAGATGTCGTCGATCTACGTTATAAGACTTGGTGTCAAGCTGGCGTAACCACCTGCACCCTGAATAACACTCAAGCTAAAAGGGATCATTCGTTTGCGCACGCCTTGACACACTGATACATGCTGCATACGCTCTGCATATCTACGTACTGCCAACATATTGAGCACAGTGCTAATATGCTAAAATAAACCGCATGCCCATCGGTCGGCCTGTGGCCATAGAGCTTAATGGAACCAAATGGTGCGGTGTTTGTAAAGGGTGTTATGTACTGATGGGCGACGATGCCAGGTACAATTCCTGGCTGGTTAACCAGTGCATGGGAGACGTCTGCGCCACCACGTCTTGGACGAAATACCCGATGTAGTGGGAGCAAGGCATAGCACGGGTAGCCGGCTATTGGTTGGAAGACTGAAAGACGCATATTAGGTGAGCCGGACTCATTCCTACCGGTCGCAATTGATCTGGACACCATTGACGAGGCTATAGGGCGGATAGTGCTGTACGCCATGTAATGTATCAGCGATACTTCACAAGGAAAAAGCAAAAGATGCTCAGAGTGGGAGTGATTCGGCAGATAATCAGATCTAGAACGAAGATTTCAATGGGGAGGCACCTAGTAGCAGGAGAAATGCTGCTGCCATGGACAATAAGTCTCCATCTAACAGTCCCAAGCCAATTATTATACGAAGCCACAACGTGTTGTCATATTACGTTCTTATAGTCCAGGCTTTACTGGGAGAATGGGTCCACGGGTAGGCAACCACGAGGGCATGAAGAATGGCTCTATATACTAATATCGACATAGATCTAAAGACCAAGGAAAGGTCAGATAGAAGTACAAATATCGGATTGCTCGAGGGCCTCTCGTCAATCTACAGCGCCTTCCGCATCCGAGGCTCCCCAAAGACTTTTAAAACTCGCATCAAGTTGACCGTGGAGATAGAAAAGGATTCCCAACAGTCACCATGCCTTATGGGACGGGGCTCACAACAGAGCGAACCCAAAACAAGCAGAATGTGCCGCAAAATGCGCCTGTTAATACTCTCTGCATGCGTTCGGCCCATGCCCATACGCAAACTGAGCCACCCTTCGTTGTTTACGTATGATCTCGAGCATGTCCGAGGCGTCCCTCTCCCATATAGTCCTACCGGCTTCATGAGCACCATAATGGCATGGCACATCTTCGCCGCTAAGACATGGTGTTTGGCTTTTTGGACGACTTGTAACTGGTCTATGCATCAGAAGCTGCCTCTTAATAATACAGAGAGGCTGTGATGGCCCCTAGGAGGTGGTCACTGTGCCGGGGGAAATGGAGAGCAATAGGAGGAGCAAGAGGAGCAAGGGGATCACCACCAGTAGGATCACCACCAGCACCAGCAGGAGGTTGAGCAGCAGGAGGAGCAGGATGAGTAAAGTGCGACTGAATCCAGACAGTGCCAGTGCTACCCGGCTAGGCGTACTAGTGCCATTACTACTTCTCCCTCTTCATCGCCACCACAATGCTCTGGAACAATTGGAGAAAATGTGGGCAAAGTCTCCAATTATTTCTAAGCCAAATGGAAATTGAAGAGCGGCAGAAGTGCTCAACAACCCACCTTTGCTCATGCAGCACGATTGCCTAAGCGAATATGCTATATCCTTTCCCTCGTGTGGTTTCCCGTGGCCGCACGAGAGTCGAAATGACTTTAGTAGTTCGTGCGCCAGTGGTACAAGTGAGTAGTTTCTGCTCTCTTCTCAGGACCCTGTGTGGACTTGGATAGCTTCCAGCGTCGCTCTTATACCTCAGGGTGCCTGGGATCAGCCACCGACATGTGGGTGAAAGCTCGCAACATCCAACACAAAGCCAGACAACGAATGCGACGCCAAGGATAGTGGTAATATCTGTGGTAGGGAAGATCTATATCCTTGAGATTCCATGAGTTTGTACACGATATATGATATTGCTTTCTGCAACTGCCAATTCGTGATATCCTTTATTGTCGGACACAGCAAATTACCGCATTGATTACACAGGACATTACAGTTACTGCACCATGGAAACATGATATTATTGTAACCATTGGTACCACAGCCTATGTGAGCCGTGCAAACGCGGCCCCGATACGACAGTTAACCATCCTACGATATAGCCAAGCAACTTTGGAAAGAATCAAAATTGTATTCTCTTCAGGTATTCGCTGCAACCCTTGGGCTATCAAAGTCGAAGACGATAGCGAGAGTTATATCGATCAATCTATTGCAATGGTACCAAATGCAAACAGCAGAAGCTGGTGCCACTGCGGCGCTCCATGTGTTTCTGCTTCTGTATTCTCGCCTTTGTACAAAAGAGGAACACCCGGCAGTCCCAGTACAGTTCCATTTTAAAAGGAGCCTGGAGTGTCAGCTTCCTGGCTAAGTCTATCAACTACCGTGGCTTGGGAGATGATATTGCGCTGGCCGAACATATCGCAGCAGATCCCTTGGAATATTGCTTCCAATGGGCGCTCAATGCCGAGAAAGAACGGCCGATCTAAACGATTGTAGTTGCGATGAGCAGTTATAAAGTCCCAGTGGACAGGGAGTTAAGGACGACCTTTATCCGGCCTGCATGTTGGCCCATTTCTATTCCAATTAGGGCTCATGCAACAACCACTATGCTCATAAGAGACGATGTAAAGCTGTATACCCTGGGACAGAATAAGATCGACGACAGTGCAATTCGTGTTGTACTGACCTACCGATTTTCAGGCTCCAGCCAGAAATGCCGACTTGATCAACGACACGAAGCAAAAGATTTCTTCACTCAATACACACCCACTTAAAAGGTCAAGTTACTAACAAAAGGTAGCAGATCGTCTTTTGTGCGAGGGACCTCCAGAATTTTATTTTCAATTATTATTACCATTATGTTCCGATCGTCAATCGCATCTCAAAAGATTCGTCGGTATCTTGATTACTTTAAGCAGTTTTCATTGAGCAGTCAGTTCGGTGTCCTTTTTCCAGTTATTGTACCATTCATTGAGTCAAATACAATCTATATCGATAAGTACACTGAATTATTCCAGTGGCCCATTCAGATTATCACGGGTGAGAGGATGGGATTTGGACAGCGCGGATCAAAAGGCACGATGTGGAGGAAGTTATACCCCTAATCCTGCAAATGAAAACTTCCACGGATGACTGAGTCGTGCATTTCAGTATCACCAGGACGGTGATAGAATCACCCCGCGCGTTGGCGTTCGGCAGAATACTTACTAGTAAGCAGTTTTAAGCATAGGAATTAGGGAAGTAGATTACAACGCTTTTACAAGACCTCTAGAGTCACTAGGGCCCCTAGTCAACTACCTTTATAACTACATTACCAGCAGCCGGCGGCTCAAATCCCTCCTCAGGATAATCTAGATCAAGCTGATTGTTAAACTGATTATCAAGCTGAACGTCAGCCGATGCCGCCTATGTATATATCGGATGTGTGGTGAAGTTAGATACAAGCGAAGCCAGAATTCTGAAGTTTCATCTCAAACTATCGCCGCAATAACAAGTGGAGGCAACATACAAATGGCAGTACAAAAGGCATTTCAGAGCTTACTCCGTTGCACTGGCGCTATTGGATTCTTCCTTTCCTGAGTTGGATGGCATAGAGTTCATGAGACCTCTGAGAAATTGAGCCACATGCTCTTGGTTATTGTAGATCGCCAAGCTTAACGCCGTTCGACGGTAGGGATCCAAGATCCAAGGGTCTCCCCCTTTCTCCACTAGAAACTTCACGGAATCCAATGACCCAGCAAGTGCAGCGTAATGAAGTGGAGTGCCGAGCCCTGCTCTATAGTTCATCGCGAAATCCGTAGGAGAATCCTGGTCCAGCAGCTTGTTCACACTTAAAGCATTTGCCTCTGGGTCCTGGTTATAGATATATTCCAGAACTGCCAAGCTGTCTGTACCTTCGCGCATTGCTGCGTAGTGTAATAACTGGCCATGGGCAGCCGAGCCTCCGTTTCGGAAGAGTATCTCGATAGTTTCTAATGTACCCTCTAGAACAGCATGGGACAATGGGGTAAAATCACGGATGTGACAACGTTTGTTTAAATCAGCGCCATGCTTCAAAAACCATGCGAGGAGTTCCATGTCATCAAAGGTGTACCTAGGATACGTCAACTATTGGACATGTCACAAGCCATTGACACTTACACAACCGCTGATGCTATTAGTGTGCTGACATCAGTATTTATATCCCATCCACGATCAAGATACAGCTTAAGGACATCATAACGTTTCATCTGTGTTGCGAGAACAAAGTGCTCGATAGTCATTGGTACCCCTTCGTTTAGCAATCTAATCACAGTGTGAGTGTTGCCGTCCTTAATGGCGTTACAAACTTCCTTTGTTAGATTTCTCATCCTTGCAGTGAAAGCGAAGGTAAATATTTGAGAATACACTTATATACACCGTTTTCAACATCGCTTTCGTGGAGAAAATTACCCCGCGATGGAACAGAAGGTATTAAAACCAAATCGTCCTGCATAGCCTAGTTCGTAGGTCAATGCACCATCCCTTGCTTGATCGAAGTCCCACTACAGCGACTAGAATAGCTCTTTTAGAACCCGATTCCATCTACTATTCACTTGCAATGGATGACCACACTGGGGGTAGCCGAGCAGCTCGTAGTACTCCGTTATAATACCCGAAAGCAGTATATAGCACGATGGTTCGATAGAAAAGCTTGCAAGCAGCCATCAAAAGCACTCGCTGCCAATAAGGGCATAGGTTTAGTCTAAAGCTGCAGTCAAATATCGATAGCTTCGGCGATTGGAAGACCTCAACCTGGAAAATGCCGGGCCGGACCGAAGGATTGTGTAGTACGGACTGGCATTAATGGTTTACACTGAGCCTACAAAAGTGCAAGTTCTAGATAGATTTTGAACTGATGACCCATGCTCACCACGTCACGACTCATGCGCCCCCCACCTTTCTATATGCAAGTTCGTTAACGGTCTAACTCCATGGTGATGCGTAATCTAGGCCTAAGTTGCTTGATGGCGCCGCGTCAGTGGTTCAGCCATCTACCAATCTAGCATAGCGTCGGTCGCTTATACCTGTGGCCCGACTCAGCCAAGGTGAGACTTTACAGAACAGCCTGGTCGTGGGCAGTGGAAAAGGCTTGTTAAAACTTCGAACTGGGAACTTGAACTTTGAAGCCCCTCGCATGGACATGACAGCGCGTGGCCCTTCCAGTGCCGAATCTTTGTGAAAAGGCCATCTCATGCCATCGGAGTGCTTACTCGCATAGTGCATATGATAGTGCTGCTACCTCGCTGCTATTATCGTATGATAACCAATGGAATTATGAGTTCGGTGTCTTTATTTTGCCCTTAATAGTTGTCGGAAGACGCAGTCTTCTGAGCCCTCGTTTTGCTGGACAATAATCTTTGTTAATTCTTGCCGTATACGTATTGTGCTAAGACTATGGGAATGGAATAGCCGCGAACAGCATTTTAATAATTGTTCCCATATATAGATTAATATAGTCAAAGCAATGTGCAGGGTCATGGATATACTGAGCAAATTTATACAACCCGCGTACAGCCCGGCTCGATAGCTTCTAAGATCTCCACAAGCTCTCCCCAGAGCTTCACCTGTGTTTTCTTTCCTTCCTCACTGCGAACAAACAGAGACAAGGCACCATTATCTACCTTCCCATTTGTCATATACGCCCCATGGCTCTCTTCCCCACTCGCTGCCCCAGCCACGAGCGTCCTACTCCCCACCTCCGTCGATCTGGCAAGCAACATCTGCAAAAGCCCAAATAGCAGTCCCATCTCCCGCCCTAGTCGCGAATGACAGAATCCCGGATTGACCATATTAATGACAACCGAGTCCCCAGCTCCCTGCGCCACCATCTCGCGCAGCAAGAGCACCTGCAATAGCTTTGACGTCTCATACCTCTCTGGCATATTCGCCCGTTCCTTATCATCCAAGGCCTTAAACACATTCTCGGCACCCCGCTCTGCAAATTTCGTCCACGCATGCACCTCGCTAACCACCGTCGTCAACCGGGGTTTCGTACCGGGATGCAACCTCGCGCTCTTCCGCAGCGTCGGCAACACCAGCAATTCCAATAGCATGGTATTAATCACGTTCACAGTTATAGTCCGCTCATGGCCCTCAGCAAGTTGGAAAGTGCCGGTTGCTATCGAGGCGTTGGCGACAAACACATCCAGACGTGGGAGCTGGGCTACTTTCTTCGCGAATGCGAGGACGGATTCGTGCGACGCCAGGTCTAGATCCCATACTTCGCAGATGCCGGTAGTGCCGGTCGATTTCTCGATAGATTCCAGGGCTTCTTCGCCAGCGCTGTGGTTGCGGACGGCGAGGATGACTTTCGCCGCGCCAAGGCGCGTGAAGTGTCGGGCTGCTTCAAGGCCGAGGCCGACGTTTGAGCCGGTGACTATGATCGTTTGGTTGGTGAATGATGCAGTGGGATAAGAGGGTGTGATGAATAGTTGGGAGTAAAGGAAATCGTAGTTGAGGATGCCCATTTTGAGATTGCGGTCTGGGAGGCTTGCGGGATGGAGAGTATAGCGGCGTGGAGAGGGGATGGTGAGACTGCAGGTAATAGGATATATAGGCTAGAGGTACGAGTTTGGCTTTAACCTGTGCTAATTCCGTTGCATGGACGGATTTAGGAACGGATCAGGTTTGTATAAAGCCGGGAGTTACTTCATGTCCTCTACTATGCATCGCTATCGATTACCCATTAAGGGCTACGAGTCTCAAAAGTGGTTCTACTAGGGGCGGGTCCGTTACCCCCTCATTTCTGGGTTGGAACCTCGTCCTAGATTTACCCTTTCCAATGGTATGAGTACGGTATGTATCGTTGTTAAAGGCTCAAGATTAAGCCCCAGACGAATAGTTAGTGCTTGAGTTAGGGTTTACTCACGTTCGGTCCCCGAGCGGAGTTTAGAAGATGGCAAGCGCGGTATCACGGAGATAAGAATAAAGCCGGCCATGATGAACTCCACATTAGATATTTAACGTCAAGTTCTGCACGGGCTGGGCCACGCTCCGTTTTGTATCTAGTTAGATTGCTCCATCAGTTTTATTGCCACTGATCCTCGGAGTATATTCGTAATCCGGTACCTTCCGTGCTTCCTAGGGTGCTGTGAGAAAGTATGAAATTGCTATAGTTGGCTGCAAGTGCATCGGCTCTACTCGCCATTTACAACATCGCGTCCGCCATTTGTCAGCCCCTGTTGGGACTACTTGCGTAACTTAATCCTTCACAGAATGATTTTCAGTTGCTTTACTGATTCTGGAATAGTGATAAACAAAATATTCTGTATCCGCTGCTGCTCAGCACTTTGATCCCATCCATTGCTGTTCTGTGTATCTGGGGCTTTGCAACGAACTACGGCCTACTCGCACTTGTATGCATCTTATTTGGCGGGCTTTCCGGGGGTTACGTTGCTCTACGGAACCGCTTTGTAACAGCTGTCGTTGGAAACAGTGATCGCCCAAATGAAGAGCTGATTGTATCAGGTCTGATCATGTTCTTCAGGGGAGGGGCCACAATCGCATCCGGCTTTGTAGCTACAGCAGTCTCCACTGCGGGCGCAAATCGGGGTCTCCATAAAGGGAACTATGGTTCCGGCCAATGGCTTCCGTTAATCCTTACTGTTGGAATCCTCACGGGAGCTTCTTGCATTGGCGCCCTAGGATTCCTGCGTGAGGGCAGACAAGCGAAGCGGAATGAGCAAGGTCATGGAGATTCGTAGGAGTCTTATGACATTCGCATGATAACGTCGAATGCACTTGCCAAAACATGTAAGGATATTCTATTATATCATTTTCTCTCTGGATGGGAAGGTTGTTTGCGTGGGCGTGAGGATACCAGTCGGTCGATGTGCCACTCTAGGATATGCAAACAGAATTATGGGGCGGTGATGAATTATACTGCGTTTGGTGAGGGCTTTCAATTCGGTCCAAGAGATATTCCTCCCAAGACAGAAGACTACACATTTATGAAAGGTTTCCGCCCGGTGGTGGAAAGGTTGCTACCAGAAGGAAACTCAGGGTTCACCCTCTTAAAGGTTGTCCTAGTAACCTTAACAGTACCTTAATGGCTAGTTTACATGAAGGGAAGATTAATGAGAAGTCTGTCTATAATGTTGCGAAATCTATGTCTTGTTTCCCTTCTCACTCTGTCAAGAACGCTCATGTACGTCAGTTATTCCCTCTACCAGGCAATATCTTCTCCATTATACATATCCCAGCCAGGAGCATCGATATTCTTAAAAGTCCCGCTCGAATCAATATCCGCTTTGTCGACTACATTCAGAACCGCCTGTGCTCCCTCTTGCGCCGTCAGGTGAGCATCATCGCCACCCATATCAGTTTTCAGCCACTGCATCAGTTAGCAAGCATAACACGGCCACTAAATCCACTTGCATAACTTACTCCGGGACTAACTGCCAGGAAGGTCAATCCTTCGTCCTTGTAGGACATGGCGTATTGAACGGTAAGTGCGTTGAGAGCAGCCTTGCTTATCTTGTAGGCCGGGCAGTTGGCAACCCTAGACATTTCCGCATGTGTCATGGAGGCAAAGGCCGTCGAGCTAGTTTAGTGGAGATAACTGTCAGTCGAAGGAATACCATTATCGGTGGAGATAACTCACATGTTAGCCACTTTCTTCGACTTGCCCATTCTCAACAGAGGTAGAAAGGCGCGCGTCACATTATGTGTTCCAACCACGTTCACAGAAAGTTGGTAATCAAGATCAGACCTTCAATGCTGATTAGACTTCCCTTGAATGAATTCTTGAATAGAATAAAATCCTCACATATTCTCAGTCTTCCCCTCAACCCACGAATGAACACCAGCGCAGTTGATCAGGACATCCACTCCCTTCTGGCCCACGACTGATCCCGCCGTTTCGACGCAACTGGAGATACTGGCCTCGTTGGACACATCTAGCGGAATGAAAACTACACGACCAGATTCTCGGGCGACGATCTCATCTAACGCGGCGGTGGATTTCCGAGTCGCAGCGATCACAAGGCTGACATCCGTGGGGTCCCGAGATGCCAGTTCTTGGATCATGGCGAGTCCCAGTCCGCGGGAGCTTCCGGTCACAATATAGGTTGCCATGTTGATATTGGGTGAAATAAGTTCTCGAGATAGATATGTTTAGTTGCTTTTAGGTATGTGGACTAGTTTATATACACGCAGTTCATCCAGAAATTAGTCATAGGGCCAATTCTCGATTTTTATCCAGCCTCCCCACTATACCGGAGATTGCCGTTAGACATCCCGAGAAGGAGATGCTAGTATATTCACTAGTGATTCAATTACCAAAATGTCTCTGAAACTTGAAGATCGTTGAGAATTCCTATCGAAGGGTCGGATGTCCGAGCCAAAAAGGTTTAGCGTCTACGGGCTCACGCAGATGATACATAGTAATTACCATCAGCCAGTATTTGTTAGTAAGGTCTCTTTCGGAGCTAGATACCTGAGGCATCAATATGTGCAGCTGGGTCTCTGGAGCAAAGATCAAGTCAAGAAGGATCTTCCAATGCTATATCCTAGTAGAAACATGTGGGATCCAGGATCTCTGGAGGCTACTAGTAGACCGCAAACCGTCCCTACGAAGTCATTTGGCCCCCACGTTGGTTTATAAGCAGGGTACAGGAGGTAGTATTTAATCGCTGCTTGGTCTCCTTTGCGCTCTTCAACCTGTCTACTTCTTTGCGACAATCTACCTAGCTCAAACTCCAATTCTCTGTTCTACCCACACCAATTAACATGTCTCTCAAGGTCCTCATCTATGCCTACCGTAAACCCGGTCTCTCCCTCGAGGAGTTCAAGAAACACTACGAAGCTCACGTCGACCTCGTCAAACATCTCTCCGGCGAGGACTTCCCTCTCTCCCACAGGCGCAGTTATGTCGCGCGCAACACTGTCGAGACCCCGGTCGGGGATGCTAGTGGCCGCAATCCCCTGACCCCCGCCACGGTGCTTCTCGGACAACAGACCGACTTTGACTTCGATGCTTATGCCGAGCTCACCTTCGCCGATCAGGCTGCGTTCCAAGCTTTCGGTGCGAAGGTGTACGCCCCTGATGCCGCTGCTCAGATTGCGGCCGATGAAGCGAAGTTCCTGGATAAGTCGAAGCTTGTGATGGCCATGCTTGGGGATGTCATCGAAACTACCAGATAAACGACGGTTCAGCACGACGAGTATCTGTCATATACTTGTTTTTTGAGCAGAATTACCCAGGGGTCAGTTATTGATCGATCAGAAAAAGAAACTGGCTGCAACGATGCTGAAGATAGCAGTGGTGAGAAGGAGCCAGAGACTTGTGGACTGATGATTGAAGGCTTCTGACATTGGGGGCTATCCTGAGCTATTTTTCTTCTCGTGTATCTATACGAGTTTAATTCCGAAAGCCTTCCTACGATGAGTCTATATAGTTTAAGTTCTAGATCTGACATGAAACGTCAACTTGAGCCTTCGTAAATCTGACATCTTCCTTAGAAGTCGGAGGATATCCGTCGGACAGACGTGGAGTTTGACTAGGGCGAGCGGTGGTGGGGAGATGTTACTATAAGAAGTTGTGGCTTTCATCATCCAAGTTGCTATTCTGTGTTAAACCTTCCGGTGTATGATAACTGAGCGATATAATAAGCATCTTGGCTGTCTGCCAGGCTGTCATATTCTACACTTTGGGCCATATAGTTTTTACATTATTATTCGGGATCTCCAAACATATGGTGCCGGTGGCTCCTAAGATGTGGTGCTGGTGGTTCCTAAAGAAGTGCCGGTGGCTCCTAAAGACATGTGCCGGTGGCTCCTAAGATATACCATGTGGCTGGTGCCCCCTAAAATATAATAAAAATACAAGACCCGTGAGAGGACACAGGGGAAGGAGTTCTAGAATTATTTCCTTCTAGAGTACTAGATAGTATACAGGCTAGATATCAGGCAGTTATTTGGACAGAAGATAGCTATACAATCTACTAAATTTAGAGCTTTTAAATGAGTACAATGATTTAATATAGGAACCACCCGTATCAACCAGAGTGGAATTGACTACGCCCCTGGGTGTGTGGATCAGATCCGCCCGCCTTGCGATTTGTATCGATACTATTTGTTACTTGCTACAGGGGTTATCGCAAGTAGACGTCGGAAAACCCCCATTTTCTACCCATATTGTAGTGTCCACTACTTATCACATGACCCAGGTTCTACGTTTTTAGGTAGCCGCTCGCCATAGCATAAAGGAATCAGACAGGTTCTCCAGCCTTCCATAGTACCGTACCAGCCGGTAGTGTAGGGATATATGTGCGACTACGTGATCAGCGAGTATCAGAGTGAGATAGAATAGCGGTGTGACGACGTACCCGCTTTACAATATGGGTTCTCGCCGAGGAAAGATTACCGAAAAAACCCTATTTCTTTGCATAAATTGACCAATTAGGAAATATTTATGAATGTTATACTATGTAAACTATAAAAGTGTGGCGAATAGGTAGAGAAATTGAAAAAACAACCCATTCGGATAGGTTGAAATAGGTAGAAGATAGGTTTTGCTGAAGTCGAGTCGCAAGCCATAGTGTATGTAGTAAAGGGAGCACGCTGCCTTCTACTGCACGGATACGAAAAGCCCCGATTGAATGTATCTCGGGAAATGGAAGGGCTCCCTATTTCCCTAAATTCTTTGGCAGGTAAATTCCTCAGTTCCACATGGCGGTAATCTATTTAGAATTCTGACCTCTCTAATCCTCGATTTTTCAATGAAAGTCCATGGCTGTGACATTCAAATCAAGTTCGGCATGTTGCCAAGTACCGGTGCTAGGGGGGAGTCATGCAGCGAGGTTGTTATTATAAAAGCTATCGCGTCATGACTCGTAGGTAACAAAAGAAGCCGCTTTGCCCACGCGAGTGGGGAGCCTATGGATCTCGGTTGGCGATCTTGGTTCGATAACCTTTGCAGGAGGACTGCGGAGTACGGGCTGAGTCCCGGAAAACAACTCCGAAATTTGCTAAATCGTCCAACGTTGCCCATGGCGAGCTGAGAAGCGGGCCTCATAAATTAGTCTTTACCAATCAATCGTCTCTTTGTACGCAACCAAATGGACGACGCACATCAGCTCCACAAGATTTCAAATAAACCTGGGTCCGATAGAGTTCGCTACGGCTGAGCTGATGGGGGGAGGGGATCATCTTACGTACTTATATCCCCTCCACCCCTGCTGTATTCCCTCGTCTCTCTGACTATACATGGGCAGACATCGTTCGAGGCCATACTATCTGTGAAGATACACGTTGCTACTGCAAGTCACAATGTCTGGTCAAGTTGTAAAGCGTTTGACGAACTTCGTCACAAAAGTCAACAACGGTACAGAGAAGATTCAAAGCACCAAAACAGGTTCGTTAACACAGTCCCACCTTTCCGTCGCTCTGGACAGAACCACGCAGGCCAGCTTACTGAAAGCTAGCCGGGAAAAATATCGAGATTGAGTGGGGGGGGAGAGATAGGGAGTTTGGCGCGTGAATTAAAAAATCTGGTTGGCTTCTGCCGGAGATACATCAAAATGGATCCGCGGCGAATGGAACAGTGGACAGATGATGACTTCCGGGAGGTTAAGAATGCTGTAGATCAGGTAGGCATGGCCCCCATATCTAGTATCGACTTTCAGTTTAATGACAATGGATGGATGCCAGATGTTCACGGCGTTGGAGACATACACGGCTGCGCTTCTGCAAAAGGCGCCCCTGTGGGACAACAGTCCTAACATTGGGACCTTCATTTCAGGAAATCTGAGGGACCTGGGCGATGCGACCTTGGTAAGTCATCAGATTGTTCAAAACTTCAGTGCGATAGAGCTTATCGAATGTCATCCAGGAGCTACGCAGTTCGTTTCCATGGGAAGAAATTAAGTACGAGGAAACTTGGGAGGATGACGAAGACGAGGAGGACGAGTAGGACGAGGGAGGTGAGCAAGGCAAGGAAGATTCTAGCTCGGACGAAGACGAGGATAGAGCTTCAGGACGCTCGAGGATAAGGGCTGTGAGGTACCACACCCCCTTGAAGTGTATGCCGCTCCATTTGGCAGTGATTCGCTGTCTGCAGGCGTGGACTCCCCCTCCCCCTCCCGGCAAAAGTACCTGGGACTTGGTCAAGGAAGTGCTGAGCCCTCGCATGGTGGCCCTGGTGGTCACCAATGGTGTATCTGAGCAGGTAGCCGGATTGTTTGGAGCAGACGCCGAGGCTGGGCAACGGATGATCAGCCGCGGAGAGGACTCTAGCAAAGCGAAATTTTGGATGCACTGGTAATATTTGCCAGTGACCTCCACAAGGATTCTGCGGGCTGGTTAGTGCAGACAGATTACATAGTGTTTTCTCTCGCGTGTCCTTGTATCTACTATATATATTGTCAAAGTTTTCTTTTTTCTACTATCTTGCTTGTTATTCTGTTCTCCAATTTTATTGTATAGTTTCAATATCTACATATATTCTACTAGTTTTATTATTATTGTAGCTAATATTTTTCTGGCGGAGCCACACTAGACCAGGGTTCATAACAATACCATAGCCAGATGGCGCGTGAAATACAAGAAAACCATTACTCTATTCCATGTCTATTATACATAGCCGCCATGGTAGGAAGATTGGAGGTTTGGAAAACTTGGATGAGTCACGAACCATCTAGTTATCTGTCTTCGCTAACGCCATCGGAAACATCCCACCTAACGAGCCAGCACCGGACGACCATGGCCAGTCATCCAGTAAGTCCGAAGGCAGCTCAAAGCAAGTTAGCGGGTCATCAAAGTCTGCAGACTGGACTGCAGTAGGTTGTACGTAGCCTTCGAAGTGTTGCGATTGGCCGATTTCTGCCAGCCCAGCGTGCATACTGGCATGCCGAGCCTTATCCATATACTCATCTATACGCATAACTTGTGTTTTGAGTCGTTCACTGGCGCCAGTGGAGCGGGTGAGTCCCGACTCCATTTGATACAGAAGTGCTGCCATCTCTAATCTACTTGTCAATTAGCAAACGTTGGCATAGACCGTCACATGATGCTACTGGATGCTTACAGAAGTTTGCGGATTCTTTGATAAGACGCCTCAGAGAGGCTTCCTTCCATGACAGATCCAAGAATAAACCCAATTCCCCCCAAGTGGTATAGCTTCAAAAAGTTAGCATTTGTCTATTTAAGGCGGCGGGAGCAGAGAGGTACAAAGTATGCCGGGTAAAGAACATACCAGTGGAGAACTGATAGCTTTTAGATATTCAATCGGGACTTTGGTAAACACGTTCAGCACGTTACCAGCAACTTCGCATTTCTCCTCTATCCCTTGGTCCTCATTTGAAGAAAGGACCATGTTAAGAAGCTGGAGCGTTGCTTGTATATTGGCTGATTGGAATCCCACAATATCATTCTCAGGGTCACCAGTGACGGGTCCGGTTAATCGAAGCTGCGACGGTAAAGCTGAGAACATAGAATGTACATGCTTTATAATCAAATGGCCTGGGACAGGATTAGGACGAAATAATGACCAAGGGCTCTCATTCTCGCCGCGCAGCGTTTGCCGCTGGCCGTCAATAGCATGCTCCAATATTCTATAAAGATCAGTAGTGAAATTCCACCCCCGCATCCATATAGAGTATTCATAAGTATTAGAAGCCGGAGTGGCGTAATCCGCCGATATTTGTGCTTTGTTTTCGAAATCAAGAAGGTCGTCATTTACCTCTCTGGGGTAGCGTACATTTGACTGGATCTCTCTGAAACGGACCATGCCTCCCCACACGGTCGCCGAATAAACATCAAGTGTATACATAGACCAGAACTAATTTGGGCATTAGTTTGACACCGGTCATAGGTATCGCATGGGCACAGTGACGTACCAGCCTCCGTCGAACCTCAACCTCAATGGTACTCAAGTCTTTAGGCCATGACTTCTCATCATGTAGCCCTTCCATAATACTTAGTGTATGATAGTGCCCTAGATATTTATGCATCTCCCGGATCTGACCATTTTGAATAGCGGTAATACTGAGAATCGCACATGCCCTCATATATTCGATGCCTCTTGCTGCAGCCAGGTTGCGAGGTATCGACTCTGCAGCTGCTGTCCAGAAAACCTCCGGTGGCGGATGTGAGAGCTGAGATGGTGATCGCCGATTCGAATATAAAGCGCCATCCCTAGCGCGTGCAGAGGCTAGGGAGCACATTGCCATTGTTGAGGCAAATAGACCCTGGTCCTCAAGATGCTTTTTATTATGGAGGACTCTCAAGAATGACGGTCGATGAAAGAAAGGAAATCTGTGTAGTACAATACGGTTAGTTCGGATACAATTACCTCGCATACCCTCTCAAGGCACGAAAGGAGAGAACTACATCGGGTAGACAATCTCAAAGTATACCTGGGCGAGATCCTGCACCACAGACTGACAGGCGATTGCAAGTGCCTTCCAGGGATTCAACGGTGGATCGGCGCTATACTCCTGATCCACAGTTGGCCAGGGGTTATCGACTGACACGGATAATTGAGGATTTATGCCAGAGTGAAAAGCACCATCCGAATGGACTGGTCGAGAGGGGGTGGTGGCAACTCCGACTTCCGTATTCTGTTGACTTGCAGACTCGTGTCTCTCTGGGCGGGCTCCTCTATTCCCACCCCTTCTCCGTGACGGACGCTCATAGGTACAAGGTATATCAAAATCTACACAGTTCCCACAGGGGTGGAGTGGGCCTCGGGGCTTCGTGCATTTTATGCTACGTCGATGGCAAAAGTCGCCTGGGCGCTATTAGAGCGGGACCATTGGGGAGTGAGGATGTAACGTACAAGCCCTTGAGATGCGCTGAAATTTTCGGGGACGCTGTGGCATCTTGTTCACTTGCACATAAGGTATCGCCCAACAAAGATGTGGTCCAGGCTCTACATTCAAACTTCTGTTGCCGAACGCCACCATGTGATTATGTCATGTGCAACATCACCGCCTTTTTACTAACCTTAATTTTAGGGGCTTTAGTATATAAGGTTCCCAGGCTGTACTGCCGAGATTTAGGGGCCACTATATTCAAAATATTTTGCATTATACACTATCACACATATATAGAGTTATTTCCCAATAACTGTTGTTTTTACAGGGCAGCTTATAGATAAATGTATTAATTCATAGGTTTCTTAGAACTTATAGTATAGAAAGATTAAATACTAAGGGTTATCACACGCTAAAGTTTATTAATCTTGGCTAACGCCATTGGCTACAAATATGGATGGTTGTGGCCTTGCCCTCCCTGCTCTGCACCTTCAGGACACAATAGCCGCATGGACTAATATCCATCTATGAGTCACTCTCTAATTCCGAAGGATGTCGTTTTATGTCCAGAAGGAGCTATACAGTCCGATTGTTATGATCTTTCCTTATTACTAACGCATCACCATTTGTTATTGAACTCCTTTCCGTTCACGTAGTTGACCATCTCCTTTACTGGAGACAGCCCGTCCGTATCACCTCCGAACTGCATTCCTTGCCGCATCACCCTGCGATAGTTCTTACCTGGTGATACCTTTCCCAAGACATATGGCTGTCGAGTCTCAACCCGGGTGGGGACGGGAATAGAACGGCCCACGATTGCTTCCATGCCCTGCCAGGCGAAGGTGATAGCTTCCTTTGCAGACGCCGGTATGCCTGCTTGGTCCAGCATCAGAATCTTCGTATCAGGGTACTGTGCTTGTATATACTGCGTAATATTTGGGTTATAAGAGCCGCCTCCACACATAAAGATTTCATCGATAGGGATATCTTTGGGGGCATAGCGGCGGTAATGGTCAACGATAGCCTGCGCGGTAATGCGAGTAACAGTCGCAACGACATCATCGGGGCCAAGACCTTTGGATTCTGCCTTGCGAATGAGATCAAATGCTAGAGTATCTCGGAATACCTCGCGGCCAGTGGTTTTCGGTGGGTCAAGCCGGAAGTAGGGGTGAGTTTGAAGAAATTCATCTACCAGATCCTGATCCACTCTGCCGCGAGCGCCCATCTCGCCGTCCTTGTCATACTCCTGCTGGCCGTTGGTGTAATGTCGGACAACGGCGTCAATAAACACATTACCCGGGCCTGTATCGAAATCGTAGCAGGCATCCACACCCCCTAGGGAATCAGGTGGAATAAAACAGACATTTGCAATTCCACCAATATTCTGGCAAGCGCGTAACTTTGTCGGATGGTGCAGGACCAAAGCATCGAAAAAAGCAATGAGCGGTGCTCCCTGGCGACCCGCTGCTTGGTCACTAACCCGGAAGTCGGTCACAGTAGTGATTCCTGTGCGGGAGGCAATAAATGAGCCCTCAGCCATGGTAAGAGCACTGCGGACCTCTCCCTCTTCAGGCATAGACAGAAGCCAGATGGTCTGACCGTGGGAACCAATGACGTCGATCGACGAGATATCAACATTATATTGTGCACAGAACTCCTTGACGGCCGCTGCAAATGTCTCACCGAGGATGACATTCACCTCCGATAACTCAGAGGGAGAGGTTTTATTGTGGAGGATCATATTCATGACGCGTTGCTTGATTGTTTGTTCTAGAGGGATTTCACCATACTGTTGGAAAGAAGACTTTGGGTCAGCCTGAACGGGATTTGGACGGCATGTGACATTAGTATACCTTGAGAAGCTCGAACCTCATGGGCGAATCTGGCGTTTCTTGTTGGAAATGACACAGAGCACAATCGATTCCATCCTATAGTTACATAGCTAATAAGCTTTCATGACTTCCTAATCCTCCGCTGCTCAACCTCATCTGCTTACCATCGAAGTACCGCTATTCAATCCCAGGACGGTCAGGTCCAGGGAGCGGGACACGGAAGGATTAGGATCCATACTATCGCAACGCAAAGACATCTTGGAGACACTGACTATCAATCCCTTCTAAGAGGAGGGGAACGCTGTGGGAATAAATACATGAGTCGCTGCCGCAGTCCTCACCTTGTCCGCCTTGGTGCCTGAATGCCTCATGTTGAAAGCGACGGTTAGACGGCTACACGGCCATGGAGGCTCAGAGCAGCCATGCATTTACCACCTCATATGATACAGTATCGCTATCTCAGTGGATATAACATTACACAAAAGGCTCGAAATTTTGATATTATACCGATTTTTCTCTGTATATTGCAAAGAAAGTACATTTTCTAATCAAGTATAATGCTATTCATATAATACAGAGCTATTTCCCAGCAGTTAAACTGCTCTTTATTCTTAAAAGGTAGGTTTCCGGAACGGCGGTTGCCTCAGGCAACGATTACTCTGCTGGTGTTGTTGAAAGCGTAAAGGCCTAGACGTTTAAGCGGTTAAACGGCTAAGCGTCTAAACGTTAAATCGGCGCCACTCCCACGAACCCTTGTTGGACGCGTGAATACTCAGTTCTTCCATTCGGTGCCACTGAACGTTCTTTCTCCAATAGTTCTTGTCATCCCCAAGACCTTAGATCTCGCTGGGCTTCGGCATGTTGTTTCTCAGTTTGTGAAATCCAGGGATGGAATCTCACAATCCGGTCATATCATAGGCCGCGGTATAAAATAGACCAACCACCCCCGGTCGAACTACATTTTGCATTTCAACAAAATTGAAAGCATAATCAATTGATAATTGCATTCGGTGTTTCCGTGTGTTTACGACCATGGGGTATACCACGTTTTGGAGGCGGTTATCCCCACGCCAACTCAATGTTATGATTCAGGCGTTTTCTCTCGTTTGCATATTCTTCGAGGGATATGATCAAGGTGTCATGGGAGGTGTCAACAGCGCTCCAAGATACGTTACAGAGGTTGGAATTGGTGAACCGGATGGCACAGTAACCGATACCACCCACCAGGGAGGTATTGTTAGCATCTACTACCTTGGGTGCATTTTCGGTTGCTTCGGAGGCGGCTGGCTGGCCGACCGGCTAGGCCGTATCAATGGCCTCTTGGTCGGAGCCATGTTTGCGCTTGTGGGAGGCGCTTTGCAAGCTGCAGCCCAGAGTTCAGACTTCATGCTCGTCGCCAGGGTGGTGACAGGCGTTGGCACTGGTGGTATGCCCGCCTTCCGTCCTTAAACCTACTGGGAGAAGCTGATCTGGCTAGCATTGACTGGGATAGCACCAGTACTGGTATCAGAGACGTCGACCGCTGATCATCGCGGAGCCTTCCTAGGATACGTCTTCATTGCAAACTGTGAGTGCCAGACATTGTATAAAGCTCCCCCAGAATATACTGACAGGATTGTCTTGGAAGATTTAGGAATCTCCGTCGCATACTGGCTGTCGTTTGGTCTTGCTTTTATCAATGGTGGCTATTCGGATGTTCGCTGGCGCTTTCTGTTAGCGTTTCAATGTGTTCCAGCACTTATCCTGCTGCTATTCATTAAGATGCTGCCGGATAGTCCGCGTTTTCTTGCATCTGTCGGTCGTTATGCCGAAGCTCAGGAGGTCCTTAACAAGATCCGTTGTCATCAAGCCAGCCAATCAGACATTGACCTCGAATACAAAAATATTATTGCGACAGTGGAAGAAGGCAAATTGAGCTCGCCCATTCAATTTGCCAAAATCTTAATTGGCAAAGGCGACAGGCCCGGCTCCAATCTGGGCCGACGCGCCTGGCTGTGTGTATGGCTCCAGATTATGGCATCTTGGACAGGAATTACGGTAAGTCTTTTAACATATTGGTTGTATGGATGATGACGCTCATAAATTCTCACCTTTTACAGGCCGTTACGGCATATTCTCCTGTTCTGCTTAGTCAAGCTGGCTACAGCGAGCTGACCCAAAATGGCCTTGCCGGGGGGTTGAATACGATCGGTATTCTGGGCACTATCATCAGTGCGCAGATCGTAGATCGGATCGGGAGGAGAAAATGTTTGATGCTTGGCTCCGTCATTTTATTCACTGTCGAGCTTGTAGTAAGTGCCAAAGCCCGTCCACTCTGTTCATAGCTCAGATTCTAACGTGTATGCACTTTAGGCAGGATCTGTCTACGAGGCGTCCCTTCATCAGCCGGATAAAGCTGATCAGCTTGCCCCTGCTGCTGTTGCGATGCTGTTTCTATTCAACCTGGGATATGCAGCGACCTGGGGAACCGTCGCTTTCTTGATACCGACCGAGATATTTCCCTCCAACCTCCGGGCTCAAGGCAATGGCTTTGGTATTACCGGCTGGGCCATTGGAGTTGGGATGACCACATTGGTCAACCCCATAATGTTTGGAAGTATCGGAAGTCGCAGTTACTTCCTACTCGCTGGATTGAATCTTCTGTGGGTTCCAGTTATCTACCTATTCTACCCAGAGACGCGTAATCGGACTTTGGAGTCCATTGATTATCTTTTTTCGACCTCGAGGCCATTTTATTGGGATATGGAGAAAGCTTATCGGCTGTGCATGGATAGGAAGGCTGAGGAACATATCGATGCGCCGGGTATAAAGGTTGCAGGCCACGATGAAGTCCAGCAGGAGTTCCACGAGACCATTCAGAATCGAGTATAAAGGGTATATAAGGACCTGTGAATGATTTCTAGCTGATGTAATTGGGATTGTTACATTGAAAGCTTCTCCGCATGAATTTCGGGGTTGCTATTAAACACATAGCAGACAGACAGTTTAGAAATTTGCATAATACCGAAAAGGAGAACCTATCAGTTATTGGCCTGATATCGTGCTGCATCCTCTGAATTGACAGGGAAGGAACTTTGTACACGTTCTAGAAACCTCGCATCCGAAAGTTCTGAAATTCTGTAGTTAAGCATGTTCGTGATGCGTTATATCGATGAAGCCCGCCATAGTAAAAAGTATGTATGTCTTACTTGGGGCCCGTAATATTTCACCAGGCATTGCGCATTGTCTGGTATGTTTGGTATAGGTATTATTACCGTATTCGCGCTCGGTTGTCTGGCCGGGCTTCCGAGCGAAAACGGCTTAGCGTCCCTGGCTGGCCTCGGTTGCTCGGAAAAGGAGCAATTTTTTGTCAATTATTAATAATAGTTGAGAATATGGTCGCAGCAGATAGTTTCCGTGGTCATACGGTACATATTAGCAATACTGAGGGCTAGTAGGAAGTACTATGGGCGATAAAGTATGAAGCTTAGATGTGAGACGGACCAAATGGTGGTAGGGTATCTTCGTGTCCCATGGGGCCTTAAGGGTCCCTATATGGACATGATTGCTCAAATGTTGCATGAGACGTTGACGTAGTAATGAAAGCTCTGCATATACTTACCACATAAAACATGTAAAAAGTAAGAGAAAAAAGGTAGATAGCAATCATGAGAGGCAAAGTCAGGTGACACGGCCCTTGCGATGGCTTTTCCAGAGCGGGTACAACCAGAACATGGCTATGCTGTACCTAACAAACCGCTGCTGTTTTATTGATGAACAACTCGGGATTGAGAATCTAAGAATATATGCCAATTGTAGGCTTTCTGGTCGAAGCTAGCAATTCCCAGCAAAGCCAAAAGAACTTGCATCGGGTAGAGTGACATCATGCCGGAGGATATTCTCCCTGCAGTGAGATTAGCCCCATGTCTACTTTAGCTTATACAATGCTCGCTTTTATCACCCCAGATCCCAAATCTGATGAGAGATAGTGTGATCTTTGTTATTCTAGAAAAGTTAAATGCAATAGAGAGCGCAATTGCGCTAACTGTGTCGATGCTGGGGTCGCATGCCAACGTCTCCGCCCCGGACGGGCATCGAAGCCAAAATTCTCCCCAAGGTATGGGTACTTGACGTGTCACAGTTGGTTTCTTTAATTTTTACTTTTCTTCCCCGCTCTGTCTATGGGATATTTTAGTGACTGGTGATCGTCCAGGCTACCGGAAGAGAGTGTCTTTCGAGTAGAGCGAGCGACATCAAATATACAGAGGTATGATATGTCACGCGTTGCCAGAGCAGTAGTACTGCTATGACTTACATATTCTAGCGAGAGCCATATATTGGACAGCATCCCTGAACAAGAGGAAAACGCAGCTGCAAAGCGAAGAAAGCTGGACAGTCATGCCAACACAGAAACTCCTACTGCGTGTAACCCTGCTGCTACACCAGACAATTCAACCCATCATGCACAGCAGGCCAAGCTTGTAATACAGATTGAGGTTGATGGTAGGCAATTGGGCAGAAGGCATTTAAGCAACGAGCGGCGAAGAATTTTTGAGTCGGCTGTGAAGCTCGTTGATAGAATGTCGAGGGGAGAGCACTTGGATTTGCAGGAACCCATTGCCCCAGAATCTGCCCGCGAACTGCTCGATATTGAGGTTCCTCAGACTCCTGCAGCGGAGCTGCTCTATATGCTTCTTCCAGGTAGGCAAACATGTTCTTACTCCCTTTAGTGGGGACTAATAGTATCTAGAGCCAAGTATGGGCGATGGGCTTCACCATCATATCAGATGGCCCGATCATATATCTGACAAGGCTTTTGAAAGAATGATGACTAGTCTTCTCGATGGCGACTGCAAGGGACAGCTCTTTCATCACTACAGTATCTGTGTCTATGTCAAAGCGATGTTTCATCTATATCAATTGGCGCGGCGGTCGACAAATCCCGCGGTAAAGAAGCAGCTTCAGAAGTCGAAACGAACCTACGAGGCTGCTGCACTTCAAGCACTCAAGCACATCAATCTCATATCGACGCCGAGCTTGTCACTTATCCAGGCTCTTATTTCAGCTGTAAGTGATGTTGCTGATGGAAATAACCTACCTTACTAACCAAAGTTCTAGGCATTACTGATGCAACACACCACTAATATTAGCCAATGCTGGCTACTGAACTCGTATGCTGCTCGCCAGATCATATCTCTAAACTATCATAAGCCTTGTTCTCCGCCTTCTCAATCAGGCTGCAACGATGAGATTCAGAGTGCCGTCTTCTGGTGCTTCTATCTCGATCGAACTACGAGTGCTCTCTTAATACGACATCCCTCTCTACCAGAATTGAATGCGCCTCCGATAGGCTTTCTTACCACTAATATATCATCACCCTATAATAAGTTGTTACTCGTGCTTCTAGATCTAGCAAAGGTTCAAGGAACATTGTTGGATATAACACTCAACGACAGCGACAAATCCAGGTCTCGGATCTTCGAGATCTTTCAAGGCGTTCAAGAGCGGATGGATAGAGTTTATTCAAGTTTGCAAGAAGTAAGCTTGCATTCCGGTATCATCTAACAGCTAGCTGATATTACCCTAGACTCGAAGTGCTATCTCTGGCCCAGCATTGTACGACTGGGTAGCCGCTGATTTTAGCTATTATGCAATCTATGTCGATATGCTTCGAACACGGCTAGGCTACGATGGCAGTCCAGCAACTCACTCCGACTGCTTAGTATACTCGAGACGAGCGCTCAGAGCATTCCATTACCTCCAAGAACATGTCGATCATATGCCAGGATTCAACGACCCAGAACCGTCTTTTCTAACATGGTTTGCAGCCTTTCCTCATTTTAATGTATGTCGTATAAGCTAACACTGGTATGATAGGACCATCGCTTTATACCCAGCGGCCCCCTTTTTCGTTGTCTTTTGTAATATTATCGCCACTTCGGATGAGACCGACTATCGCTTGGTACAGCAGATAATAAAGGGGCTATCACAATTCAAAGCTACTCCGTATCTAGCACGTCTGCTAAGTCTATTAACGTCTCTGCTACGGCTTTGTGATCCCTTATTTCATAGCATGGATTACCAGAATCGACAATCACATATGACAGGAGAAGGCCCTTCATCGACACAAGCACCGCCCAACCATGTGCCGACCAACACAAGTGTCCCCGCCGTTGAAACTGAGCTCACGCAAGGTTTGGGTCCCCAGCTATCATCAACTGCCTACACGACGTATATGAGTGCAGATGTCTCGGAGCAAGGAGTGGGGGATGTATGCTACCCAATGGCAGACGACCTTATGTGGCAGCTAGTTAATAGCCAATTTCCTTACAGCTGGCTTGAGGCGGATGCTATTCTTGATATCTTTTGATAAGGTTTTGTGGCTCCCTGGTTCTTCCACAGATGTACCGTTAGGGCATGGTGTGTCACGCTCTCGTCTACCAGCGATGGAATTAGAGAACCAAAAACAATGATCAACATTGTGTATTCTTTATTTAGCTCTAGCGGTGAATAACATGAATGACTACCTATTGGCTAGAATGTCAAGCGAATTCCCTCCATCCTCCGTATGTCAAGCCCCATCCGCCATCACGAGCATCCTAACCCTAAATCCCTCTACGAGCACCGCTTCTCTCAAATCGCCCTATCAAAAGAAATCCTAATCGATGCCCATCTGAGTCTCCAACGCCAAAAGACAAGCATCTTCACATGACCCAAGAAACGCTCTTAAAGCATATCGCCAATAAACTCAGAAAATCCTAACGTGATAGATCTACTTCCGACGGAGCTTTGAACACTGATCAAAGCTTCCCAAACGAACCTAATTGCTACGGTGAGACCCAACCTACGACAACTGCTCATGTGCACCCAAGAAAATTCAGGGTCCAGGACGTTCCAGAAAACCACCGTAAGGGTAAACTCTGCATATCACAACCGCATTCAGTCTAACCTCATCTATCCACTTTAGGCACCCGTATTTCAGCAAAGCTTATCTCTGGGCACGGACGGGCTGGCGTGGCACCCGATTTGGTAGTCTGGTTCTGCCATACCAGATTTCGAACTCGGTTCCGGCTGGCTTTTTCCGCGGTGGATGGGTCAGAGTCAGAGTTTTTCATGGCGCTTGTCGTGGGTTTCGGGGGGACTGTGTGCTCTGGATGGGTTTCTTTGTGTATAATCGGTAGCACTGAATTTGATATTAGATAGTATATAGGCTTATGAACACTGTCCAGCTATTCAAAGGTAGTGCAGATAGAACAAAGACCGCATTGAGTAACCCCATGTAGCCATACAAAGCACAAGACCGGAAAATATGACAAAATCAAATCGAATTATTTTTATCCTAGACAAGCTTTCTAGTTAACCTTAATTGGAAATTTTAAATCGCGCATGTCAGCCACGTGTGGCTCTCGAGTGGGCAGCACCCTCTCTATATATGCCGCGCAAGTAACATAAAACCACCGAAGGCCCTCTCCTTTGCTTACCTTCTGCATATCAATCCTGAACAACACATCCTCCTGGTCTAGTATCAATCGCTATCATCCAATATCCACGCCACATCGATGAATAACCTCCTTGCAATCCTATGCCCGATTCTCCCTGCGCTGGTATGCCGTAACCGCAGACCGGGTGGTTGCTTGCTGGCACTTTTGGAAGAGCCTCGTCCTCCATAAGACTGGCTTTGGACTATACATGTCTGGAGACTACTCTGTGATGGGGTAATGGAATATATTGTTTATTGTAGGTTGATGGATGGGTTTGGGATACTTACGAGTGCTGATCATGTTTTAGTTTGACAGATTGTTCACCGGTTGCTTCGTTCGTCGTTTCGTCGGTGCTATCCTGTCGCCAAAATTAAAAGAGAAATAAAAGGAACAAAAAAGGATAAAGAAAAAGAAAAAGAAAACAAAGAGTTCACATCAGTCCCAATGGATCGCTTCATGGATATCCTGCGCAAACCAGGCGCCAAGCCTGAGATCCAGGGCGTCGCCCCGACACAACACGTGGATGGGGAAGAGCACGCTGATCACCTAGATATCAAGGGCTATGTACCCAAAAGCAAGCCCAAAATGCTCGATCGCTGGCTGGACTTCGTCGTGCGAGTGTCTGGCTCCGAGCCTGTCTTCTTCCTGATCCTCGCGGGCCTCCTCACCTGGGCTCTCCTCGGGATCAAATACGGATCGACCGATAGCTGGCAGGTCCTGATCTCCGACATCCAGGCCATCGTCAGCTACATATTCGACTCCTTCCTCGTGAGACAGCAACTGAACGCATACGAAGAGGAGATGGTCGTAGCTGCCGAGCTGGAGTCCCGGATCCTCAGCCACAAACGGATGCTCGCGAAGCTCTGCCAAAAGCTCGAAGCCCAAGACCAGGAGAAAGCCACCCCCCTAATCAACCTCGTCAAGGAGCACCAGACCGAGCTCGAGTTCGCGCCGAGCTCCCCACCGAAACCCTGTTCGGACGGACCATCACCTGGGTCTCGCATGTCATCGGCCACCTGGGCACCATCATCCTCTTCTGGGCGGGCGTGTTCACCTGGATCGGCCTCGGCCATCTCTCCAACTACAGCGACAAGTGGCAACTGTACATGAACTCTGCGTCGTCCGCGCTGATGGTCTTCGTCTTCGCCTTCCTCGCCAACATCCGCGAACGCCATGAAGCCTACACCCGCAGCTGCCTCGACGCCATCTTCCACGTCGACGCGTCCCTCGAAGCCAAGCTCCGCCAGCTAACCCACGACACCCTCCCCAACGACACCGTCATCATCCCCGCCCCACGCGTCAACCCAATCCACGCGCGATCTTCTACTACGCCGACTTCGTCGCACCCTAGTCGGCATCGCCATCCTGGTCGCCGTCATCATCATCTGGGTCGCCATCGGGCCCCTGCTGCACTTCGATTCCAACTGGTGGCTCCTCATCGGCACGTACGCAGGGCTGGTCGGCATGAACGACGGCTTCGTGCTGCGCAACATGCAAGCCCGCCTGCGCTGCTACGTGGACGCCGAATTTGCCCGCATCACCGCCCACGACGCGAGCCTCTTCGCTACCGCCGGCATTCCCGCGCCCAGCGACGAGGTCGTCGCCGACAACTCGCTGACACACCGCGTGTCGGACACCATGGGGCGCGTGTGCGCGCACGAAATCACGGTCGTGTTGGGGGTGTTGACCATCCTGGGGTTGGTTGCGGGCGCTAGCGCCATGCGATGGACGTTGACAGGTCAGTTGCTGTGTAATGTGCCGCCCAGCTTGATCGAGTCGTTTTTCATGATCGTGTTGGTGACGGGACACAACTCGGCCGACGATCGGAAACGGGTGGATCTGCGAAATACGTATACGAGGCGAGTGCAGTTGTTGGGGTTTGTCAATGCTGTGCAGTCGGTTTGGTGATTTCGGCTCCGCTGTAGGGGGGGGTTCGTTAGGGTTAGGGAGGGATAGGGGGTTTCGGTCGAGTTCGGCAGTGGGATGTTAACTAAGGGGTAGGGTAGGGTTCAGAATGAATGTTTTTTTTTCCTTTCCCTTAGTATTATTGTTATTATTCTCGCTTTTTCCCAATTTATTTGATTTTTTTTTCTTCGCCTCAACTCTTTTTAATTACTAGTATTCCTCGCCAGAACAGTAACCCACCCGCTGATCCCTTCGTTCCTGATAATAAAAAGAAGAAAAAGACTCCACCGTTCAGCGGTGCTAGTGCGCGTCCGCTATCCATAATAAATAGCTCAGCATTCTGCGACGTCATAGAGAGAGAGCGTCCCCACTCCACGTTCCATCCACATTTGCCGAGACTTTCTGACACTCGGCCGCAGAACACCTCGTTCCAAAGTCTGGCCACGGGGTCGGTTTTTATATCGGCTACTCCGGGGGGTTCAGTACAGTACATGCGATGGCGGGGGAGGTGAGTACCTATTGCTATTTAGTATTGTTTTATTGAATTAGGGCTTAGAAAACGGATATGTAGATATTCATACACAGAACTTGTGGTGGTTTGTAGGGGGTTATGCGAGGTGCATATGTACTTTTTGTGCAGAGGTTGTGTTTCTGGTTTTTCGAATTATGTCGCGTAATATCGCTGTAGGCAATAGCAAGCATACCTTATGAAGACGGGGTCTATTGTGTGCATGGTATGATCCTAGAGTGAACTATGTTAGAGCTGATAGTGTATTTGCTGCAAAATATATATCCGGCCGGGGTCTACATTGGATTTGAACTTTGGACAAGCATTAGAGTAATGAATGCTTTCATACATAATTATACATTCCAACTATGTACTCCACGAGTCAATTGTAAATTGCCACCAAAGATGTAAATAGTATTCGACAATATCCATTGTGCTGGTGGCAATGGTTGTTTCTCCATCTAGCCGAGGGTTGAACGGTTGAACCCATTGAACCACCGTTGAACCAACACAGCCATACAAGTCCTAACAAACTCGACCAAGATTCTGTCTTACTCTTCCCATTAGATAGAATAGCTTCGAATCACTGCGAATAGCCAAATCTCATGAATACGACGTGGTTGATAATCCAACGGACATAACCAGCGGACATAACTTCATTTGTAAGCACACTCAACCGCCAAGACCAAGGAGCAAGTCATGATGGAATCCTTTGTGGTATTTATCTCTTGAATCGGGAATCAAGAAGAGAGTTCAAAAGTATTATAATCATTTCACATTGAAACATATACAGTTCCTTGTGTGTCGCACGCCAGTAAAGATCAGAACAAATAAACGCGAAGCAACAAAACGCGATGGCCAAAGTCGGCATCTTCCCCGCGGCAGGCGGCTTGGGAACCAGCGTCATCAACCACCTCGTCAAACTCGTCCCCGTCGACCAACTCATCCTTATCGCCCGCAAACCCGACTCTCTGGCGGAATTGAGTCGTCTCGGTGCGACCGTCCGACGCGCAGACTATGAAGATCCCTCGTCGCTGGAACGCGTGTTCGATGGGGTGGACGTGTTGATGCTGATCTCGTATGCGTCGTTTGAGATCCAGTATCGCGTGGAGGTGATTCCTCTCCCTATGTCTACTGTCGAGCGATGATTACGAAGGCAATAACTGACTACGACTAGGCCCATCGCAATGCCATCGACTGCGCGCGCCGCAGCGGTGTCAAGCATATCTTCTACTCGTCGCTCGCGTTGCGGGAGATCTCACCGACTCCAGCGTGGCACACGTGATGGGCGCCCATCTACGCACCGAGCAATACTTGGCCGATCTCCAAGCGCAGAGCGACATCACCTACACGGCGATCCGGGAAGGGCTTTACTCGGAGTCGTTCCCGATCTACACGGCCTGGTTTGACCTGGCGCATCCCGTGGAGGAGGTTACGATCCCGCACGCTGGGACCCCGCCGGGGGTCACGTGGGCCAAACGCGACGAACTCGGCGAAGCCACCGCCAACTTGATCGCCTCCTACGTGCAGGACCCGCGCTCCTTCCCGTATATCAATCGGCTGGTGTTGCTCTCGGGACCGCGCGAATATTCGCTGCAGGAGACCGTCGAGATCCTCGGTCGAGCCGTCGGGCGGACAGTTCGCATTCGCGAGATCTCACCAGACGAGTATGCGGCGTTGTCGACGCATGGCACGAAGCACACCTATCATGGGATTAACCTGGCGAGGGAGTGGGCGACGGCGTGGGATGCGATCCGACGGGGGGAGACAGCGGTGGTGACACCGCTGTTGAGGGAGATCTTGGGACGCGAGCCGGAGGACTACGAGACCACGATTCGGGCCTTAGCCCGGGAGGTGAGGACACAGGAAGGAAGTTAATTAGGGCTGATTTGACGGAGTCCGGGTTACTGACTAAGAGGGGGGTTGGGTGATGGTTATGGATAGTACCGGGTCATGTGACCACCGCGGGGTTGCCCTCACCTGGAACCTCCCCATCAATGCTACGGATCGCCATGAGCGCAAACACCACCACCACGCGTCGGATTCCCTAAATAAAGGTAGTCGGCGATGGAGGACCCTCGTCACATCGTCCGTAGCAGTTTTTCTGGCGATGTTCGAGGGGTCTTGGTCGCGTTGTAGATACACCGCTGGTTGGTCGGCCCCGGATCTCACCCGGCCGCCAGGGACCGCCGCATCTGAACCACGGCATCTAGCAGTAGCGCACCCGAGCTAGCCTAGCCAACGGCTGACCTCAACTTTGGATCCGGGGCAAGGTGCAGTTCCCCCCGCTGGTGGTCAGAGCTTCTGGAACTCAATCTGAGTTCGCCAAAAATGCCCCTCGCGTCCCTGGATCTCGCAGAACCGGCATCAGGACTGTCATCACCAGTCGGCCGTCGTACAGACCTTGCTGAACGTCATCCCGACCGCTGTTTCTCAGATCTCGCGTGGTTTCGCGGGTTCTTCACCGTCTGCGTCCGGGATTGGGATCTGGGACTGGAGGCTGAAGATTACCCCGCGGCTCGTAGGATCAGGGCGGCAGATTGGCCAGAGATCCACTCGGATCTCCCCAGCGTTTTAGGTCACCACACCACAATTAATCAATGCATGTCATGATCCAGTGCAGGATCAGAGTACTCTGGTGGCATGCCGGATAAGGTCTGTAACCCATCACGCAGATAGGCTTCTTCAGCCATGACATGCCCATTGCAGCCAAGCCCTAATTCCCAAGTTAGCGCTACCGCACCCAAAAAAAATCACCAAATTAAAATACTAATAAAAATAATGAAAAAAGAGGGGTAACAGAAATGGATAAGGCTGAACCCCTCTATCAGCAACGACACTGTACCTCGGATACCACCAGGTTGACTCGGACCGTGGACCCCTCAATTCCGCCTCACCAACCCCTGAGACAGGTCTCGTCCGAATGGAAAAGTTTTCACAGGCAGGTGACAACCTCGATTGATTCTCACCCGAATCGATGCATCGTCTCGGGCGATATCATCGGGAGTTTTCGAGACATGATCGAAATGACCAGTATCAAAAACGGTTGGTGATTGCAAAGGTGACGAATGACGCAACTTGGCGGGAGTTTCTCACTGAGATGCCGGATCACACCACTGGGGTTGGGGAGAAGAAAGAGGGACAGAAGGGAAAAAAAATAAAATAAAACCAAAAAAAACAAAGAAAAAGAGGATCCTCTCAGGCCGGCTTCCGAACGGGCAGCCGAGGCGTACTTAGCACCACTACCATCTGCGGGTTAACTTTACTACGGAAGGTTAATTATTAGCATTTGTTGATCCACCCTGTCATCGTTTGCCTGGATTGGGTTAGTGTGGCGGTCCCTATGGATGGATTTGGAGGTATGCGAGGAGCAGTAGTCTGTACTCGGGGTATTTTTTGGTGGTTTTTTCTTGAGTTGTCGTCTGGTGGACTGTGTGCGAGTGTGAGGAGCGAGAGCTGGTATGCCCCGGCGGATTGGTGCTATTCTTAGAGAGAACCCTGCACAGAATAACCGGAAGACTATTGGGAGAACCTTTCCTAGAGCAGCAAAGACTGCGAAACACGGAGAAACCATGGACGTCGCAAGAGAACCTAATTTTCCGTCGCGACCTTCGCTTCATCGCACATGAGGGGTACCCTTCCCCTTGTGGAAGGGCGATGCGGACAGTAGACGAGTAACACGTGTGCAGACCGTGGACGGTACATCTACGATCCGAAGTCATCAGTTGGGTCACGAGTCATGGTGGCAGCGTGGAGGAGAAAAAATCTCCGGCAGCAGATGCAAGTGTCAAGAGAGAGAAAAAAAATTGAGAGAACTTGGACACGTTTCTCGGATGAGTGAAAGCGAGGGGGTGATTGGCCGGGGAGACAATCCTATCCCTCCAAAGGTCTCCACAGCGGATGCCCGATCCCATCCCCTGGAACTGGATAGGCCTGGTCCGTGTGTAAATAGTCCAGTATTCCACAGTCTCGTATATGACACTACGGCGTACAGGACGAGAGCCTGTCGTTGGGATCAGAATTACGCCAGTGCCTCTCCAGGTCGGGGCATTGCTAATAACGGGGCTCTGATTGGAGAATTCGTCACATCGCAAGGGAGCTGAAGGCGTGACGAAGACCCTCTCATTGGACTAAGGCACGCTGCACAGGATGTTACATCACTCGCCTGAAGATGATCCGTCATCATCTTACATACCGTACGGAGATGAGTGGTTGATATACTAGTAGTATTATCAGGGTGATGCCAGTCAATGGTAGTAGTCGAATATGGAAGGATCCCACTCGGCTGAAGGGAATACTATTGTACTAATGATCAGAATCAATTTACACCGAGATAGAAAAAAGGAGAAAAAAAATAAAAGTCAAAGGAAAAAAATAATCTAAAATGGAAAGAGGTCACTGAACTGGACGGGTTCGGCGTCTATCGCCAAAGTGTAAATAATTAAGGAGAGAATTAATCTGGACGTACCCCGAGTCGCTCAAACAGGCAGGAATCTCGCCTCAGGCTACCTCTCAACAGGACGGGCAAAGTCGGGATAAAGTCAATTCCGCCATGGTTTCACGACACAGCGTTGCCAGAAGGGAGAGAGGTCCGCATTTGGGTCCGCCAAAAGGTCCGATGCAAGGCCATGACACGGCCGGATGATCGGCCCCGAGTCTCGGCCGGGCCCCTCTTGGCAGGCGAGCCTTCCGTTTCTTCCCTTCAACGGTCGTGCATCGATCCCACCGTCTCCACCCAGTTGGTCCCTTTCTCTGCTTTGACGGTTTTGCACTCCTGACTGGACCAGGTAATGACGACTGTCATCGGAGCCGACCGAGTCTGGATGCTGAGGATCCGGCTGGGGTGATCTCGGTTGTCCTTCACCGGGCAAATCACTTGTGCTGCATACTAACATTCGTTTGGGTCGAAAATTAAGTGCGTTTTTCACGATGCCGGCCCTTAATTACATCACTGTCTGAAAAAAATAAAAAATAAAAATATAAACTAAAAAAAACTCTCGCTTCCTTTATAAAGAAGCTTCACACGCCCGTTATTTGATTTTCTCTACCAGATCCACGGTTCCAAGATTATCAACTTTTCTGTGATATTTATTTATATCCCAACCCTCCCCCTGGCGATATCAGATTCCAATCTATATCTCTATCTACCATACCAACCACTTGATCCTGTCGACCTTCGACTACCACTACTACCACTACCACTACCATCAATGGCATACACTAGAACTGATCCTTCGTTCACCTTGAGTGACGACGAACGCATGTATATGAGCCACCACAGCCCCATGCATCGCCCCTACGATACCTTCCCCGCCCCCAAGGTCCCGATCCCTTGTCGGCCAACTGGAACTACGACAGTGCCATCGATCTCTTCTCGCTGAACACCATGATGCCCGAGAACTTCACCCTCGATGTGCCTAATGAGCCCATGGGGGTGGACCCCAAGGATTTCCCCGCGGATTTCTTCGCTCCTCCTCCGGACATCAGTGGATTCACCATCTCCAACCATTCGGGCGAAGATGCCGGTTCGATCACTTCGGTATGTTCCTCCTCATCTGATCTCCTCTGGGAGCCATCACTAACAGTACAACAGGACCTGGAAAGTGACGATCAGTCGTGGTCTCCCACCTATGCTGCTCCCGCAGATATGCTTCCGGCCCCCGGGAGACAATCCACCCGCCGCAAGACCACCCCAGTGGTGAAACGCGAGACGACCTGGTCCTCCAGTCCTGAACTCGCACCTCAAGAATACCCCACCCACACTGCCGCTCAGACGACTCCCACATCGCCTCCCGTCAACCGCAAGATGACCCGCACCACCTCGGTGGACTCCAATGCCAGCACGGGCCAGACCACAACGGCCACCACCAGTGGACGCAACGCTGCGAAGCGTGCCGCACACAACATCATCGAGAAGCGGTATCGCACCAACATGAACGCCAAGTTCGTGGCCCTGGAGAAGGCCATGTGTGGCGGAGTCCAGAAGTCGAGCAAGAGCGGATCAGCCTCGCTCAAGAAGTCGGAGATCCTGACCAACGCGATTGCCTACATGCAGGAATTGCAGGAAGAGAACAAGGCCCTCCAGAAGGAGCTGGCCATGTTCAAGCAAAATATGGTGCCTAGTGCGATGTGGCGACATACCAAGGGGGCTGAGACCTTTCGCGCTTAATTGGTGATCTTCTCGCCCTGGTGATGACCGTCATGTTCTTGTACAATACACTACTTTAATGAGTCGAGTACTCTCCATTCGTTGATTGATCGGGTTGGTTGGCGAAAAGGTGTCTGGTCGTGATATACCCAAAAGTTGCTTTTTCTTTTTTTTTTTTTGTTTATTTTTTCTATTTTTCTGTCTCCTATGTCAGCAGTTAGACAATACACTCTCCCCCACTTTCGAGACTATACTTGAGATCCATGGCGTAGACAGCATCTGGTAGAGGATAAGCAAGTAAATCAGAGGTCCGAGTAGACTTACCCCTCCTTCTAGTGTCTAGCCACAACACACAACTCAAAACGACCCCACCGGCCAGTTGTAACGGAGATCAGCGAAAATCTCCGACGATGCAGCCACATCCCTGCACATCACACCGAACCCTAATCCCCTGCCTCACCGAGCCCTAACAAAACGGCCTCACCACTGCATCCCACCGCCATCACCACCTTCCGAGACAACCAGGGGGCAACTTGGTCCCGTACCAGGATGGACCGATCGACCTGCTACTCAAGCCAATCTCCCACCAGGGAAGACAATCCTTGGAGTTCTAGACCAGGGCACAAGAAAAATCTCCGACAATATCCATAAGGCACCCGCTAAGCCAAAACGAACTCCATTTTAACCGGTCTAGACCCAGCGGGTCCGTCGCCTTGTTTGAATGATTCCTTCCGCCTTTTTATTGGCAAAATCCCGCTCATTTTATTTTCACACAGTAAGATTAAAAAAAGTCCGATCATCATATTTTTTTTTTTTTTTCTCTTCGCTGGCTCACAACGGCCCGGTGCCCGCCCCGGAAATGACACATTCGCTCGCAGCCCAGGGTCGAGTGGGTATCATGACATGATGTATTGTGATTCGGACTGTTCTTACATACATTGACACCCAGCCCATAGCAAGATGGGATTTTCACTCATCGGGCTCTGCTTTACTGCAGGTCCATGGTCTATTACGTGGTGGATGTACCTATGTACCGATTCCTTCTTGCTGACCCCGATCCTGGAGATCGCGGGACGTCTTTCGGCCGGTGGTGGTGCTCGTGTTGGCACCTGGGTCTGGCCGTGCCCAGGTACCCGGACTATGACTGGGGGTTTTGTTAGTTAGTTGATGACATTGTATGATGTGTAGAGATGTGTTCTTTCTGTCTACGGTGTGACCCGGAAGTGGTTGGATTGGATGTGATAGCGATGATCGTTGTTTGTGATTTAATCCTTTGTAGGTTTGCTTTTTTCCGGGGCTGAGGTATTGTGTAGTGTTGAAGCATATAAATAAATGGGGTTATTTAAGACCTTGATGTTTTCTGTTGTAGGACATTGACGTCAGATTAGCATTTAAATTAAGTTTTAAAGTTTGGTCTATTTTGTTCCTATTCAATACAAGAGAGAAAGAGAAAGAGATATGTCGAAGACGGCATCTTCGTGCGTGATTGACTTAGCTTTCATACTTTTATCCACTCCATCTTAGTCTGGAACTAATATTCGAGTATAATAGAACGAAATCAAACCCCACGGCCGCTAGAACAGTAGCTACGGGATCGACATCCACCACCCAGTCCACGAGCACCTCAGATCTGACTACATGGAACCACGCCGAGTGGGACAATATATCTCGGTACAGGGAGAGTCCGTCTTGGATGGAGCCGTATTATGCCGCCGAGCGCATGAAGGATAGAGAGGGTCATCGGAGACGTATTGGGGAGATGGTCAAGGGGGTGGAGGACATTCTGGGTCTGGAACCGGAACGGCCATAGGGAAGTCTGGCATGGTGTGTTGGGATTGGGCTATGCAGGTTACACACTTCATATTAGAGTGGTGTAGACAGACGGCGTTAGTTTGGTTTGGTTTGGTTTAGGGATTTGGCATGGTATGGATAGAATTTTAGATGGGCTTTGAATGATTTATATTTTTCTTTTGTCATGCAGTGTTTACAGTGTACTTAAGTTTCCAGTCATTTGTCCTTAAAAGTCATGACTGTGAAAGTTAGATATGCCCCCATTAAATTCTCACAAAGGAGGACGTCCAATCGTCCCGGATTATAATCTAGTCTTATATGACAAAGGACCCCGCAAAAGACTAAGAGACCAGCCCCGAAGAAAACAAAGCGTATCGTAAATTCATCACTCCAATTACCCCTCTATTTAGGATCATGCGCAACAACCTCAATCTCAACCCTCATATCATCCTCCCCCAGCCTCGTAACCCCCACACAAGTCCACAGCGGCTCATGGTCCGGCATCCACTTCCGAAAGTTCCTCACCATAGCCTCCAGTGCCTCGTTATTGATTGGCACATGATACGAGTTCACGCGATACACCTGCGCCCAGCCCTTCCCGCCGGCCGTCCTGAGCGCCAAATCGACGTTCGCGAATGCCTGGTCGATCTGCGCGTTGATTTCCTTGTAGAATTCGCCCGTGTTGGGGTCCCAGCCACCTTTTTATCGCATCTCATGTTAGTGGGATTGTGGTGTACATAGGAAGGAGTGGAGAACCTTGGCCGGAACATTCGATGCGGTCGCTGATGCGGACAGCTTGACTGTATTTGAAGGTTTGGCGGTTGCGTTCACCGACGCCCGGGTAGTTGTAGTAGGTTAGGTGGGACATTTTGATTTTGTGGCTTTTGGTACTGTGGATGTTGCATCCGGTGGTGTGGGAGGGGTTTATATAGGGTTTTGCGGTGCGGAATATATCTTCCGCTGATGAGGTCATAGCCCGAGAAATGGAACTTAATCGAGAGATCAAGATGCAGACTGACAAATCAATGTCTCGGTTCATGTTGCATGTGTTGTACGTATTATGGAGGGGTTTATATGGTGGATCTTTGGCGGTTGTCATTGCCCCTATAGGTGTATGTATGTATGGTGGGTAGACGGTTCAGAGGTAGTGAGTGCATTACCACATCCGCTCCCAATTGATCTGGTTTAATATATCGAAGAACCCGTAGTCGACGGGGAGTGATTCCATCGGGACGGACAGTTCCAGTTGATTAGCCAGCGCGTTGCCCGGGTTGACGCTCGGGTTGGATTCAATCTCGTCAATGACGTTTGGGAGCTCGACGCCCAGGTCGAGTGGCGGACTGGGGTTCGTTTCGAACGGATAGAGCCCCTTATCTCGAGAGAACGTGTCATCTGAGACGACAGACCGGCAAAGCTTCCGCAGATTCTGTCCGATATGGCCTGCCGGATACCACGACTTAGATAGCTCGTCCAGCACTGTTAGACACAGGGTCAATTTATTCTTATGGGAGGGGGCGTTCAGATTTTCAGTTTCGTCGAGCAGGACCAGCGCTGCCGATAATGTGCAGTGTGTTGCTGTGATTGGGCTGAGATGGTATCCTCCGAATGTATGTCGGTATTTCTGGGCGACGAGACAGATGGAACGGGCGGATTCGCGGCATATGGAGTGGGCTAGGTCTGTGGTTTCGTTTTTGGGCTTTGAGGGTGGGTTCTCTCTCATGATGAATGGTTTGGCCAACAGGATTCTGGCTGTGTGGTACACCATGTGGAGTGTGTATGCTTGGGGGATGTCGTTGGCACGGTCAATGCGTAACTCTGTGGGGAGGTCGTAGAACCAGGACCTCAGGTCGAGGAGACAGGACTTGAGGAAGGCCGGTCGTTGGTGCTCCTTGAGGAGTGGTTTGGGTGCCCATCTAAAATCGTTAGCTGAGCGATAGAGGCGAGGGTTGGGAATTGATTACAGGGATAGCGTGATCCTTTCTTGGATTCGACAGACGCTGATCATGGCTCGCTGTAGTGGTCTCAATGCTTTCTGAGAGGAACTCATCTCTAGATTAAATGCTGGATCGTCGTCCGGTACTTTGACGGCACCTTGTGAGTCCTACATCTGTCAGTATCCTGTGTCATCCACAGACCAGTCAACCTACAAGCATGGAGCAGATTCGTCCCGTATAACTAGAGGACAGCTTATCATGACAGTACAGGGTCCAGTATATCTGTCTCCTGAGCTGAATCTCCCGTGGAGTCATCGCATTCGTCTCTTCAAATCCAGCCGGGTCCAAATTCAAGCCCATATCGAGACTGAGTCGGTTCGCCATCCCGTGGTGCAGCCAGCCAGCAGCATCAGCCCCCATCGCCTGTTCTCATTAGCCCATACTCATACCCGACAGACACAAACAATTCTATCTTACAATATACACCATCCCAATCAGACCTAATGCTTGGATAGTGGTTAGACTGGGCCGTTCCACCTCCCTGTGCAGCTGGGTTTTCGCTTCTTCGAGGAACGCTTTCCCCGCCGTATTTGGGTCATCTGGATCCGATCGCACGTCGACACGGTCGGAATACCGCGACCCTAAAGCGAGGATGCAATTATGCAGCAGTGGCGTCCAGTACCGTCCCCCATTATTCATACTTTCCCTGAAGAGCTCTTCATCGACCACAGCATACCATGGCTGCTCCCACCGGAAATACAGATCGATTAGGTGGTCCTGAACGTCCTTCGGGACCCCCATGCCAGCCGTGATCGGGTCAATGGGGTCGATATAGCCATAGCTATCAGACACTTGATCTGGCGGAGAGACCGAAAACGCCGAGCCATCAATACTGACTCGATTACTGGAAGAACCCTGAAACTGGAGCCGTCCACTAGTCGGCCCGAAATACCTCATCTCGCCGTCCTGGTCGAAATTCAGCGATTCGTCCAGAGCCAGCCTGCCCTTGAAATTCTCGGCCAGGCTATCTATCTCCGAAGACGTGTCGCTGTTCATGCCGGGTTTCGTATCTAACGGCACCTGTGCGGGCACTTGCGACTCCCTTGCATCAATCCCATGCCGTTCCAGGAGTCTTTCTAGCGATTCTATCCTCTGTCGCAGGAGAAGTACATATGTCTTGGACGCCGGCCTCCGACCATCCTCCGCGACAGAATACTGGCACGAGATCCGCCATTGGGCGCATCTGGCGCAGGATGGTTTGTTTCCATCGCACTGGTGGTTTCGTTAGTAATCCAATCGCCGAGTCGATTGAGCTTCGCCCACTTGTTGACCATGTAGCCACTTCACTAACCTTCGCTCGTCGCCGTCGACACTCCTCACATGCTCTGGTGGTGTATTTCCCGCGCTGTCTACTTTCATTTCTACGTGTGTCGGGGGACATGGCGGGGATGTGACATGAAGAGAGTTTGGGTCCATTGCCTGCTGATCGACGGTGGCACGCAAGACGTCAGGGCTTGGCGTTGGTGGATCCACCAGAGGATCTCTGGATCTGCCTTGCTGGTCTTGGCTTATGCAAGTTTTCTTGCCTTCTACGGGGATTTGTCGGGGAATTTTATTGATGACTGAGTATTTAAAGGAGGCGCTCGTCGAGTGTTGAGTTTGGGCTGCTACATGTTAGGGCTTCACAAATGTCCCTGTGAGAAGCTCATCCTGAATCATGTCGACCAAGACCTTGTCTACTTTGTGTCTAAACTAAGTTCAGAGCCGTTGACTTCCGTTTCCGGATCAATACAAGATCTAGACCGTCGTAGCTCTTTGGTAGGATCCGCAGAGTTCCGGAACTCTGTCCTATCCAAAGACCCGCAGTGACCACTTTTACCGGTAGGAGGTCTTGTGCAGCCTTCGGATAGGCTGGGTATCTAAACCGTGTTGTGTGTCCATCACTTTGCACCGAAACGGCAACAAGACTAGAAGGCCACTCGCTTTGAAATCGGTATGAATATCGGCCAGTACCAGGCCATATCTAGACCATGGATTTCGGAAGGTGCTGGCAGTGTCACTCAAAGAGGACGATGTCAATGCTGAAGCTGAAATGTAGAGAAACTGAGTCATGTAGAAAGGCGCATAGTTTGGTCTCAAGATCTAGTCTGTTGAGACCTCTTTGTAAACAACCGGAGAATATCTGTTTTCAAGTTTTAGAATATAGCGAATATATCCCGACTACGGTAACAGGCTCACCAGCATTCGAGCGTAATCAGTGATTTGACCCCACTTGATACTATCAAATACCGCAAGTTTAAGTGCCTGGAGACTAATATTCAGTAATGGTTTAGTGATGGGAGAAATCCACTCACATCTTTCACGATTAGTCCCCCAATATCGTGAGCAATGAACATGATAGATCGCTAAATTATGGATTAGCCTTTGTATGCAGGTTCACTGATCTCACACAGACTTTAGAATTGGTTCCTCTTAGCTTGGTCAGATCTTCCAGTAAGGATACTGCCTGCTGTTGAATCGCATCTCGGCTATGACGTCCAGCTAAGATCTTTCCAGCGTCATATCTAAAAATTAATATTCTCGTATCAACGTCCAGATCCTTCACATAGTCGTCCACCCAAGAGCTGGACCCGGAGCCGGGGCTGACTCGAGGGTTGGGACTTCCTCCCAGGTTACCATACAAGCCGTGGACTATGACTAGACTAAGCTAAGGTGTCAATCTCCATCGGCAATGTATGTCTCATATCCGATCTGTAACTTACTCCAGGCCTGAGGATGAGGAATTACCGGACTCTGCCCAATCAATGGATAACCCATAATCACGCTTTCCCATGACAGATAAGTTGTGTCTGCTGGCCGTGTTGGGACCCGGTCGTTCATAGAAGGACTTTCAATCAAATAGAATGCCTCTATTAACGGAATGAACCAGAGTAATGACATATAATTTCAAAGATGAGGCGACTGGGCGATTTACAGCGAACACTGAGTCCAGAAAAAAGAAAAGAAAAGAAGAAGAAGAAGAAGGGGGGGGCTAGCCAGGTTGTAAGAGGCAGGACGAGGAACACATCGATTGTTTGCGCAAGTTTTCCTATGTTTCAGCCACATAATAACGATCATCATGACAAAGGAGCATGAATGAACGATTTCTCTCGCGTCGTACTGAATGCGTGTTGCAAGGTCCTTTGTTGGTGGCGGTGCCTTCATTCAAGATGCAAGCAACCCCAGGGAAGTCAGCTGGACGTCAGGCACTCGAAGCCATTTTCAAGAGACAACCCGTAGGTGTCGATCTCTGTTGTACGGTTACCTATATGCCTTGACCTAACTATTCGGCTATCAGGCTACTTTCGATATAACTGATGTTATCCAATGTCAATTAGACTATCCATGGTAGATATGTTCTATGTTATACCTTTCCGTCGAGAATCCCCTGTTCAGTCTTGGGCCTTGCTCGACACACCACTACCAAAGAGCAGGTCCGTCCTTGTCTCTCGATCCCAGACCTTCTCTCCATCGCTCTTCCTCTTGAAGTACAGAATCCGATGCATGGGGATAAACGCTTCGTCCGTCAGATCTGCCTTCCATTGCCCCACCGGCATCTCCCTCTCCCCAAGGAAGCGATCATCATAACCGACAATGTAATCCTCAATATCAAATTCGGCATCCCAACGAAGCCGGTTTAGGACATCACTAGCAGACCGAAGCTTTGCCCCTTCGGGCACGGCAACGACCTTAGCCCCACGGATAGGCATCGTCCGCTGGCGTGGCTGAGCTAGGTCTTCATCCTCATCATCCTCAAGATCAATTTCATCGTCATCGTCGTCGAATGACGCTTCGTCGTAAGCTGTATGTCCCCAGTCAGAACTATCAATCCGGAGACCGCCGAGTGCAGAGGGCTGGACTAGGCTGACGTCAACCCAGCTAGAGGAAGCGTCAAAGTAGTTCTCGTCTTCACGGATTTGCTCTGCAAAGGCATTCAGCACAGCCAGGAGAGAGATCTGGGCCGATTGTCGGTCGGCATCGCTTAATGGGCTCGCCCCGGGCGTGTTTTGCCTTGCCAGACCGATCAAATAGCAGCCTTGATATTCTTTAGTGGTCTCGTCCACTTCCTCCATATCTGTGAACCGAGCCGGCCAGATCCGGGCGTGGATATCGGGAAACTTTCGATGAATATCTATTTATCATTAGCTCATGGCCATGGAGGACGTGGAAGAGATGTAACTCACCAACGAGAAGCGACACGCATCGCCATTCCAGCCACCCAACAAGCATTCTACCCTTTGTCGCTGCACCTCCCCAGTATTGGACGTTGACCTTTGCATAGCTCCGATATGATTTGAGGAATTCCTCTGCACCGGTGGAATGTTCATCAGACCCAGCCAACTGTTCCCAGGTAACATCCTGTTTTGAGAGAAGGTCATCTGCCCGTTGGAACTCTTGCACAAGTGTCCTCGTCGACGGGATAGAAGCCGCACGCGCAACGTTGACTTTCGGTTGGTGCTGGCTAAGGATCACCAATGGCTCCCTTTGAGGTCGGAAGTACCGCGGTGGCGACCTGTAGAAGCTGGGATCATAGACGACATTTCGCTCCCAGTCGAACTGTGCATAGTGTTTGAAGAACGTGGTGATGATGTCCGCTGCTGAGATGGTGCCGGTCTGACGGAATGAGAGAGTACAAATACGCGCCAGGAGTAAGGTAATGTGAACACCTCCTAGATAGCCCAGCTTGGATGAGTAGATCCCGCGCCTCTGGGCCCACATTTTAATAAACCGATAGGCTAGACGAAACGACGCCAAGTCTGGATGGTGCGTTGCAGGTAGTGCATGTCGCGCAGGGAGTTGAGCTTGAGCAACGATTGCATAGGGAGGTCAAAGGTGGAATCACCTGCAGGAAGCTCTAAGGCATGTGGCCAGCTATAGGCTGCGTTAGCTATTTGATCATGATGCGTGAGGGGATTGTGTGCCAATGCAAGATTTACCTTTCAGCAACACGAGTTGCTGCACAATACTGTAAATCAACCCGTACGCCACGAACCTCCAACTCCAACATGGTTCCGGATGCTGCCTTCACCTTGCGGAGAAGCACAACCTCACCGTCCGTTGCTCGCCGTAGCTTCGCCAAAATGAGGGCGAAGAATGTTCGTGGGCTGACTTGTCCGATGACCAGGATATCCATATCGGATGACCTGTTCCACACGCCGAAGCCATATGAGCCAACAGGCACAACCGCAAATAACAGATCTAGTCTGGTATCAGCTGGCAATTTTGCATCACGCTGGTTGACGAGCTGCTTGATCAACTCGAAAGCCTCTTTCCTCTGGACGATTTCCGCATCGGATGGGAAGGCTTGATGGTCTTTCAGGCAGTTCTTCAAGCCATCGATGCAGCCAAGACTCGATGGTGCCCTTTCAACTATGATAGAGGCCTTTTCACTTTCCAGATCTCCAGAACACGGGCCATCCAACTTGAGTGTCGCTCTCACTCCCCAATGATCACTTGCCAGCTGGCTTTCGTCTCCACTGGGGAATCCGAAGAGGTTATATGAAAGAACTTCAAATTCGTCGCCCCGTACGAGAATCCGATCGTATCGTTGAGGCCGACTGTGAAAGCTTTGTCCCGTAATCCGTGCAGCGTGTTCGTTTTCAGTTGGGTCATATGTTGCACCTTCCTCGCCCTCATACAATGTTCCCAGATCTAACCTACTCGGGGGGTTCCCTAGGCCGCTGCTGGCGGTACTGCTAGCACGACTAGCGTAGTAGCAATCTGAGAGACCGACCTCAGTTAACATACCATCTAGAGATGCTAATACTGACGCTCCCTGCGCCGAGATCGATCTCCGCTTTAATGCAGTATCGATTGTGTAAGAAGAGGTCGCAATATTGAAATCTCCGGCAACCACCCAATGGTTACTGGGATATTTTCCAGATAGATATTTGAGTACCGTTTGAAGTTGAGACCGTTTCGCCATGATAGAACTATCAATGAGACCACAGCTAAGATGTACACCTGCCACAACGAGAGGAAGGAATTCAGAATCGTGGAAGGTACCCAAGTCCTCTAGCTGAAGCACAACAGCACCTTTATGCCGTTTGTCGAACGGTAGCCACTCCCACCGGAACTGCCAACGGCTGAGCACGATAATGTTTCGGAGGCTGTTGAGCGGACCAATTTCGGCCTGGTCGGGTGGTCCATGGGTTGCGAAGGGGTAGCGGAGGCGGATATCCTTGTCTTGAAGGAGGAAGGACAAGAAGCCATCATTTATCTCCTGTAGGATGAGAATATCTGCAGTTGCAGCGTCGGAGAGCAGATTATGGAGGAGAAGGGGATACCTCTCCGTAGGAGGCGGATGTGGAGATTCGATGAGGACGTTGTACGAGGCAACTGTCACTGATGACTCTATCTGCCGGCCTGCTGCTGGCTGTGAAGCTGACTTTGGGATAGCATTCCATTTTCCTTCCTCGCCATCATCCTTGGTAAGTGAATATTGAAATGTAGTCTCTGAGTGGGCCGGCAACGAGGACGGCGAGGAATATTCAAGAGCTTGAGGATTCGGCAACGGTGTACCGGACAGCGAAACAGCTCCCCACACTACCATTGGGCTGGAAGCAGTGTCCAACCCTTGTGATCGATCCCGGATCAGAATTACTAGTTCTTCCACTTCCCACTCAACGGCAGGAATCAAGCTAACTTTCTCTAGTAAGAATTGTCTCTCTGCCAAATCGTCTGCCTCACTCTGACCGATTGTGAGATGCAGCTGCCCAGAGGCCCCTGCCTGGCTACCGAGAGCATCCACAATATCTCCTTGTAGCCGTGTTAGGGCCTTGACTCCCTCGCTTCCACTATCCGTGAGATACACCGTGTTATGGCGCTTATGGGTGAAGAAGTCTGCTTTATCGAACCTTAGACGGATGGGTTCAATCTCTTTCCTCTTGCTTAACAGTGACTGTAGCACTTTGGAAGCTTGGGGCAGCTCCTCTGAAGGCACAAATGGGTAAATCAGATTGGCATGCGGTGGCCATCTTCCATGTGCTTTGTCGTATAGTGCTCGTAGACGGTCAATATCTCCGGTTAAATGCGCCGGAGGAACCACACATAGGGCTGTTTCGTATGACGTCAGGGGTATAGCTCGGTTTTCGTCGTTAGAAGCCATGGGGTATCGTAGATTATCCTAAAACACGCTCAAAAATGCCAAGAAGAATGCTAAACTGGACTGCGCAACTGAACTGCTCAACGAAAAAGTAAAGTATCAGAACTCGATTTGCCTTTGAACTGAAGACAAGAAAACGTTCCCCATCAAGAGATATTTATTTAAGCTCATTGAAGCTCTGTTTGCGTGGAGCAGAGTTGGTCTGGAAACAGTCTCCACTACAGAGCCAAAGATTCATGATGACTGAACGTGACTCACGGCAGTGGCGGTGCGCTAATACGAGTGAGGAGCTTCCCCACCTTGAGTCACGACGTAAATCCTACCCTAACTTATGTCCACCTAGGCTTAGCTCATTTCTATAAACAGCAAGCTTGCATTCTTGTTGTAGGCTTAGAGAAAAGCCAATTCATAGACGTTTTTCGTCATACCTGGGGCCCTGCTGATCTTACCAGCATTTTACAGCCCCAATTACTTACATGTCCAAATTTGGAGTTGGAAGAAGATAATTTCGGGAAGCCCTATGTTGTAACGTCACTCACGGTCGCATGTGCCAAGGTTTCAATGTTCAGCCGTATCTAATAGAGGCACAGTATCTTGTATGACTGAGATTTTCTTTACTTGCAACTATCTAGGACTATGTACCAACGGCCAGATTGACCTACTTACGTCTCCTCGGCCATTCGCCTACAATCCTGTTTGTGTTCCACCCCCCCATGAAATAAAAGGGCTCCTACTGATCAATTATTCTATCTCGAGGATTTCGTGTCTCGTGTGACGAGCGGCGCTCAAGTCGCATGTCAAGTACGGGCTCTATCAAAACTCCGACGAGAACTACAACCACTGGCCCTTAATAGTCCCAAAAGAGTAGGAATGCTGCCTTCAGACAGGCTACGTGTCTGACTGATGGGCGGCCTAACTCACGGTTAGTTTCGCTTTCGAAATGAGAGATCATTGCAATCTCTGTAGGTAAGATATGCCTGCGTGGTTCTCTGGCATATATATACTAACTAGTCCAGCAGTGGAGACAGCCAAGCGTTCTATGGCACACTTTCATAAAGGAGAATCCTACGGTACAGGATATACAATCAGGAAGGAAAAAGAAAACCGACAGGCTTGATAATGATATCTTTAATCAAATCAGTGATACCAAGGAAGATCCCTTAGCTAAGATTCCACCATCACAGGCCGGGAGCAAGGTTACGCTTGGTAAGGCACTTCACAGAGCGACTCAGAGAGATATATCTGATTGAGCTTGTGGATGAGGATGATGGGGTCGAAGAGGATGAAGTCCCGCTACCTGATACCATAAATCTACAGGATCAAAGTCGTACTCAGAGACTCACATTCACGGTAAGTTCTGAAGCGGTCAAAGAGAGATGATGGCAAAGGGGTATATAAAGTCTTAGATTCATAGAACCGCCCCGCGGATCAGGGTAGAGATCAGAAGGGATCCTTTTGAGGTTTAGGATTGATATCGTAATACAGCTATGGAGTAAATCTATGAAGTACTCGAATGGACTATATACCAGTCCCGCCCCAATCCCAGGCCATATCCTGACCATCATATCATATTCCTTCATCTAGTTCCCAGTTCTTACGCTTAGTATTGCATCCGCCGTGGTTCCAATGGTCAGGGACACACTCCGTGGTGGCACTGCAGTCGTTGCCCTCATCACAGCTAGCAAACCTGCCATTCTGCAGCCAGCACCACGGCATACCCTGTTCCCACTTATCGTTCGTCCGCTTCCCGGTTTTCTCGTTGCAGCTACTCCAGCAGGTTTTGCCGAGTCCGGTCTTGCCGCCCTGAGACGCACACCCACCGGACAGTGGAACAACGCAGCCCCATTCTTCTGCGCACTCAAAGTCGGTTGGACAGTTGGATTGCTTCAAACAATTCGCATACGAATCGCTGCCGCGTTCAGATATCCAACACCAGGGTTCATTCTCCGCCCAGTCGCCGCCAACGGGCGACCCCGTGCCTGGGTCGCATTTGTTCCAGCAGCGGCGGGTCAAGCTGCGGCCGCTTCCGACCCTGCTACAGCCGCTGGCAGCCGTTGCGGACGGTAGGGAGGATGTCTTCGAGGTCTTGGTAGTGGTCGTCGTTTTGGAAGAGGTCGAGGAGGGTCGCTCTGGAGGGCTGGTAGGTTTTGGCGGCTCTTTGGTCTTCGAAGTATTAGTGCGCTTGGCCCGAGATTTGCCGCCGTCCTCTCCCTGGGGATCATTTGGGTCCACGGTAGGGCAATATTCCACACCGGTAGTTGTCGTTGTGGCGGTGACATCGCATCCTACAGCCACCAGACTTTTAGTGGTAGTGCAGGAGGTTGTGGTCGGGCCCTCAGTTTTGGAGTCGCATGAGACCCAATAGTTGGTAACCGAAGAACTAGTGCATGAATCTCTGTCCTTGGGGTCCTGGGGATGCGGGGGGACTGGGGGAGGATTGGGGTCGGTGGGATCGGAGAATCCGTTGTCACCACCACCGCAGCCATGGTTGCACCCGCAAAAGTCATCGGCGCACAGATGGCCGCACTTCTGTCCTCTGCAAATAGGGGACCCAGGGCCGTGAGTCACCGTGATGGTGGGTATATGTGGGAACTCGATCCTGTGATGACTGCCGCCCTTGTCGTTGTCGTCGTTGTCCTTGTTGTCCTTATCCTTGTCATCCTTATCCTTGTCATCCTTGTCGTTGTCCTTGTTGTCGTTGTCCTTGTTGTCGTTGTCCTTGTTGTCGTTGTCCTTGTTGTCGTTGTCCTTGTTGTCGTTGTCTTTGCCGTCCTTGTTTTGATCATCTCTGTCTGTGTTGTCATCCTCATCATCGGTGTTCCCCTTAGGTGGGACATAGATGACGGTAGTCTGGGGCCAGGGAGGCACAGTCACGCTTCGTGTCACTGGAGGATGCAAGACACCTGTGCGAGACAATGGGTTGGGGTCATTAGTAATAGTGACAATCACAGGAGGGAACCGAGGCTTCGGCGTGATTGTCACTTTTTCGTCCTCGTCGAGTGGAATAGTGATATTGATATTGGCCATGGGCAGTTCGGACACCGTAACTGAGAGTCATCGCATTAGTCAAGTCGCATTCCAAGTCAATCGTAAAAATCCCTACCTGGCGGAACAATGATAGTGGTCTCCTGTAGAATTCGTGTGACGGTGGTGGTGGTGATAACCTCCCCGTTGGCCCTGGTTATCTCCGTCGGAGTTGGCCAGGCCACATCCAGCGTGGTGACATGCGGGAGAGGAGTGATAACGGTGGTGGAGCCAAGAGGATAGTCGGGGAGGACGAGAGCACAAGGTGCCGGGCATGTCACTTGCGGGTTCTCATCCCCCCAAATGCTGGAATCTACGTAGACAACGGTTTGGTTCTCAGGAGAGTTGTTGCCACCCCGGGGACTGTTTGCGAATGACTGAAGATCAACTGCCCAGTCCGATATGCCGCCCATGTTGAGTTGTCGGTACTGCTCGGTGCGATTTCTCTTGATTTCAGTGTCCATGTAAGCTACCCACTGCGTGGAGTCGTAGACAAGGATGCTGCTGTCGCTGGACGCATCATATGTCTTTTTGGCAGTCGGATCGTCTTCCAAAATCTGATTGATCTCTGCGTCGGAGATATAGCCTGCTGTGATGGTACATTTCCCAGGCTTCGCAGCGGACTCGGGGCCGACGTATTTGCACATGGGACCAGAGCAGCCAGGCTCGGTCATCTTGAACGACCGGCCATAGCTACTCACTCCAACAATGATCTTCGAAGATGGCACTCCAGCCTTAGTAACCATGGACAGAGCAGTATTTGTTTCGGTGAGATTCACATGCGAGCGGAGGCAATCTCCATCTGGACATCCCGGCATCGAGTTTTTGTTTCCGTAGTCCCATTGCCCATGGAGGTCGTAGGCCATGAAGACAATATAGTCTACCACCTTCGAAATCTCCTCGATCGGGAAGCCCTTTAGATACCAGAACGAGGCCGGGGCAGCAATCGCCAGGCTTTTATCAGAGGGTAGCTTTTCCCGCACCATCTTCAAGAATTCCAGATATCGCTTTCCATCATCGCGGTCACCAGGAGGAATACCAGGAATGTCAGGGGCTCCAGGGTACTCCCAGTCAAAGTCCACTCCATCAAGTCCATTTTCCACAATGAAATTAGCCACATTCGTGGCAAAGACCTCTCGGTTCTCAGCCGATACGCCTTTGCGGAAAATCGGGAAGGAATCCGCTCTTGTCGAGAAGGACCATCCACCAAATGTCAGAATACGGTTTACGGAGCCCATGTTCTTCAGCTTATTAAATTGAGTATGAACCAGGGACACGTCCACCTCATAGCTTTCTGTTATCTCTGCAAAGGCAAAATGGAGATGAGTGTGAACTGCTGTATCGAAGCTGGTAACGTCCATATTCAAACAGCCACGCTCAGCGTTCCACGCCTCAAAGTAGCCAATGCTGATAAACTCATCTGGTGCCTTTTTATTATTCACAATATCAGTACCACAGTTGGAGATACAGCCATTCGTGTTAGGGGCCGCAGTACCAGGGGCCCCAGTGGAAGACTTGCTCTCGGTGCAGAACTCATCGGTAATACCACACTGACCCCAGACATCACAGCACGCGTTGAGAGGACAAGGATTGAGGCCCTCAAGGTCATTCATGTCCTTTGGCCTCGTGGTGCCTGGCACTTGCGGACCACACACCGCATTGTCGACAATAGAGGCATAGGAGCCGTTCCCTCGCTGAGACAAATAGTTTGCTGGGCCTGAATCCGGCCACACCCACTCCAACCCCAGGTGTGCTTGTTGAATTTCTCCAGATCCTCCTGCTTGAGGCCGTTGGCAACTGCTAATTTGTGGCAGGATTCATCCGTCTGGACAACATACGAGGCGCAAGTGCCATCCCCGTTTGGCTTCGGCCTAAGATCGGGCAACGTGCCCGCTGAGCAGCACACATGCTGCTCCGGCTGCAGCGAGGAACAGAGCTTCTTGTCGGGATTGAACTTGGTGAAATCTGCCGGAGAGAGTCCGCATCGCTCAGCCAGCGCCCCACAGGAGTCTCCAGGAGCAACCTGGATCGTGCGGCAAATGGCTCGTCGATGGTGGGAATGAGTCCGCCCTTGATGTGAATGCAACCGGCCTTCTCCGGCGACCCCTTTACTTGACAGTTCGGGGACAGGGCTCGATACCGCATCATCTTGCATATGCAGGATGGATTGGGGGAGCTCCTTCACGCCGTCAAAGTCGGTCTGGCACTCCCCGTCGACCCAGCCCCGGACAATGCGCTGCACAGCCGCGAGGTCGCCGCTGGCATCGACGACGATACCGATCGCTTTGTTGGAATTCTCTCTGCAATACTGCAGGGCAATTCGGCCGACCAAATCCTGGGATGCGATATGATCTGTGAACTCTTGGAATACAGTGGTAGCAGCGTCCGAGTGCTGAACCCCCCGTCCGGCGTACACTCCAATGATGGATTTCCCATGGTAGCTATACGCAGTTGTTGGTTTGTCATTTTCCGAGGCCAAGAGCGCCTTTCGGACATGTTCCAGCGCGGACTTTACGCCTGCAGATGGTAAAGACGAAGCCGTATTCCACCAGCCAATTTGCAGGGTGATTTCTTGATCAGTGAACCCAGATGAGACCAAGGCCTGAGGCTGGGGGGCCTTGGCAGCTGGGTAATCTTCAGTCGCAGAACAGGCGCGAATGGCCGGGTTTGAGGGATTGTACAAAGAAAAGTCTAGACGCAAAGTTTGATTGCAAGTGGCCAATTGATCCACATTGCGATAAACCGCCCATTCAGCCGGAGATGGGATTTCGCTGCAGGCCCTTGGGCAGGGTTTCCACAATTGGGACCAGGCATCAAAACTGGGTTCTGCAGCAACCTGGATGGAATGTGTCAGAGATAGAGACAGAGCCAGGAAAAAGAATGGCGAGGGCATTATGCCCCGAATGAAAAAAGAGAGCGACTTAGAGAAAAGAAAAAGAGAAATGAAAGAAAGGAAAACAGACTTGGGGGGAATGAACGATTGGATAGGGAAGGATGAGCTCTCGAGGGGACCAAGCCTCATTTTATGTCGCATACAAAATGAGCTTCACCTCACATATCCTCTCCAGCCGATCATGAAGGCACGAGTCGCTTTTGCCAAGAATCGACCAAAGTGCTATGGAGTACCTAAACTAACCGCTCCGATGAACGCTGCAACCCATTCCACAAGTTGATAGTAGTGGTCCGATGCAATTGTCCCCTGGCCATAACTATTTCTGTTCTAGCTAGCGGCTGCACCCCTAAAGCAAACCCAGGAGTATCTCTTCTATCCTGTACGTAATACTGACTGCTGCCTGAAGCCGTTGCGTTTAGGGCCGTTTCTATAGCCGGGGTAGTTACCAGCCGCCGAAACCGGGCGCTGGAGGTCTGTCGTGCAATGCTAGGTACTTGAAGCACTGAAATAATGGATCTGCCGGAGCTTATAGACGGCCCAGTTGTCTCTGTCGTCGGCTCTCCCCCTCCCGCTGCTGAATACGGTGTTTTAATCTTTAGAAAAGGAGATATAAAGGCCGGTGATATACGAGTTGAATATGGCGCTACATAACTACGGCTTGGCGCATTGAGATTTCCACGTTAATTAGACCGCGGAACCTTATTACGAGAAACGGAGCTCACCAAGACCTAGAACGATCTTCCGAGATAGATGGGCCCCTTTCCCCACTGGATTATCAATTGATGGTTCCTGCTAGCTCGGAGCAAGTCCATTCGCTATGTAACGTTGTGCACTAGCCTCCCCCACATAGTTAATTTCAGCCTTCCGACCATGCGCATGTTCTTAGGAACGCCCAACCATCCCACATCACATCAAATTCTCCACACTTGGACCCAAGGCGCACCCTACCTACAAGGACCTAGTCCATAACGGCAAACATAATATTTACAGCATAGGTAGGCACTAAGTAGCACTTGCTTGTACGGTACCGGTACAGCAAGACCCTGTAGCCGTAGACAAAAAGGTGTAACAGGGGATTAGACATTGGACAAGGGGCATGCCAATGATGGTGGGTCTTCCAGCAGCATTTAATAGAAACTACCACTTGGCGTCACACAGGTCCCGTACATACTAAGATTGCCCCCCACTGTAGCACCATCCAAATATCTCTCATTTATTTCCCATTCGGGCGCAGTATGGTAGCATTAGAATGGGGAACTGCGAAGCCCAAGCGTTTTTTCCACCCGAGCCGAATGATGTGAGGGCGGATAGACCCGTGTAGCCTCCAGAATGAAAGCTCAGACAGAATGGACCCACCGAATTCATAACGTCACAAAGCGATAGTCAAGAGTCACCACATGCCATATGTTCAAAATCCCTGCTAGTGCTCACCCTATACTGTGATATCTATTGGTGAGGCAGAGTGCCTCTCTGGCGCCGTCTTCTCCGGCGCAAATTTCAGCTGTAATAGCGCAAGCGGAGGCTCCACAACCTCGTTCTCCAAGCCAGCTTCTCATCTCCTGGAAGACTAGCTTTTACTGCCTTGGCCAATAGCTACCTGGACTTTTAATATACCAACTATACGAGATATTATGAGAAATTCTCGGCATGGCAACGCTGAAGGCAGAGAAATACCCTGTAGCAGTTATTCCTGACCCCCCTGAATACCCATTCTAGGAGCCTGATGGACTGTTCCATAATTCTTGTCGATATTTCGAACCGTGTAGTCACCTTGGAAAGATGTAGTGTTGTCTTCGTCTTTTAAAAGGGACAGGGCCAGCATCTCAGCGACTCTCTCGGCCTTTCCTGTCACTCACTGCCTTGTACTCAGTACCAGTCCCTCATTTCAGGCATACCTTCTCTCATATTGTTCATTCGCTCTCTCTATCTCTCTTTTTTTGCACCCGGGGCATCGACATAATGGCTCCTGCAACCCCAGTCACTCGTTTCGTTTCCTTTTTCCTTTTTGCACTTGTTGCACTCCTATGCATCTACCATGGCACTCAGTCCGATAATCTCCGCCTTACCACCTATGCTAAGCGATCATTGCCTGATGATGCCACCATTCAGCCCCGGCTGAACCTTGGTACTGAGCTTCATCTCCTATCAAAGCGCGCCGCTCCTAAGAACAGAGCTGAGGCAGTGGAGAAAGGCAGAGGATATATGTGCCAGTTAGAGGATATAGAACCAATCGATTTACCTTCCGAGCTCAAGGATTTGCAAGCTTTCTACGGATATTGGTCTGAAGAGCCTTACGGGGCGAGCAACGGCAATCCTACAGAGACAGGATCAAAGATTCCAGTGGCATTGGCCGCGAAAGGTCTGCCTATTAATATAGGAGATCGAGGTTTGCAGGGGTTGAAATATCGCCAGGATCACCAATATAAAGTTGGCAACACATACTATGACGTAAGTCGCCGAGAGATCTCCATGGCTATAGATTATAGCGGGACTTACTGTGTTTCTTTCAGGGGACAGACGGCCACTACAAGGCCAGTATAAGCACCAAGGCGGGTTACATCTCCGCAGAAGACAACGAAAGTCCAGCCTACATGATTACTGAGTACGGGTTGAATCAGCCCTCTCCAACCATATCTAGGCTATCTGACGTTTACTTCTTACTCTGGAAGGAAGTGGCTCGCGGTTCGGAGACTGAATTAAAAAATATCAAATATTTTATCCGCCACCATGTGATTAACGACGCATCTTTGGATGTTGCGCTGGAGGTGGCCAGTGGAAAACCTCTTCCCCCCAGAAAGGAAGAGGAGCCTAGGGACACGAGCATGGTGAAAGAATGGCCGGGTAAATCCTATGACATGTCTACTGATGATGGTAAAGCGATTTTGGGGACTCCCAATGGTGCCGGTGTAGCCCGTTTCCTCATGGACCACAAGCCAGAATTGGGAGTAAAGGCCCCCAGCAAGGTGACCCTATTCAAGACTACTGGCCACACAAATGCCAAAACCAACCAGCCAGAGGACTGGGTCCATTTTCTATTCGAAATCAGCCCTGTTCACAAGAAGAAGCGGAGAGGAAGGAAGTAAACAAGGGGGGCTAGCTAGATTTCCTAAAGCCTTCGATATTCAAGGGGAATTAATTTTCTAGGCCTGGGCCAGGGGGGGAAGAAGGATTTACAAAATAGGAGTACCAGAATGGAGTGCAGAGTTCAGTCTAAGTACGTAAAATTAAGTGGGCTGTGTCCTGTTTCTTGCTTGGCAGACATGGATGCAACTAATTTAGTTAGACGCTTCCTCCCTTGCAACCGTTCGCTTGAGCTTCTTCTGTTACAACTCCCTATCTACTGCATTTGAAATAATAATGGGTGCCTTTGAAAAGCTTCCCCCTGAAATCATTGTTCGCATTATTCAATATGCGGCTGATTTTGTTGGCACGGAAAGTCTGCTGGTAGTTTCACCATGGGTTCATGCTGTTTTCGAGGCGCAGCCGCACAGAATCACGGAGGATCTCATAGTATCAAACCCCATGACTACCATGCCTGAAATTCGAAATCTAATCCGAAATACGGCCCTGGTTCCCACAATACATTGTTCCAGTCTCGACAACTATCTTGGGGTGATGTGTGTGAGCGCACCCAGTGTTCTCCCTCGGCAGATGAGCTTTGCCGAACTACATCGAATAGTTCAGATTGCTGCACAGGTTCAGCGTTTAGCATGTGTATGCCTTTCAACTATGCAGCAAAACTTCATCTCTGCGGTGGGGGCCTCTCCTGCTGGCCCCTTGAGTGGTGCTATCCGAGCACAGAAAGCGAGTGAGCCATTTTCATGGATTGAGGAATACCGGGTATACTGGGCTCTGTGGCATCTGGCCTACTATTCTATTCTCTGTGAGGTTGCTGAGGCACTGCCTGCAGATTCAGTACAAAGGGTATATGCGTGTGCCGTCCGAAACGAAATGGATATACCCAGGCAGGAATATATCTGGACGGTGGCCGCAGTTCTTTCGGACTTGGGACTACATCCCTCCTACGGGGACTATGGACAGCAGGAGCCCTCAGAAGTCGCCCGGGGTCTCTCGGAGGAGACACCCATACCTTTATTCACATCCTTTGAGTTCAACTTTGAGAAATACCTTATCTGGAGCCCTCAACCAGTACCGGACAGTACTCCCGTTATAAGTATCTGGCGTCGCGGGGCGGATGCGTGTGAAACGTCGTCAGCACAGAGCAGAAGGTTCTCCGCATATAGCAGAAGTCTTCTGCGGTGCACTCCAAGTTCAGCCGCGATGCTAGACGTGCGGCCGTTTCGACGTATTGGGGTTCTTCTATGGGACTCGTGGCGTGCGTTCTCGGTTGGGCTTCTAAACAAACCACGCCGAGAGGGTATTCCGACCCCAGATGGCGGATTTATGGATTATTTGGATGATGGGCCCCCCCGTTTAAGTCTACGAGAGGATGCATCAATCTGGTTGGCATTGGTCGGTAAGACGCTGTGATGGACCCAAGTAACAGCTTTGTGGAGTGACAATTTTTGAGGGCGTTTGATGTTTTAGAAGGGTCGACATTTCTTATAAGTCGTAACTGTTGTTGAGAGTATCTTTTCATCAATCATCTTCTGAAAGTTCTTCGTCGGGAGGTTATAGGTCCACTTGATTGTGTTCAAAGTATTATCCTCTATCCCATAAATGTTGTATTTATGACCGTTCATGTGGACCTCCTGCGTAAGTTCTCATTCATAACTTGAAGCGCAGCACTCATAGATCGGGTTGATGCTAAACATCCGATATGAGATCTATAAAGGTAAGATATCTAAACCACCTATCTTGGGGTCCTCGCAACACGGGTTACACCACTCAATACATATTCTTTTAGAACCGAGCGTCTTAAATAATTACCCATGTCCAAGAAAAGTAGAATACTCAATAGTTCAACTATGATAGATCCACGCAAGTACGTAATGGCGCCTAAATAATAGTTAATAATCAGAGTCCTGACACCTAATCCCTTGAACTCGCTTCACCATTCCAGATTAAGCTTAAGAGATTGCTAACAGTACACGGATTCACGCTATGGGGAGCGTTTCATCCAGAAATCATGCAGTGCATGATCCGCGGCTGAATATGGAAGAAAGTAACCCTTACTGCCTGGAGGGCAAACTCGCATCTGGAATCTATATCCGCGGAGGTTATTTTTATTGAGTTTAAATTGAATTACTATGTTCTTCACCTTTTGGTAGATTAGATACATGGAGTATACTTATCCAGTGTCATTCAATAAGGGTAATCAGATAACTTCTAAGAATAGGTTATAGTAGCTGTCTCGATATGAAACAAATCAAGGTAGCGGCGTATTCGTTGACATCTAAGAAGTATTGGAACCGTCGAAATACATTATATACGTCCCCTAGGTCGCTTACAGGCGGGTCTTCAAAAGAATGGACAGGAATCATTTGAGGCTTATTGCATTAGGGTAGAAATAATGCCGTAAGTTTACGCCTTGTATTAATGGGTTGGGTCGCCAAAATGTTGACCAAACATCCATCCCTTCTCTACAATCTTACTACCCACGATAGAGATCTGAGCGTGCCATGTTGTGTATTTGGCTACAAGAACCCGACTGATCGCTAGCAATAAAATACAAAACAAATGGTACTAGAACATGAGAACTTTGCGCGAGGGAAAAATACCGATGGTACAACTAATGATTCCCTTCACCGTTCTCCTGCTGGCCCTTGCCTTGGCCATTTTCCTCACCGTGCTCTTGCTCGCCATTTCCCTGCTCCTTCCCATGACCCTCCTCCTGCTTTCCCTTGCCCTGCTCCTGCCTTCCCTTACCCTGATCCTTGCTCTCACCGTGCTCTTGCTCGCCGTTGTTGTGGCCCTTCACTTCACCATGACCGTGTGGCTCGTTGTGGCCGACAGGGCCATGTCCATGGCAGGACGGAACCTTGTGCTCATAATCACAAATGCTGAACCGAGAGTCGTATGCCGTTCCAGGTCCACAGGTCTTGCGGACCGGAACTCCACCAGCAGCGCACTCGTAGAAGTTATGGCAATCGCGCTGGTCAGGCCATCTGGCTCCGGTCTCACAGCTGGGGTGAGCGGAGGCAGTCAATGCAACCAGGGAAGCGGCAAAGATAGCCAGAGCTTTAGCGGTGAACTGCATCTTGACGCTGTTCGGAATTGGGTTGTCAGTAATTGCAGTGACGGGGTAAAATATTTCGAGCCTGATGATGCGGAAGTACGTACGCTAGTAACGGGACGGTGCTGTCACGTTGTAATAGATGGCCTCTGGAAGGATGGGCGGTGGATGGGAGATTAGGGCAGGGTTGGCGCTGGTGTCCTGTTGTCGATGTGACTGAATGATTGTCGATGATACATTCGGTAAAGCTGGCTATTATACCGGCTTTTATAGATTTGTGCTGCTATACAAGTTTCGCTACTTCAAGGGATGCACAGGAGGTGCATTCTTGGACCCACCTCTGAATACCAGCATGTTTCCCCTGCCATTGAAGGGGGAGCAATTTACCGCACCCTGTCACAGAATGTGGGTGGAGCTGGTAGTTTCTGGTAGTAGGTATGAAGGACTAACGAGCCTTGCTGGTTCCAATTGCCGGTGTCAAGATAAAAATCTGGTTCTTCGGTACTTCTTCCCCAAGTTCTGCCGGTGACGTTCCGCAATGCCACATTTTTCCGAGTTCAGTGACAGCTACCATGTTGCCCCTTGCTATCCTCTAGTCGTCCTATCTATGCTTGCTAGCTGTTGATTGCGTCTGCACTTTGCAACATAATTGCAATGAACGAAATGTAGTTCGCACCACACGCCCGCTTTCAAATGAACCTACTATCACCCTAGCTCAATGGTTAATTATAAACCTGCGAAGGCGGAAAACCGCTCAAGCTCTCTCCACGTCAGTCTACTCTACGCGGAATTTTATGACTTAAGATCTTTTTGACGCGAGATAAAGCTAAATCAAGCTCCAGCCATACGCAGAGCTGACAAATAGAACGTGCGGGAGATTTTCGCGCTATTGAAACAATGCAGGCTCTGGAAATGTTGCAGAAACCTTGTGCTTCGCTTATGTCCTTTATATCTTTTGTCAATTGAGTTTTACCCTTTATTTGAGTTGGCTCATTTTGAGCTTGTTAATGTCTCATCGGCAGATAATCTATGGTAATCATCCGCACTGAATTTATCTGGGAAATAGAAGTAGAGAGCTGACTGAAGCTATATACAACTAGGATTCTGTTAGGGAGAGCAAATTATAAAAACACTTGGTATGCTCTACGTGTTATATTCCACAGTAGGTCTACGCCCTGCCGGCTCCCTTCTTTGGATGGTTGGGGTGATCGCTTTTCCTTGATTTCACCTGACCCTTTCTTCGCCAAGGGAGATCCTAGCATTGCTATAGCCCAGAATGCGAATCTTATGCAGTGCGATTTGGTCTTGGGGTTCAAATCCAGATTCAAAGCTATCCACAGTGGATCAATTCGGAAGTATTCTGTAGTGTTTTGAAAATCGCGCCGCGCGGAATGCGGTACCGGCGCGCTCTCTCTGTATACAGGGTGTGGATATCTTCCAATATTAGCACTCGCCTACTGCAAAGTAGGTGGGCGGGAATTCTCGCTTATCTAACGGCCGAGATGGAGTATGACATAGTGATCCAGGTCCAGAGCTAAAGGAGCGCAGCTGAGGGCAATTGAAGGTGAGATTTCGACAGTTCTACATGAAAAGCATCCTGACGTAGAACGGCTGATGCTGAATAAATATCGCGTCCATCGATGCCACGGTCCTTCTGGTCGCAAATAGAAGCTCTTGACAATCATACATTTTGTGAGGGATATTATGTTGTGCAGAACTAATACGTCACCATATGATAATGGATGCCAATTTCGCGCTGTGGAAGAAGCAAGTAAACGACAGGTCGACGCAGCCTGTTAGGCTAGTTTCATACCAGGCTGAGGGAATAGCTGTGTTCTTCCTTTCTTCTCTTTGTATACAGAACCTATATTCTAGAGTTACCTCTATCTGTACTACGGTAATAGTGCAATGATTGGATTTTCAATTCCTGATTGCTGTAATTACAGAAAAGCTTTATCCCATCTCACGGCTTAGACAAAACGGGATATTGGGGAGTTAGAGATGAGATAGTCACGTACAGATTTTGGGAGCTCTTAGATATTTTAGAATAATACGGTATTGCAAAGGCTATGCTACACAACTAAGGACAAAGGCAGTGAGAGATTGAATTGAGTGTCAGGGAGATGCATGTGGTGTAATACATTGTTTGTCATTGAAGTATAGGTAGAACGATATATATTTACTGAGATCGGGCAACTTGTCATGGAAATCTATCTACCCCAGTTACTCCACAGGGATGCTCAATTACGTTCAGTTTCTCCCTATCCGCGTGGATATGATATATATATAATTTGCTATCAAGTACCCGCAGATATGTCCCAGTCTATATTTTATTACCACTATGCCTCACCGAGTTCAGGCACTCATCGAGGCAGATGGCTGGTATGCTAAATACTAAGGGCTATGTTCTCGGAGGGGTTTGCCTGGCAGAATAGCCTAATTAGAAAGGCGGTATAATGCACGAGAATGAACACGTACATGCAAATGTTGCTAATGTTGACACAAGTTAAAGCTCCCCGTCTCAAATTCCCGGTTCTGTGCCTTCGACTTGCTGGAGCGCTCCTTCATCAGCTCCTGGCGGTACTGCCTCGCCTCCTCCATGGTTATGGGAGTAGCGTCGATGTCCTTCTTGACCATATTCTGCAGCTCAACTGGGAGCCTCTCGTTCAGCAACTTGCCAACAACCTCCTGCCGTTCCTTCCACCAGCTCTCTTGTTGAGGTGGCACATTCCCCGAAGAAATAATTGAGAGATGAGGGTCTACAAGGAAGAAAGCCAAGATCTTGCGATGGCCCGGCTTGGTCCGATCCGCTAGCGTAAACGGCGATACCCGGTGCTGGAGACTATTCGGGAAGGTGAGCAAGCGTCCTTGACGAGTGTCGACACTGCCCAGAACCTGGGTGATGTTGCTCTTAGTGTAAGCTGACTTATAATCTAAGCCAAAGATCGCCTGGAGAAATTCATGTCGTGATTGCTCATAGGGCATGTCCGAAATGGTCCTTCTAGACGCTCGTTGCCGAAACGCCAGCCTGTTTTCAGTGATGTTCTCGCTCTCGTAGTAATAGATGGCCGTAGCGCAGATGTGCTCATTCTATTACCAGTTAGTATATGGTCCAGTCATTCCGACAGAAAAGAAAGTATACCAGCTGTCCCTCAATATGCCACGATCCGCCGTTGTACTCGGGCTTGTCCGGGGTTAGCTCGATATTCGCCAGCTTGACGATTACCTGCAATCCGTTCCGGGCAAAATCCTCGCACAGATTGACCTGTCTCTTAGCCCTGATTACATGGGGAATAAACTTGCGCGGTTCTGGGCGTCGGATGGGCTCTCGTTGACGCCATCTCTCCCATCGTTCATTATATTCTTCACTCCACTCCTCCTCCTCGTTTGCCGCCTGGGGCTCCGCTTCAGGGTGCTCGTCATATTGAATCTTCTTGTAGGGGATTCTGCTGTAATGATCCTGCACAAGGGTTAAGGTCATATTCCATAGAGGGATGGTCTGAGCCAGGATCTTCTCGATGACTTGGTATAGCGGCCCATGCTGTTTCGGATGCAGGTTATTAATATACGACGCAATGCGACACTCGCTAGTGTCAGTGAAATGCACGTCACATGGAAGCCATTGGAATTTGCGACTGTAGGGTTGGTGAGTGATGTTCCTGCTTGACCATTTGTCGTCGTCGTCGTCGTCGTCGTCGTCGTCGTAGTCATCATCCACAGTAGTGGTCTCTTCTTCTGTGGGAACCGCAAGGACCTTGCCCTCCCCGATGCTGTTCTCCAAGTCTTCGAGTCCAATCAGTTTCCTATGGAGAACGCGAGTCCGGCCGTAGACGACCGGAAACAGAGATGGATGGACCAGGTCGACCACCTTGCCATCCGATCCGGGGTGGTAGTCTTTGAGCTCCTCCGGCACATCCTCCAGGGGCCGAACCGCCTCTTTCAGCGCCTGTCGCAAGTCTTCCGTAATGGCTGTATCGGATTTGACCACGCCAGCGTCGAATGCAACGACACGCTTGGTATCACGGAAGACCTCGGCTTTCCACTGCGCCTCCTTGATAATCCAGTCCATCATGGTCGGAGTGATATCATCTCCGGTGTCCATGATTTCCTTGCGCCATTTGGTGGTGATTTCTTCATCAAAGACCTGAATGTAATGTCAGTTATGCCTATTGTAGGACGAAGGAAAAGCACCTTTTTCTCCCAGTCCGATTTGTCAGTGATGGAGTTGAGTGCTCGCATCATCAAGATCTCCCGGTGGGTATTCAGGCGTCTGCATTCTCAGCCCTTAAGCAACCAATTGTAGTATCAATCAACCACTTACTCCGTGCTGTAGTTCCCCAGTGCATTAGGGAACATATCATCAGCATCTATGTAGTTCAAGGGGATAGAGTAACCCGGTAAGTCGAAGCGTGTGTTTGTCGACTCCATGGTTATTGAGCGCAATTTCGCACGACGAAGTGATCTGAGTAGCGTTAATCCCCTGTGTCTTCTACGACGATGTTACTTATCAAGAGAGCATCAGGGATTCTGACGCGTTGTTGGTTTAGGCAGGCGGCTGTTGCCTCGGAGTTTTGGTGGAGTAACTTGTAAGTGTTGGCTAGTACCCACTCGAGGAGGAGGGCAATTAGCCATCACATGATCTAAACCGAAGTTTCTCGTGGCTCTGGGACGAATAAAAGTCGAAGGAGTTCCGAGAAACATGAATAGTTAAAAGATCAACCATGTCACTTACTTCTAAGAGTTAGAGAAGGGTTCTGCTTATCGGTTGTTGACCCTGAGAATGGGTCTGGTCTCTTCAGCTGAACTGTGGGGCAGCTGAATCTACATTGTACTCACCGTAAGTAATGGCTGATCATTGCCCTGTAGAAAGGCCCGCCCTTCGATAAACACTCTTGCTCTTCGCTCTTGACCAATGCATCTCATAGTACAATGCTCCCTTCCATTTTACTCGAGGAATTCAAACGACGTCTCCACCCGCCATTGCCTCAGCTGAGTGAGCGTGAACACCCGGTAGTCTCTCAGTGCAATATATAAACCCCGACAAGTGACCAAGGAATCCCTTTTTCTTAGTATTAAAATTCACCTTTCTTTTATTCCCTACTTGACTCTCGTGGGGCAAGACTCCTGAAGCAAAAGTAGCAAAGACAGAGATATACCACGGACCACCGCAGCCTACATTCGTGATATCCTCTACTGACCCTAGCTGGGAGCGGTCGATTCCTATGGGGTAGCAAAGCTGCACCCAAATGACCGCCCTAACGCCTCGAGTCTTGAATTAGCACTAGAGTACATCATCAGCGATGGACTGCCCGATGCTTCCATCTCTCTAGCCTTTAGAAAGTTTCTCGCCCTCCAATGCCGCACGGGCCAAGTGAAGAATGTGCTTCTGGTTGGGCTCCACGGTGGATACGCAACCACCTGGATTGCCACTATGAACCCCCAGGTCCACATTACCGCATTGGAAGCCGACTCCTCCCATGCTCAGATGGCCCGCGAAAATATCAACAAAGCTGGAGTCTCTAGTCAAGTTGAAATCATCGAGGGGCAAGCGTTGGGGACACTGCCCAATGTCGAGGCCGAAGTTTATGGCGGATAGCGCCCGCGATATGAGTTTGCCTTCATTGACGCGGGCCTGGAGCATAGTTGGGACTACACGAACAAAGCGATTTGTATTTCACGTCCTGGCGCGAATATCATTGTCAACAAGGTCGTTCAACGTGGTGAAGTTGCGGACACCGAACCCGAGACAGTCGATATGGACGGGGCTCAAAAGGTGATTGAAAGGACAGGGATGGGCCCCCGCGTGGAGGCCTGTTTGATGCAGCAGGTGTCGGACAAAGGCTACGACGGATACTTAATGGCTGTGGTGAAATAAGACTTCAATAACTAGTCTTGCTTTTTCGTCATTACATGAGATGTAGCAAATAAAATGGTGTCTCAAGTGCCGTACTACCGGCCAGGTAGACATTAAGTTATTACATTTTTCAAGTATACTGAGCATGGTCAGCGTTTAGTTATATTCTGGAAACCGTGTACGACTAGCCTTCTGGCCGGGAGTTAGCTCCGGGATGGGATGCCTCTGCATAAGGCTGGCTCCAGTCTTGGACCTTCATGTTGCCCGCTTCCTGGAACTCCGCGGCTTGGCCGCGACGCTCGGGTGGGATTGTATCCCAAATTGATGTCCCCTTATTGAGGCTCTGGAGGTACTCTGTCTTCCTTCATCCTTGTCTCCGGATGGTGGCGCATGCAATCAGCGATGAGGCGATACAATGCCACATCCAAGTCGTGAGACCGGCCATGCGCTTAGTTCTCTCGCGATACTCTCTACTATCGGAAATCCGCTGCGCGCCCTTGTTCACCAGCGACAAGACGGGATGACGTTGGTTGAGTAAGTGCCGGGAAAACTCCCCTGAAATTTCCTTTGTGTTGATGCAGTGGAGCGCTAAATCGAAGTAGGTCTCTCCGACAGGTGACAAGGTGAGGGCTGGATTGGACACCTAGTAGTCCCAATGCCCTTCAGTCGTTAGACGGCCGTATGACCGACTCATGTCGTACGCATACTGCGCCATGGTCATCATCGAGCAAGGCCCCTCGCCGCATAGCTTTGCGAGCCCCACCTCGCGCACAGTTCTCACCCCATCCTTGTTGTTTACGAGGTCGTCGCACATAACCACTGCCGTTTCCTCTCCGGGCTCGTGAGGCAATTCTCCAAGGGCATACATAACCCGACTCCACTCACCGGCTTACCCATTGAGCTCAAGTGTCAAGCAATCGAACTGACCTTGACATTTGACGTAGTTCATAGTATATGTCTCACCTGAGGTTTGGGTACGGCGTGTCTATGGGCATGATGTAAAGAATGGGGGTATATCAAATTATATCCTAATCCATACAAAACGCCTCACATTCAATAGGAATAAAAAGGGATTATATCGCTCGTACACGAGGAAGTTCCGCCTCACCCGAAAAGACAAGAAGTTACTGGAAAGATTGGGGGTTGATGTCCGGGAATATGTCTCGGAAGAGACCTATCGCTGCCGTTTCAAACCAACAGACTTACGCCGTATCTTGGATCTGAAGTTCGTATGGGCGAGATCCAAGTACGTCATTCTCAGAAGCAATGGAATCTAACAGGCATGCTTGCAAAGCTCGTACAAGGAGAAAATGGAGGGGCATGTAAGCAAATGCATCGTCGGAGGTCTATGGCAAAGATACCCAGGGAAAAAGAAAAAGGTAACATCCTGTCATATCCGCCTGGCTATATTTCAAAGCTGTCACCAGGAATCTTTTGCGAGACAGGCTGTTGCTAGAAAGCCCTATACACTAGTTCAAGGAGGTAGCTTTCACTAGGTTGCTCTGGCGTTTACGATCCCAGCCTTGCTTTAATTGTTCTCGTGACAAGGGAGCGAATTATCAATGAGAATGCAACCAACAGTGGAGAATCTCCATAATACTTACTGCATATGACAGAATGGATTTAAATACTAATAAAGTCAACTGCGGGGTGGCCGCTCAAAACCGCCGTAGGCCGCTGAAGATCCTTACTACGTTACATCAGTCAGAATATCGGATCACACTACTGCGCTCGCTCAAAGTATTGATCGCTCCTTGTCAACCTTACTAGTATGCGAGCACAGCTCCCTCGATTCTCTCCCTGCCTTTGTATTAAAGATTGCCTAGATACCACCATTATACGAGATCTTTCCCGATTGGCCACCATGGAGCACGAGTCCTCATCTGATTCCGAAAATGCACCCTTTTTACGAAACACAGAGATGAGACCGAGCCGACCTTCGTCAAGCAGAGTAGTTACGTACTTCTGGCCAGAAATCCGCAATATCTTCAGCTACTTAAAGGCTGCTCTGGTACAGATTCTTTCCGCAATATCTTATTACCAGACAGCAGACCGGTCAAGGTATGAAAGGAATATCGATTCAACATCATTTCCCGAGCGGCATACTAAAGACATACGAAACAGCGAAGATATATCTCAATCATTTCCTCTAGCAGCATCAGATGCGTCAACCGCCATGAAAGTCCTTAACCCCCTTTTCTTCATTTTAGCCGCGTCCAAGGTTGCGCGCGCACTTCCAGCGGAAGAGAATATTCGTCTAAGTGGAGAGATTGCAGTATTTGATCCAAATTCCTTGCCAGAGCTGGCACAGAGCATGAGTGAGGAGCATCACGCTCTCATAAGACTTGAAAAGCGGGCAACGTGCGAAACAATAAATAAGGTTATCAGAAGAATTGGCCACAATCGGCATAAGTAAGTTTCACAGTAGCGTCCGCAGAATGAATCTCACCCATCATTGTTCTTTACAGGCTTGCCTATATTGTCTATGGCAGCGGGCTTGCGTGGGCGATATGTGGGCTTACCGGGCATGATGAATGTGACAAGGTCGGAGGAGCCGTCCTGTTCACTATGGGTCTTATCTTCACTGCCGCAGCAGACTACTCAGGCGCAGACCCTGTTCCTGTGCCAGAGCTACCTGGGGCCATGAAAGTACCCAGTTATCAGGCATCCTTGACTGCTGCGTTGTCACAGAGTGACCTCGAGTATACAGCCATCGACCCAGCACCGCTACAGGAGGCTCCCGAAAAGCGCAGCGAAGACGAGCCTCATCTGCTCGAGCGGTTCCTGATCCGGGGCTTGCGACCGGTCAGCAATGCTACTGCTCAGAGTGACACTGACGGTCAAGATATCTTTGTGCACCACTACGACAATGGCGGAACTGTACTTCACCTTCCGATCGGTAGGGAGAGTCTGTCGGCGGAAAAGCTCAACAAAAAATATGATCACCCAGGTCTCAAGATCTCTTTTACTACGCGCCGGGTGTCTAAGATGTCCAGACAGCATCAAACTGATATGGCCAGCGGGATCGCTAGCATGTGGGAATACTATGCCAGAACCACTCCCATGAACGAGTATATCGGATTTGTAGAGACAGGCCACCATGCCAATTTCTACTTTCGCATTATCCCTGAGCTAAAGGGATTTGGCACAAATTATGAAAGTGTTGATGTGTGTGGTGGCATGGCCGGAATGCTCTAAGCGTTGCTTTTGTTTTTGTCGCATTTCCCCCTTCAGTGATAAGAGCGATATAGTCATATCGAGGGGTTTTTTGGAGTCTTAATTCGGTAGTGGTCATATACAGTACCTAGTATCTCCAACTCCTGCATATAATCGAGTCTCTCAGAGTTTCGGCCTCGGCCACATACCTAATTGTCCGCCATCGCAACAGAAACACAGATAGTTAGGGGCAACCGCTTACTCCAAGACGCCAAAAATATCTGTCCTCTTCCTAGACAGTTTATTTCTCTGATTAGTATATCTATGGAAAATAGTCCGTGACGTGTGACATAAAATTCCGCTTTCAACCAACCTCTACTGTTGTGCTTAGTATATTCTTCTTGACTGAGCCTTTTCTTCCCTCTTATTTGGTAGCGTTCTTTCTTTATCTTTTCTTTAGGGGCGGAATCCCCGTCCGAGATGCAAGGTGTACTATACTGGATCAAAAATATACTATAGGTTGGTTGAAAACATGAAACTGGGGCCTATGAATCAGGTAGTGTCTAGACGAATGCTTAATCCGATGATACTGCCCGAGAATAGAGTCCATATGATGTATCCAAACACTCAGCAACATTCCCAAGTAGATACAAAATCTGGCAGATCAATTGTGACACCCTAATGAACGAATTCGAACCCTATTCCCAGCATGCATCTGCATCCGGATACGACTTGCAGGACCTGTTTTTACACTGTTTGAAAGACTATTTCCAGATTTTAGCACAGTCTCTTTTGAACAGTTGATACGAATTTCTTACAATACCACTAGAGCCACGTGTACAGCGGCCAGAACACTAGAAGAATTAGCTTACTACTTTATACATCCACAAGCCAACGATATGTCTTACCTTTGAATATCCGGGATTATCATCCCTTTGGGCAAGATTACCACTATTTCCTGGGCCATATGCTTGCACAAATCCGAAGGTAAATGCAAAAATGGACACGAGGGAGGGGAGAGGCATGATCTTATCCATTTGATATTCCTTGAAACAAAACGTGAACTACAGCCAAGGATTGATTCTAAATAAATCAAGTGAAAACCGTGTATTGAAAGAAGAAGAATTTAGCAGAGGTTGAGTAGTGAGTGCAACCCCTTCTTCTTTACTTCTCTCGCCTCGCAACCATGAATATTCATTTATCGCCGTGGTTTGCGAGCCCTTGCTTTACGGAAATGGAACCACTAACTATAACTATTGATTTGCCTGATGCAAGGGGGAAGCATTGGTTTACGGAATATGACACATCCTAGTTAACATGGGACAAGGTTTTGTGAGGTTCTTGGCAACAGGATGATATGGATATTCAGAGTATTAGTAGCACGTACTTAATGGCTGTATAGGGAGATATAAAGTCTTTCTTATGCCGCTCTAGAGCGCCTAGGCCAGCTCTATCTTGTTTTTGATTCTATGCCTTGATATTACAAACATCTTTCATTGATATTTATTTCTCGGGTTGTATATATGCCACTCTGCCTGCCTCAACATTTGTTATATGCGTCATAAGAAATATGCGAAGACTTCCTGAATGTTTACCCATTATTTATATTTCTAAATGGAGTAAAGTATTTAACTTATCATTCTGCTTGTGATGAGCTTCTATCTTGTTGCTCTGCAGCCCTCGCCGCCCTCCGTGCTCTCATCCTGGCCCTAATGGCTTCTACACGATCTCTTGATGTGCTTTTCAATGCATCGTTTCTGGCTTCCCTAAACGCCTGTAACTTTTCAGAGTGCTCAGCTCTCATCCCACTCCCCGGTTTTCCTGGCCTCTCCTGTATCATCCGGGGGGTCATACCGGTACAGTCAGGAAGATCCGGATCCGCTCCATGTGCAAGAAGAAGGTCAGCAATTGACCGATATTCTCCTAACTCCGCCGCCATCAATGCAGTCATTTGCTTCGTCGGCGTGATTAAATTCACATCAACCCTCGGATCCTCCAGAAGAAGTTTCGCCGCTTCCTCACTGTTATTATCCACTGCAGTTAAAAGTGGCGTCCTATCACCCCATACGGCATTCGGATCGAGAAGATTGGGCTGCGGACCTTCCCACATCAGTAATCGCTTAAGGACTCTTAGTTGGGAGCTATCAATGAGAGTTCCTAATGTTTGTGCGGAGAATTTTGCCACGGCAGAAGTGTTATGCTGTGCTCTCCCACGAAGCGGTACACAAGGGTCTGCACCTCGATCCAGGAGTTTTAGCGCAATTGACTCGCGGCGATATGTAATTGCCGCCAGAAAGGGGACTTCATTATTGTCTGGTTTTGTGTAATAACCGTCCACCTTCAACTCTGGAGCATCAGCTAGCAGAACATCCACCACCGCAGTAAAACCCCTGACACACGCTAGAGAGAGCGCCGAACGCCCGCCCCGGCGCTCTCCCCCTTCCGTCGAATTCGGATCTGCCCCATGGGCCAGTAGAACCCGGACAACAGGAGCATGCCCGAAAATGGCGGCGGTGAGCAGAGGGGTAAAGTTATCACCGATATGTCGGCTATCAACGTTAACATTGTAGTGACTTAATAGGAACTCGCATATTTCTGCGTGTCCTGTCTCTGCGGCATGCAAGAGAACCGTCTGGTTAGCGGCGATCGAATTGGGGTCTGCTCCTCCCAGTTCAATAGCTTTTCTAGCTGTCGAGAGACGTCCATAACGTGCAGCGTAGATAAGAGCAGAGCTATTCGATTCACTGACGTTATGCTGGTAAAGGTATGGAGCGAAAGTTTTATAAAAGAAGCCGTTAAGCTGGGTGAACACGCTAATATCTCGTTCTGTCTCGAGTTCCTCGATAATCAAGAGGAGTATCTCGTGTGGCAGTTCATATATCAACGCCATTGTTCTGTTGTGATTTCCTCGGGACTTGATCTCGATATATAGGCGGTTGTTCAACCTGAACGAATGGAAATCCAATGAACTAGCAGTTTGGAGGGTCTGTCTTCTCCGACTAGAATTGTCTTCACTTGTCAATAATAGTCAATCATATCCAGGAACTAGCCTCTTCCCCGCCCGAAAACGGGACAGCAGCTTAGGACGCTGTAGTAAGCCTTGCGGATAAAAGAAATTTCCCCAGACCTGCCGGCGCGGGCGTGACCCACCTTCCCCATTTAGGATTAGTATAATAATTAGGACACTACTAGTATAGTGCTATAAAGCTTTGTGTTCGGCCTGTTGACACTGCTTCTCTATATCCAGCTCATGACATTTACTGGGCAGGGGGGTTGTTGCATACATTTGGAGGCGTGATACTTGTGGTTTATAAGTCTGTCGGGATAGCGCAATACTGGAACAGGGCCTGCCGTTCGCATCCCGCGATGTCAAGCAGGAATACCCTGTACGCACAAGAGAGAATGCTAGGAAACGTTTCAAGGAAGGCGCACAGGAGAGGCTACAATACGTTCTAATGGAGCTGCCGCTGTGAGGCCATCTCCATGCCAAGAACGTGTTTCAAGTCCGTACATTGTGAAACTTGCACGAGAGAGAATCCTAATTGACAAAGCATGAAACGATCCATTAACGCGAGAAATGAGAATCCGACCACTATACGCTTCAAACTACAATATCCATCAACCAACGGAGGACTGGAAAGCCAAAATCGCTTGCTACTCTGAAAGCCTTTCTACCTACCACAAAACTTTGAGCTTTGCCATCCCAAGCTTGGTACTATCAGACATTGGAGAGTGATAGGTGGACCTGAATTGGGTTTGTTTTAAATGCTGAAGCATGTCCACAGTATTAATAACTCCAATTCGAGCGCTTGGCGGATGAAGAATGCAACTATCCGCAAAGTTAACAGCGTTACTTTATCATATATATGATGTATGGATTGCAAGAGACGACAGATAGAGGAGAATGATAGAGCATAGGAGAAAGAACAAATCGGGAACAAAGGACCACGTTGGTTCATCAGAATTTACACGTTAAGATACGTTTTCTTCGTTTTGCGGGGAACAATATGGGCGTGCCCTGTCTCAGCCATATAAAATCTACTGAGGTGGAGATAGGGGTCAATAGGACCGTGGAGTCAACGTTCCTGGGGCATTGCTTTCTTCAGATAGAAAAGGTGGATAAGGCAGGAAGTATCCAAAAGCAAGGCTAAAGGGATAAAGATAGGCAAGACACCAAAATATTCGGTAAGTGGGAATCGCATACCAGGAAAAGGCCGAGCAGATATTTCCTGGCCCGCAGCAACTGGGTACGTATCGACATGATCAATGGTTTCTATACTCTGTACAGTCCAGCATATTCCGGGCTTTGGGGTTGATCCACAATTGTTGGATACTCTATATCACACCATAGAACCTATTTGAACTCTTGAGATTTCAGTGGAGAGTCCTGGGGCCATGGGCCTAGAGGTAATCTCTCGATTTTGGAATTCACGGTGCAAAATAACGCATTCAATAGAAGCCTTAACATGTGCTTTCACATTCTTATTGGTTATTCTGAGCTTCCCTCTGTTCTCGCACAATTTTTCCACATCTTATTTGGAGCTCTATCCCTGCCTATTTATCTCTCATTCTACCCAGCTATTTTCACTGGATCTTTCCAATTGTGAAAATGGGTTGCTTTCATGCGTAATGACTTGGCTTATATCTTCATTAATGTGGTCAAGATTCCATGTATGTATATGCTTGTACATCACGCCGAGCCCCTCTTGCCAGCGAGCAGTGATCGCAACGCCTCTTTATCCACCCTTGGGTTGCGCTCCACGGCTTGAAGCATCGTGTCCGTGATCGGGATCTCTGGGAAGCGCCGCAGAAATGTCTCAGCAACTTCATGGTGACATCTCTCTAGGACAATCACTCCCACTCCTTCGGTCGCGGGAATCGGTGCATGATAAAAGCAAAGCGTGGAAATCAGATGGTCAAAGCTGTCAAAGCCGTCGTCATCTTTCTGTTCCTTGTCGTATGAATAGTCCTGCAAAAGAGACTCCGTCAATTTGAAGTCCGTAAGTTCTCCAACAACTATGACCGCAGATCCTTTCTTCCAACCTGGCAAATCAACATCGTGCCAAATCTCCCCCAAATTTGCTTTTAGGTTCAGATCTCGACTTTGAGCGAGAATAAGTCTTACTGTGTCTTTGCGCCCATGACACATAGCCTCTTTAAGTACATTTGCTGTGAGTGGCGCAGATTCCACACGATGCAAGATGGATCTTATTATCTCTGCGCCGTGCTTCGCTGCGGCCATCATTACCTCTTCTGCAACAAGGTCATGGTTCTTTTCTGCTTTTAGTAGTAGGTGCAGTGAACCACAGTCTTCTGTTGCCCGTACAAGAGCTTGCTGCGTGATAAGGACATCCGGCTTTTTACTCAGCAGAAACTCTAGATGCTGAGAGCTGGAGGCAACCGTTTCCACCGCCCATGCATCAACATCCATCAGATGTCGATCAACAAGTAACTCCAACACTTCAGGCGTTCCAACATAGGATTCTCCAATCTTAGTCATGATAGCTTCGATTGGCAAACCATTGTGAGGTTTCGAAAGAAGCATCAGCATTGCGTCCCTTTCTTCGCATGCCGCTACAAACACGCTATCTGTGATCCTTGCCTCTGGAAATTTGTTCAGGATTATTTCAAGTGCATCTGGACTTTTCGCTGCTGCGATGAGGACATTCTCCGTAATGGGAAAGGAATCTTCCTGGACCTGCAATAAATACTCCATGACGGACGCACCACAGAATATATTGCTGGCTGCCGCGCATAGAATACCCTCGGTTATTGGAACCTCTGCGCCGCCGTTGGTCATGAGCAGTTGCAGCAATTCTACCGAATCGTCTTTCCATGAAGCAGCGGCTATCTCCATCATTTTCTCAGACACGATGAAACCCGCCTGCTGTTTATCTATAACCAGCCTTACCATCGCCAACCCATTCATGACGACACCTTCGCTTACTTTGTCGGTCAACACAGTATCTGGGCTAATTTCCTCAATCAGGACTTTCAAAGTTTGGTCTCGCTGACCGAGGCGGTTAACGACGTATTTACCCACAATCTCTTCGGCTGCAGTAAGAATCATCCGTTGGGTCATTGGAGCAGCTGGACCAAGTTTATCGAGCAGGAACCTCAGGATCTCGGGGAATTTATGGTTCTTCGCTGCGGCGAGAAGTATTCTCTCGCTAATCCGCGTCTCTGGCTCTCGCTTATCGAGAAGCAAGCGAATCATGTCTGTCCCGAACGGGTTGGAGGCCGCTGCCATTAGCGTCTCTCCAATCACTCGAATTTCTCGATGGGTCTGTAACATCAAACTCATAGCTTTCGAGCTTGCATGATGAGCCCAACATGCAACGCTACAGTCCTCCACGGCGAGCTCAGTCGCCCTGTTCACTAAAACAACATCGACTCCGCCACGGTTGTCAAAGTCATAGGAGTACATTTCATTCAACGTAGCAAAGAGGGAAGGGCCGATGTGTATATCCTCATTGCATTTCTCAAAAAGCAATTCAATCATCTTTTTGCCTTGGAGGACTATCGCATCGCATAGCACCTCATCAGTCATAGGAATACAGGCCTCATGTCGCCGATTAAGAAGGAGCCTCATCAATTCAAGTGCACAACGATAATTCCCCATCACCTTGATGATTATTCTCTCGTCAATAATCTTGTCGGGTGTCTTGGATTCATCAAAGAGCGAGCTTGAGTCCCAGATTCTGTTCACGATCGCTTCCAATTTTGCTTTTCCATGATTTTTATGATCAATATCGGACATCATGGCCATGACTGATCGCTTGTTGACTGTAATGTCTTTGCCCAACAGGAATTCCACAATATCCAAATGGCCATTTCTCGCGGCGACAGTCAATGCATTATCCCATTCACGTCCTTCAGAGGGCTCCAAAGGATCCGAGCCTTGGTCGAGCAATGTTTCCACAGTGTACGCTAAACCCATGCTGGAGGCGCGATGCATTGGTAGCTCGCACTCTTCAGGCACCATGTACCAAAGTTTATCCCTGTAATTATATCCCGAATCTTTAGCTATACGCAGCCAATTGAAGTAGATATTAGGCTCAGTAAAGAGACGGTCGACCATCCTTTGTATGTCTAGCACGTCCCCTGCAGCGGCAACATGAGTGCCCCAGTGTTTTGCTGCATAGACGAGGAAGGGCTGCGCCATAGCGACCTCAGCTGCCAGCGTCTCATTCTGCGAGAGGAGAAGGTTGATCGTCTTTATGGCCAACTCGTGGTGGCCTTTGGTTTCCGAGAACCGGTATTGGTCAGAACTCTCTGAGACCACCAGATATTCTTTGACAGAGAAATGTGCCAGTCTAATCGCACCGTCCGTGCTTACAATGACAAGGGCAGTTGTACAGATTTTAACGATGAGATCAGGGGATCGCAACGATACCGCGTCTGCGATTGTCCGTATATTCAGCGGCACCGGAGCTAGGCACAGCAAAAGAAGGATTTCGCGTGCTATGTTTATATCCTTTTCCTCGACCTTGTCAAGTACCTCCCGGTACGTCTCTTCGAGTGTTTCAGGAATGGTTCGTAGCGCATGCTCTATCTGCAGGTCTGTATGGCAGCCTGCCAGTCGAGTGAGTTGTAAATCAGCCCAGCGGAAACGCCTAGCCACAGTTATACGTTAGCTCAACTCTCTCACTTCTTCGGGTAGGAGAATGGACAATTATACCGGTCTCGGGTGCGCAACAACTGATCAAGGGCTCGAGCTCTTTTACTTTCCTCGAAATCTCGTAGACGACCATTGCTAACCTCAGTGCGGACAAATGTTTCGACATCGTCTGAGAGCTGGGCTTCCAAATCAACGGTGGGAAATCTCTCCAGTGTTGCACGAATATCTTGCTCTGGCCGGCTCGTCGCAAGAATGTGAAGCTTATTTTTATGACTCTCGTTAAGACCTGCCAGGAGTGATAGTAGTACCTTTCTCTCACTGCGGCCCGACCGCTCGGGACACTCATCCAATGCATCCAGCACGAGAAACATTTCACCAGGAGTCTTTGAAAGCACATCATCAAGGGTATCCCGTAATTCCCCGCGATCGGGCTGGCTTCCCCTGTTGCTATGCCTTTCCCACATCCTAGTTACTGACTGCGCCAGTGGCTTCCGGCTGAACTGTCGGATTAAAGACCTGACCATGTTTTCTACGCTCCGTGTCTTTTCATTGTTAAACTGAAAATACCAGTATGCAAAGGACTTGCTTGAGCTTTCCTCGCAGAGGCTTTTAATGTCTTGTATGACGGTAGAACTGCATGTGATTAGTGTGCGTCTTCATGTATAGAAATGTTGGCCTACCAGAGGACGGACTTTCCACATCCCACTACTCCACAAAGCCATAGGATGTGTCCTGGTGAATCTTTCCAGTACTGATATTGGTTTGAAGTAAGAAACCAGTTATGGGTCTTGGGGCTTCTGAATTCCTTCGTTTCTTTTTGGATTCTGGAATAGTCTGCCGTCGAGATCCATTCCAGGATTCGTTCCTCCTCCGCAGCTGCACTAGTCAGTATAAGATATGCATTTTATATACTTGAAATCATACTCAACACTTTAGATTCGATGTGCTTGTTGATAGCAATGCATTGATCGATATTGGCGAGAGTATCCTCCGCTTTCTTTCGATTATCTGTCATCCATTAGCAAAGTATTCAAACAAGGTAGAATGACGAATAATCTCACGGCGACTATCGCTCAGGTATGCCCAGTTGTCCACACTCTGACCCTTCTCCTTGACATGTGCTTTGAGCTGTTCAAGTGGCTGGTCGGCAATTGCATTGATGCTCATGCCTACGCGAACTTTTGAAGTCATTAGCCTGGATCTGCTGTCGGTCTTGATCCCGATGTATGCACTATAGGCTTACCGACGGCGTTCTGCTCCTGCACCTTATTCACCTCAGCTGAATAGTCGAGAATTGCCGAATAGACCCCAAGAAGAGCATTATCAAGGTTTTGGTCGCTATCGATGTTCTGGTCTCGATGATGCGTATCAATCGAGGTATAATAGGCTAGCGTGTCAGCGAGGTACTCCGATGCTGCGAAAACAGCGTCTCGACGTTGAATGTCATTATGGATCATCTTTCTCATTTAGCCTCTAGACCAAATGCAAACAGTGCATTACTATGTCCCTACCGTCAATCCTACTGAAACAATTGACCATGCAGCAGATGCTAAATCCTGCGTGAGCAAGTATTGTATTTCCCCGCCATGAGATAACAAGCTCACCATGTCCGGTAGGATCAAGGGAAACTGCCTTTGAAATAAGGTCTCTGGCCTGGAACGCACAATGGAGAATCTTCTCCGCTGAATCACGAACGTCGAAATCGTTCCCATTCCGCCTGCGAATCTTGAGACCCCCTTCCTTCCACTCTTTGTATTTCTGCTCTGTGGTTTTGATAACATCGTTGATCACATCTACTGTAGAACATCCCTCCTTCACCATCAAGTACCGCTTGCGGTCGTCGGGCAAGCCTGTGAATGCTTCTTTCCAGAGATCTCGTTTGACAGGATTCTCAACGGTGGCAATCTTGGGTTTGACATTTGACGGCGTTGGCGTGGTCTCTATCTGACTGTATGCCTTGTGGGGAACCTCCACAGGGTGGGAGATTTGCTCATGGTCGTCAGCTGTATCTGGCTTGCCACAGCACAACTTTTCCCGTAGACTCTTGAGCATGTTGGACATGAACAATCCTTAGGGCTAGTTCAACGAGAACAATAATCTGTTATGATTGAAATGTGAAGTGGAAACCAGTGAAAGAGTCTCGGAAAAGAGTTCAGCTGAGCTGGCAGCCGCCTGAGTGGGCCATATTATTCGTATTAATCCAATGACCAGTCACGATCGACACACCATAGCCCCCGCAAATTCACCTATTTGGATTGGTGATCAACATTCTCTCGCACAGGTCTGTTGTATTGTGAGCAATCAAATGAAGCGATTGAGCATAGCATAGTCTGACCAGCTCAACGTTTTTTGAATTTAGTCTCCATCTCACATGATCCTTCCTAGGGCGACCGTGGTAACTTGCTTTATTATCTGCTACTGTGCAGAACAGGAACCTCGAGCCTGTATTTCGTCTTGAAATGTACCATGTTGAATGAGACTTCAAAAGCCAAGTAGTGTCTTGTTCGAGCGTGTGTACAAGTGACACCACTAAGATAGATATCTCCGGCCCATCGAGCGAATACGAATAGTACTAGTTTTAGCCATTCTTATCGAATCCCGGAAATCTATTTGGGAAATCTATACCATCGTTACTGAAGCTCGCTGAATGTATATTGGAAAGTGTAAGGCTTACTAGGTTTGACTCGCTCATACAACCCCCAGCGGACTGCGGCGAAACTCTCTCCCTAAGCCTCTGAGGGTCGGGTAGAAGTTGACAAAAACCTCAGCCTCATCCTCAGCAACCCTCATTTGCATAACTTTTTGCGACTATCCCCCTTAGGGATGGATAAAATGATGATTCATCTCTAAATTTACTTCTACTTACGTCTGATTTTGTAACAATGCTAATATTTTTTATGGAATAGTTTATATTGGAAATTATTTGAAATCATTTTCTTTGCTTTTATGTAAGATTGTATGTAAAATGAAAATTGAATGAATTTCTTAAATGAAGTTATGATAGAATCCTATTTTCAAGATCGAAGATGTATTTTTGATCAGAGTAGTAATGATATATCCTTTTCTCTTCACTCTAGTACAGGCCTTGAGGTTACCCGCAAATTCCGAGGGTTTTGAGGGTAAGTCTGCGGGTCGCCCGTAATAACCCTCAGGCTTAAACCAAGAATAATACAAACTGTACCTACATTATTATGTACATTTAATTTCGATACATGATATCCTTTCTATAGGTTCCTCAGCTGAACTGAGGTCTTCCACCGCCCCCGCTGCTTGCCAATTCTTTCAATCAACATTAAAATAATAATTCTTGTAAGTCTTCTACTCTTCCGAGGCCGCAAGACTCTTAAGATATCACAATTATCTAACACCTTTACCTCCTCAATTTATGAGAGGGAGGCTTTAGATAATCTCCAGTTTTATGTCCCTGATGATACCCAGCTTCACACCTCAATCCCTTCAGGAAGCCAGCAAACATTAGATAAATTCGACATTTAATTATAATTCTATTCGGCCACCAGCGTCTATCCCTGATACTCTTACCCAAAAAGCCTAATCGGAGACAATCCTTCATTTTATATGATTCTATGTTGAATGACACATTTATTACTTGGTGGTTGAATGCGCCATCGGAATAGATCTGGAATACAGAGGAGATTCGCTGCCCGATAGTTGTATTAACCCCCCGAACCCATACTAGAATTGAGAAATATCGCAGTTGACGTCGTCCGTGACTTATTATCCGTTCCGTAACCTTCCTTGCCTCAGGCATATTCTTGTTGTATTTAAGGAGACCCACCAGGAAAGTGGACGGCGTGGCGGAGTTTTGAATACGGGGCACTCCCCCACATGTACTAAGCTGAATGGCTCTATTGTCTATTGGCTGTCTCAACGAAGAGTCTTGGCTCGAGGCGACTAGTGCGGTATTGTAGCCTGCTTGATGCCAAAGCATCTCCATTCGTTCCTAAACTGTCGATCTTGCTACGTAGCCGGAAGTTAGGGCAACGAAGAGCAGCCTCAATCACGGGCAAGATTGGTGTTTGAATATCAGCCGATAGTTAAAGGGAACCAATTTGTACGACTAGCTTCACGTGATATACTGTACAGTGGCAGTGTCCAGTTTAGTCATGCCGAAGGATTTTCCATTCCAGGTCAGATCCCTTGCTTTGTTTCCCAGAATCGACGATCACATCGAGCCTGGCGCTGGGTATCTATCAGCACAACATTTTCTATGTGATGTTAATTTTAGTTAAGCCTGCTACTTTCTCTCGTGTCTGATAACCATCACTCTTAACACGCGAATGTACCGGCATCATGCTAGTGACTGTTCACTCCCAAGTGGTTGAACCTGATGTGTTTATCCCAAGCGCGGAGGGTATTGAAGGTAGGGAAAAATTGCTACTGTTCCAGACAAGTGTCATTAATACCATAAACATTATAGATACCGAGATAAAGATTCCTACTCCTTGGATATTCGAAAATTCTCATATCGCGGATACGTTTTGTACAGAGGACTGGCCTATGGAAAGCGGTGATTTCAGAGATTTTTTCTGGCTTCTTAATTCCTACTATACTGAATTGAACGAGCCCGGTATAAAGGACATAGTGTGCGATATGAATGTATCCCAGACGATCTCATTGCCCAAGAAACACTGGAAAGTCTCGAGTAGAGAGTACTTTGCACATTTAATGAGATCACAGGGTATAATGTTAAGGATATTGATGAAGACTATTTATCATAATTTTGAAAATGGCCAGGCGCAAGAGTCTAAAATTCAGTAAGCTATTGCCAATTATTTCAATGTATCGCTTGTCAACTAAGAGTTCTTCAAGCTTCCCCGTGACAGGTTTTAAACAGGTATATGTTATAGGTGGTCAACGACATTCTAGTATACCAGATGGAGCAGCTATGATTGGACCGCGCGAACGACGTTTGCCGATTATCTCTTTTGCTGGGGTATGTACCGCCACCATCTTCTCTTACTATAATCATCCTCATGATATCTAGTGGTATGAAGGACAGACGTGGAGCGAATTCTTGGGGGAAATCCTCAGCATAATGCTGGGACAACTTGCCAGAAATATCAGCGCAGGTTATGAGGACCAAGAAGTCTTTGTAGTTGGATTTTATGAGCGATGTATCTATATTGCTCGGGGACTTTTTGGAAAAGAGTTGATTTCACGGGTAAATGTGAAGGGCTGTACAGAAGATGACACGGTTGAATTACAGTTCACACGTGGCTACGATTTGTCCTTGCGAGAAGACTGGTTTGAAGCTATATCCGCATTGGCAAAGCTGCTTCAGTATCTCTTAAGCGGGAACGCAAAGATGAGTGCTTTGAAGGCCTATTTACATAAGGCTGCCGATCCAGTGGAGTGTCTTTAGATAACTATGGCTTCTTCCAGATATCTGCCAGCTTCTCCCGGTAGGCAGGGGCTGATTGTGTAGACATGGGCCAGTCAGACAAAATGGGCGACGGCCCAAACGTTGTTGTCTGAGAGAAATCCCACTTGAGCCATGGTATCACTCATGCTGGGCGAGGATATGGTATTGGAAACGATTGGAGGCGAATAGAAAAGGGACGAGAAATCGCTCAGTAGCTATAGTATGTCTTTTTTCTCTTTGTGATGGTTGACTCTCGGGTCCTTCTATATTATAAACATATCAGTCGGCCTTGATTATTACCATGTGCTGGTGTTTAGTTGCTGAAACGAGCAGCAGACGCTAGGTGTGCCAACAATGAACACGGAACATCGACCATTAAAACCATGTCTTTTCTATGATTCTTTCCTTACCTTCATACATATTCTTAAGCCTAAAGCGCTTCAGGATACCTATCAAAGATATAGAAGAAAGTGAGCTGTGAGTAGTTGATGACCACGGAATAAAGAGAAGGCTATTGTTTCTAGCCAGCGCACTTTGACTACACCTTAGAGTCCTGTGAAAAGGAGAAGCTTTTATTTAGCTAGATTTCAGTTTACGGAGCAAATCCAAAAATCCAAAAATGTGCAGATGTGTGCTACAGGTGACATTCATAGGACCTTTAGGAAGAGGCAAGGAAGCTGAGGCATTGTCGGTATGATTACCTGCATTTTGGTCATGAACGAAGGGGGCGTCCAGGCGAACGAGGTGAAGTTGAACAAGATATATATATAAAAAAATCAAAATACAT